GTGTGTGTGTGTGTGTGTGTGTGTGTGTGTGTGTGTGTGTGTGTGTGTTTGTGTGTGTGTGTTTGTGTGTGTGTGTGTGTGTGTGTGTGTGTGTGTGTGTGCCCGCCGCCTCGTGTCTCGTTGTCCTCGTCGCCTCAAATTGCGTGTTGAATCGACGCGTAAAATAACCGGGACCGCCGTACACAGTAGTTTACTACCTAGGTGAGGTAGGTCGGTAGGTACGTGTTTTTTAACCGACGACCTCCCTCGCCAGTACCCCCCCTTTCATTCGTTTGAATCCTTCACCTCTTCAACATGAGTGAGCGTGGGCATAAAGCACGGCGCGCGGGAAAATACATACGAGGTAAATATTTCACCGGAAGGACGTAATAGAGAGACACGCATGTCCCAGACTCCCAGACTTGCAAGACCTTTGGCCAAGCCTTTTTCCCCAACCGTCAACTCTAAAACTTCATCAACCTCATTCACAAATCTACACACACATGAAACCCTCAGCAATCTCGTTGACCACATTCCCCCAAACCTGTCACTACGTTCATAAAGAGCGCGAGACAACTAGTTCGCCAATGGAGTTTCAATATCCTCGATTCAGGAAAGAGACATAGGCAATGCCACTAACTAGTGGCCTTGTGCTCTTCTATTTTTGCGCACATTTCGTCCTAAACTTGGAAACAAATTCATTACACCTGTAGTACAGTGATCCTCCCATCCTTGCTTCATTCTTCATCACGTCTCGTCAAATTCACAATTACCACCCAACATGCCGGGCCCTACAGATATAGGTAACGCTGTCAAATTTTGGTATCACCGAAAAGGTTAAAAACTGGGTTTTCAGAATTCAGCAAAGCCGACGAAGCCACATCGTTTTCTCGAGCCTTCGTGGAGAGATATCTGTCGGTCAAGACACTTCAGACATGGTTGGTATGTACTCAATGCTGCCGGATCAAACCACTCAGATAGCTCAGTTCATCCAGCAGTTCCTGCATGTCTGTAGAATGTGGCAGTCCTGAACCATTGAGTGCCACACCCTGAGTCGGAAACTCAGTCGGTCGATTATGCTCACCGACAACCAACGGGGCCACTTGTTCCGTTGCCACAGCCGGTTTGACAGTGACCCCGGATGTCCCGTCTTCCGTCGGGAGGCTATAGTGCTGAAATTTGCCCCAGGAAAAGTCTGGCTCTCTAGCGCTATCTAGATCGACGTGGGCACTGGGTATCGCTGAAGAAGCCACAGAACTGAGGGTTGAGATGCTGAGTGCAGTAGGCATGCCATCCTGACTGGGTTCTGCATGTGTTGACGACTTCCACTCATGAGTGTTGGTGACTGGATCAATCACCTCGATCGATTGACAGTCACCATACTCGAATTCCGACTCCAAAGGAGGACTCATGGGCTCAAAATCGAGAATACTAGATGCATATTCCGACCGAGGCGAGATCCGGGTTGTACTCAAGGTCCAATCAGAGAAGTGGCTCCGGTCGTTGTTGATGTAACTATCCACATGAGATCCTGTCTCGATAGTGGTGCTGCTGAAGCGGCTGTTGAGATGTTGCATGTCAACCTCTCGGTGCTGGTCGCTAGGAGAGCCATCCACACTACTTGGGGGGTATACGGAAGACGGGGTGTTTGGCAGGGTAGGTAAGCGTTTCTCCAGGTCGAGCGGCGCTTGTGGTTCATCAATGCGGTGATGAACTTCAACTTTGACCGCTGTTAATGGTTGACCGGGCGTGGTTGCTGGAGACGCCACTTCTTTCAGCGTTTCCAAGGGGCGGTATGGAGTGGTGGCCTGCTCCAAAGGATTTCGTTCCGGCGTACTACCCCGTGACAAAGGGTTGCGCAAGGATGACGGTTCTCGAGACTGGGAGCGCTGTCTTCGATGCTGGGAAAAGGAGGAGATTGCCACCGTTGCGGAACCTTCGACCCAAATATCAACGTCCTTTCGCAGAGCAAGCTCCCTCGACGGACCAGGCGAGGAAAGCTCGTCCGACTCGAGGAAACTCCTGGTCTCGTTTGTCGGCGTCCTTGGTGTTGTACCTCGCTGAGAACCTCCCCTCGTCGTAAAGGTGGCCGGACTGTATTCTGGTCGTCCTCGATCGAACGAAGTGTCGGGACTTGGTATCCGTGGTGATTTCAAAGCGCGGATGGCGCCGATGAAGCCAGCTGATCGGTTGCTGCCTCGAGAGAGTGATCGGTTGAGCACCTCAAGCGAGGGTTTCTTTGTCGACTTTCCAAATTTCAAAGTCGTGGCACTCCCCGGCTGTGACGAACCCCGGGAAGAAGCAGATCTCCCTCTCCTAAAGTCGGCGCTGACTGGAGAGCTCCCCGACGACCAGGACTGTTGAGGAGGAAACGTTGGTGATGTCTTCAGCCTCGGCAGCGACGGCTTCGCCGGCACCGGCCTGGGGTTCATGAATCTGTCCGAAGGATTCATTGTGCGAAACTCGGAGCCAGTAGAGCTGACACTATCGTTTCGCGGTCGACTGCTGCTCATGGCCAGAGGGACGTTCAGGACGTTGACCAGCTGGCCCGGAAGGAGAGGGCAAGCCGTGGTCGAATGCTCGGCGGAATTGTGAAACTCGATATCGTCGTCCAACTTGTACTGCAGAAAGGGTGAGCTGTTTGTCAACACAGCCAGGAGAAGGAGGAGGAGGAGAAGGAGGAGGAGGAGGAGGAGGAGGAGGAGGAGGAGGAGGAGGAGGAGGTCAAGCAGTCATACATAATACCAGTAGGTGCCCCCCATCTTCAGGGCGCCGTCCCTAGGGATTCCCATCGGCTGATTGTCGCCATCGCAGATAATGTTGGAAAAGCTATGGCACCCGGACCAGTGCTCTGGGCCCGTGCGGGAATCCTTTTGCATGGGATAGGCTGTGGAGAAGTTGTCCCAGGAACCATACAGGCTCACTGACCTCGTCGAAGGAGGCACGCGGCTGTTGCACGCAGTTAGTTTGTCTTTTCCACAGAACAACAAGAGGCCAACGTACACTAAAAAGGTCACGAGGGTTGTCGGAGCCATGCTGGTGGAACAGATTATGTAAGGAAGGGCTCTCCAGGAGGGTGATGTGTTGTCTCTGGCCTGGCCACCGACCAGCGACTTCTGTGAGCTGCCCGTGAGAGCGAGGTAGTTTTCCGTGGTCGTCCGGCCTGCAGAGAACCCTTGGTCGATCAAGACAGGTCGGAAAGAAGGCAAACAAACGATCTCCAATCTGTAGTCCAGTCCAGCTGGTAGACAACAGACGGCACGGGCGAGCAGCTGCAACTTGAGGAGTGCGTGGACGGAGAATTATAGTCGAGTCTGGCCCTCGCAAAGGTGACACCACGTCTACCAGGCACTGCAGACAACCTCAGATTGGATGCTATTTCGAAACCTCAGGCCGACTTCAGGACGTCCCGTCCAGCGGGATGCGTGACTGTGAGCATGATTGTACCATGGTGGAGACTATGGAGCCTGTGCTGAAACGGGGCAGAGGGCACGTCAGGAACGTGTTCGAGCTGTTGAACAGCAGCACATTGACGGCGCTTGTTTTGATGTCGAGACGACGAGATGCTGGGATAGAGAGTCGCAGCGAACGAGGCCCCGTGTAGCTGTCGGTGTCCTGCGGCAGGCGCTTGATGGAGGTGATTGCAGGGTAAGAGGGATCGCTGGGGGCCGGGCGCTTGCTGTTGCGGCGATTCGGAGGGTTTCGACCAACAGCACGTCGTAGAGCCGGGAAGGACGCTGACTGGTCGGAGCCGCTGGTCCTCGCACGAGGTGGTTCGAGAGGAGTCGAAGTGCGTGAGGCTGAGGCCGTGTGTACAGGATGCCGAGAATGAATGTCGTGGGCGTGTGAAGACCGCATACGGAGTAAAAGCGTTATGGAGTGGTCGTAGATAGACGCGGGACGGGGTGAGATGGGCGGACGAGAATAGATTTATTTATTAGTCCCGAGGTCGGAGTATCACGGTACGGGGTACAAGGGTGTGGACGTCAAGCAGGACATGAGAAGGGGAGAGAGAGAGAGAGAGAGAGAGAGCCATCACCGTCAGAGGATGGGAGCACGGCCAGCCGACCAGGACCATGGCGCATTAGTACGTACTGTACGGAGTATATGCACAGGCATTGCGAGGGAGACGGGGAAAGGAATCAATCCGCTGTCACAAAGTCAATCACTCCCCTCTCATCGACGGCCACGGTAAGATACACGTCAGGTAGCACCATGTGGACAATGGAAGTTTTGGTCAATGAAGAGACATGCACATCCGGAGCTGAAAAGACGGCGCGTGGCGGCACCAGGAAGGAACAGGGACGAGGGTCTGGTGCGATGGGCCGATGGCGCTGCTGGACAAGGGGTTGACGAGGTACTTTACCTGTACTGTACAAACTTGTGTCTTGGGCACCAGCGAAGCGAGCGAGATTCCAGATAGACGGGGTGGTCGGGGGGGGGGAGGGGGGAGAGAGGACGGAGGAGGATCCGTCTCACAACAAAGTACTAACTTAGTTACTGTAGACTCGAGAGGGAGTTCCTTCGTACGGGAGCACACTGGTGACTTGGTGAGTTGTTTGCCGTACAGACCACACCAAAAGCCTGTTGTGAGCTGAAGGTTGGCGGGACGATAAATTGTAACAATCAACTCGGGCTCCATTTTGTCCTCCGTAGATCCTTTTAGTCGCTCGTGCTAACCCGAGAGCGCAAATTGAGAGACGGAAAAATCTTCAAATCACCACCTCACGGCGCTCGCCTCCAATCTGGACCCGACTCCACGTCTCTTGCGCCACCACGTCCATGAGTACAGTGCAGTACCTTGTCTAGCTGACCAGTACCGGAGTTTTGGGAGAGGGGGAACCGAGACGTCGCCTATCGAGAAAGATGAAACCCGCGCTTCAGGGATCCAGGGCTGTGACCTCTGTCTACTAACTACACTTCACACTTGTCCCGGGATTGAGACAAACCATCTTTGTCAAAACTTTTCAACTTCCCTTGTCATGGCGAACTCCAAGTTTGTGTTTTTGCCTGTTCAGACGGAGGGCAACGAGGCACCGCGGACTCCCTGACCTTTGTACAACCACTATCACCGATACTGAGACCACTTACAGAGGGCAGAATATATGTACTCGTACCTCTGAAAGCAAAGCAAAAGCCACTGCCAAAAGCCCAACCGACAAAGGCGCTTTTCTCTGCTGACTCGTGAAGTCTACCGAGTTCTCGACATGGTGGATTTTCCCATCTTCGTAACCTATCTTACCTACAATTACAAAAATAAGAAAATCTGACCTGTCCCAGACACATGGTCCCGATGTCAGAGGCATGAGACGTGGCTGTCAAGCCGAATTTCCCGGTTCGCCTCGTACGAAGCCAGAACCGAAGCGAAAGCGCACAAGGTGCTCATCATGTCTTTGTTCTCGAAATGAAATAATGGTAGGGATAAAAATATACACTGAACATTACAGTAGAAGATTACCACGCCAGCCCTGCCGCTGCTCATTCTCCTCGCTGCTAGTTGATCATCAAGCGGCCCTCCGATCTAACCGTCTGACCACACTGCCCAAGCACACCTTCAATAGACCCTGCGCCGTCAACTCTGCACCGTCCTCGCCTCCCCAAGGCACCGTGTCGACCATGTCCCGGATGTGATATTGCTCACTCAGCGCGTCGTCCAGCTCTCTCAGATTCTCCGCCGCTTCAGGTTCCCTTCCCACCTGAAAGAACTGAATTCCCACTTGCCACGGTTCTGCGCCGAATGAGTCCAGCTTCTTCGCCGCCGTGACAATGACACTCTCGACATCGTCGGTCGGCACGCCGTCGGTGATGACAATGATGTTGAGTGGTTTGACCGTCGCTCCGTGCCCATGCGCCTGTCTCTCCATCGACTCCGCGACCTCTGCAAGATACGGTTTCAGGATCTGATTGAGCCGAGTGCCTGTGGGCGTGCCGCCGAGTGGCCGTACACGCTGGAACAGCGTCTGGACGATCTCGGTGGTGGTGACGTTCGTGTATCCGCCAATCGGAGAGTTCGGGTTTCGGTGGTTCAGGAAGTAGATGTCGATACCGTCGGCGTCGTGAGTCGTGCAGATGGGTGCAATGGCCGCGATGGCTGCCGACGTCTCTCGCCAGCTCCGGCCGGCCATAGACCCACTGTCGTCGATGAGGAAGATGGTGTCGAAATCGCCCAGGAACGAATACGGAGAATCTTCCGCCACTTGGACCGGTGCGGAGAGGTCGGCTGGGCTGTAAGGTGGTGCGGCAGAGTAAGGAGGTGGTGCACCGCTTGGGCGAGCAGGAGGTGGTCTCCTGGTGGGCATGGGCGTGAAGAATGGGTTAATCGAAGCACCGTACGCTGCTGCTGGTGAGGATGACGGGTTGGATGGCTTGCTTGATCGCCTGGAGAGTCTCTTCATGAGCGAAGTCATGTTTGAGCCGGAATATCGCGATAACGATGCTGCTGAATGGTGCGAGTGGAAGGAGTCGCGAGAGAGGAGGATGGGGTTCGCCATCTTGAAAAATTGGTGACTGACTGAGCCGTATAAAGCCTCAGGCAGTGATTGTTCTCTTTGTGCCTGTGTCTGTGTGGGTGAAGGAAGCTGCTTTCCCGCGTTTGTTTGTTGGGGTCGCGCGTGTTTGTACTGGCTTTGGAGGGAAAAGTCAAAGTCTTGTTGTTCTTTGGTTATTCAATGAGAAAATGGACCCTTGGCTGGGCCAGTCCGTGGATGAACGTTCTTTATACAATGTTTGCGTTTTGCTTTCTTTCATTTCCATCTCGCATAACCCATGAACCCACGCAATGCCCCAGCGATTTATGCCGCGAGTACGCCTAGGCATAATCATACAAGGCGATCCAGCCTTCCTCCATGCCCCGGTTCCACCCCTTCATCAGGCGCTGATGCCAGTCTCTGATCCTCACTGTCTCGTGTCTCGAGCTGCGCATGCGCTGTAGTGCGAGTCTGTGGGCAGCTCGTAACGGACCACGTAAAGGATCGCAAGGCTGTGAGCGTCACTGGGGCCAATCACAGTCGAGATGGGAACTCGGCTGCGCCTCGCCGGTTCGCACAGCCACTGCATCTCCCTCTACCACACAACGCTTGACGACACTTCTCCCAAACCGTTTCAGTCTCAACCGTCCCACAGCCTCGGTGGAGGCAAAGAGGATCGCGCTTGGGTCACGGGGCTGTCACACCATAGCTGTGTTGGAACTCCGCATCCCAGCTCAGAGTCTCGAGCTACGATGACGCGCCGTTAACCGCAAGAAGGAAATGTTGAACACAAAGGGGTCGACTCGCAGCCTAGAGGAGCTGGTCTAACCTCGCGGCTCAGAGTGGTGAGTGTTTGTGGCAGCATTCGACTTCTTGCCCGACGTGCTCTGTTACCGATGTGCAGTCCCCGCCTGATCCCCTATGAACACGAAACAACTGGAGACCCGGAACAGGATCTGAGCACATCTACCTCCCCGAGAAGTCTGCGTTCGGGCAGACGAACATCTCGGTCTTCCTTTACATATTACGCACCCCACGAGGATGGTCAGGGTCAACGGTCTGCGCGACCGCGGCAATCGGACTACTCTCGTGTTTTCGGACCGCGAACGATACAGTACCGTCGGCAGCAGGAGGACGTCGTAGGCCTCATGCTCAGTCCGCGGCAACAGAATCAGGGTCTGTCTTGGAGACTGGTTCCAGCGAATCTGGGTGCATGCGCCTAGTCAGCTCACCAAAGGTAGGTCGATGTCTAGCGTAATCGCGGCGTAGACTTAGAAATTGGATAGATTGCAATTCGTCTGTACATGATAGTCTGGATCGAAAAAACACTACTGAACGAGAAAAGAAAAAAATATACCCAAAGGCAGTGCTGTCCGCTCCTCCACCCACCCACGCCGTGCCAAATGTTTAGACTAAGGAGGAAAGTTGCTATACTCAGGTGCTCGTTCAATGTTAATGTAATTCGTGGTCATGGCACATTTCAGTCGTCTCAGGTCAATCAATTCGTCATATGAGCAATTTATGATGCACATAAACAATCGGAGATCAATGCTTTCTCTTTACCGTGCACTTTCCAATGCCCACCTGCGCTATGCTGAAATGCTGAAAACGCAGAAGTGTCATCTCTAGCCCCATGTCGGCGTCTTTCTCAAAGGCGCATGACTGGTTCATCGAAACCCTATTGGGATGCACAATTAATGACGTTTATATTTCTGAAGAGAAAGTTAGCAAGGACGAAATGTGCTCGAAATAGAGATCGACAGCGACTTACCTCGTCCATCCTCCTCAGGTTTTGTTTGTCCAACATGTTACCTGCGCCCATGAGTGTCTGCCCGACCGCCTTCGAGGCTCCAATGGCCGGTCGCAAAATAATGGTTGGGCTCTGCCTCAATATCGCTGCAGCTGCACCTTTGGCACTGCCACTGGCCATCACCTCACCGGGTATTGCCACGATTGCATCCTTTGCAAGTAGCAAATCCCGTTCTAGACTGCTGTATGCAGTCCTCAAACCCTGCCTTATGCCGACAGGTTGGTCGGCATACAGCGAGATATGCTTTGTACCTTCGTCGTCTGCATCTGGATCCAGTAGCTGCTCCCCTGACACGAAGAGGCCTTCCGTGTTTTGCAAAACCTGTTGTGTACCAATGGCCATTTTGGCACCAAGATTGACGAGTTCGGTTGCCGTCGTCTTCGCAAAGGCAAGCGCTCCCTTCTGAATGCTTCTCACCAACCTGCCATCCTTTCGATACTCGCGAATGGGAACAGTAATAAGATCTCTGACTCCGCTGCTCACATCCACTAAGGGTCGGAAAGGGGCAAGACCGGCAAGAACACGAGGAAGTTGATTGCGTTTGACATCCGGGGTCCAAATGTTGTTGAGCATAATACCCAGCCGGTCGAATCCTGAAACTCCATACAGAATGACCCTTCGTAGCACCATATCCGCCCGGTCAAGCACGAAGAAGTTCATGAATTCAGTTGTCCGCCCGGAGCGCAACCCGCCGTAGTCAACCCTTTTAGGTTTGAAGTCCAGTCTCAACTGCACAGCATTCACCTCCACGCGCTGTAAGAACGGCGGGTTCGATGGAGCATTGGAAGGAGGTGTGCTTTCGTCTTTGAACTCGAAGAAGCGGCTCAGAAAATCCAGTGCATCTTGATCAACATGAAGCCTCAGAGGAAGAACGGTGATTTTCAGCACCATCTCCGAGGCTGATAGTTCTGCAACGGGTTTGACGTTGAGAAGTTCAATGTGGACCATGTTAGTGTTCACTTCTCGTTCTCCTGCATCCTGCATGTACGTGGCGAACTTTTTCCAGGTCGAAGTTGGAATATGGTCGAATATTTCGAGCTTTCTGATGCGAACATCGACCGAACTTTCGACTTCGCCACTGCCTGGAGGAAATGCCACAAAATCTGCCGATACCCCTTCAAGCTCAAATGCCATTTTGTGATGCTTGCTCCGTCTCAGTTTCAGCTTCTTCTGCCGAGGAATGGTCCCAGAATGGCGACGTGAGGTGGCAGCTGTTATTGTCGTACCAGTAGCGTAGCTACCAGTCTCACTCACCATGTCGTCGATTTCATGATTGATGGCGCTCGTAAGGTCTCTCGGATCCCTGTTGGCGGGAACGCCAATGTAAATCGAGTTGAACAAGAAATCGCCGATGACTGATTCATCCTCGTCATCCGCGCCGGCAGTGCGACTTCTACTTCGAGGTCGTCTTGCCATGGCCTTTGTCTCGATGTCCCTAACTGCCTGTGAAATTGTGTCTCTAGTGCTTTGCCAATCGTACCCATCGAAAAGGTTCCATATGACGTGAACGTCACGAACGCGCACTTTGACTGGGGAATGGGCGAAGAGTGTATTGCTTGCAAGACCGTATGTGTTCTGTTCCGAGTTCCAACGATGAGCAGTTCCGCCCACCTGTGTTTCGGCAGCGAAATGATCCGTTCGAAAATCCAGCAGACTATGCATCATGATACTCTCACTCGAATCACCAGTTTCAGAGCCTGTTATGTCAACAGGAGCGACGTGTATGGATCCGGACATGGCGGAACGGCCCAGATCAGACTCCACGTGGCTAGCTGTCATTTCATCGTCCGCATCCTCAGCATCTCCGTACATGTCCCGCGCAAAGTCAGGGTCGTCATCGTCGTCCTCTCCTGCGGAGCTCCCACTGAAAGACGCGCCGTCAGCGGTCATCCTCGATGCCTGCAGGCCAAGCTCCGGGCCGGGCTCGGAGACGAAAGCGTTGCCAGTGAACGAGGCTAGCAAATCTTGAATCGGGACGATCTCGGTACGATACTTCGCAATTTTCGGGAGTGCCGTCGGCGGAGAAAGACCACTCAAGATCTGAATCATTGTTTGAGTGGAATCAGCACATGTTTCAAGGAAAAGGAGGTTGTTACGGAATTCAACGTCCACGTGAGTCTGGTGCTTCTCTTCGGTGATTTTAATTACTGCAGATGCGGATGACATCGAGCCAACAGGGACAAAACCAGCTTTGGTCAACTGTTGAACCTGGTCATTTTCTTCGAAGAAGAGTTTGTGGTCGACATTCTCTGAGTCTTTTCCGACCGTCGAAGAATCATTGATGATCAGTAGGGAGGCCTTCTTGATATCAAGAGTGTTTGCTGAGCTGTGTTTTTCGGGTTGGTGTCGTACTACAGCGTCGGTCAGGACAAATAATCCTTTTGCGGGAACTCCATCCGGATTCAGTGCTATAGCGGAATCTCTGAAAGCAAGACAGAGCTGAACCTTTCGCGCCAGACCTCTTGCGTCACCACCGCTAGATGAGAAGCTCGAAGTCTGTGACAGGGGACTTTGTACTGGAGTCGGAATTTGAGACTTCAGGTGTTCTGCCAACTCTGACAAGGCCACAACAGTTGGAACCTTGTACTCAAAGCAAGTATTGGACAGTTTCATACGAACAGTAGGTTCCATCTCGTCTGCAATGAAACGACACATGAACATCGGAGGGCCCATTACGCTCCGGCTCTGTGAGATAACTTCGGTAATCAACAAGTCCTTTTCCCCTCGCGTAAGAGTCCAGCTAGCAATTTGAGCGGCAGCCAGCGAAGGTACGTTGATATGTGCACCCTCAAGCAGTTCAGCCTCTAGTTTGAGAGGACCAAGCTTCTCATCCACCTCAAACTTGAAGTCTAGCTTTTTGATCAGGCCAAAGGTGAGGATACCGGGTCGGTCATCCTCTGGGAGATATTTCGTGACTGATGAGAGCTTAGAAATCTCGTCAGCCACCTTGCTCAAATGAGGCAGCCAACGCAGGCCGACGGCGCCGGCTTGTAGGTCTCCAATCGACAACCGCAATACACCTCCCTTTCGCCGCTGGCGTAGTAAAGTGTCGACCATGATATCGTCCTCTTGGTCATACTTGTCTCCGGAGGGTGTTATGACCGAAAGAAGTCTGTCCAGGTCATCATCGTCCGGGGAATCCGAATAGCGCAACTCGACGTTACGAATCTTTGCATACACATCGCCACGACTCCCAGAGCCGGGAAGGAGTGGCCCCTCGACAGCCGCACCATCAATCACCAGTCGCACATTGTTTTGGCGATATGCTGCTTTGACAGCGGAGGTTCTTACTTGTAACGTGGACTCGGAGCCGATAAGATCTAGGAGTGCGCCAGATACGCGAACATCTATTTTTGGCAGGGTAGATGTGGGATCGCTGTTGGCTCTCGTTCTTCGTTGAGGATCGTCGAACCTAACCGTCCGTGGTTTGACAACAGCTGCGGTCTTGGCCGCAGAGCCCTTCACAGTTTGCGTCGAGACGATTGAATTGCCAAGGTCCAGCAGAGAGCTCAATCCACCGCTTTTGCTGAGCACATCGTCTATGACCAGAAGATCGACCACAGCATGCACAGGCTTGATTTGCACCTCGTACCGGTTTTCTGTCACGGTGGCGATTAGATCATGCGGTCTCAGCATGGAACTTGAAGCTATCGAGTCTCGAACAGAGATCGAATCGACAAACGACATAACATCCCTATCGCCATGAGTCATAGAGATCTTTGAGATTGAGAGGCGGTCGGAGTGTTGCCTATTTGGGACAGGACTGAAGGATATCGCCAACAAAGCCAACTTGAGGAGAGTCGTCTCATGCGCTAGCATGGTTTCAATTGTCTGAATAGCAGCGCCGCTTGGGGGCCTCCTCGGCACTGCTTCACAAAGATTGATGACGAACTTACCCAGGCTGGCTGACGGTAATTCTACCTTTGGAGCACCGATTGGTGGCTTGGCCTGCTCCCCGGCATTAGGAAGAATGTCTAGAATGACTTGTGTCGCCTTAATCAGAATTCGACTGATCCTCATATCAAGGTCTACAGTCACTTCGCCGATGTCAACGCCTAGGATTGCATTTTGTGACAAAGCAGATGGAGTTTGTTCCGGAGGAAGTGCTGCATGATGGCGTGTGTCATTGAGAAATGTGCTTTCAACCAGTCTTGATGAGCCTAATCGCGTTGTTCGGGCTTGGGAAGGACGACTAGGGCGTGCCGCTATGTCTCGCACTTGACCCTCTGCCATAGACTCGTGCTGATGCGGCTGGGGTACTTTCAAGCATACGGTGTCCAAGTGTAGGATCCTAGATCGGTAAAACGTGGAAAGATTGCCGTCAAGAATGCTCTCACCACTCGAGGCCCCAGGTTCGGTCGTGGGAAGGGGTCCGGAGTCCGGTGCTGTGCCACTGTTCTCGTTCAAATTCCTAGTACTTTCGGCCGTCCTTTCCAAAGACCGCGTAATTTGCTGTTGAGGTTCACTGGTTCGAACTTCTCGATCTTGTCTCTCAGGCTCAGACCAACCCCAACCACCTGGCATATCGGGTCCGCCACTCACTGCACTCATATACATGCTCTCTGCTTCGTCATGAGTGAACATTTTAGACTCTTCAAGATCTTCCGCAGCACCGGTCTGCCATTCTTCATGTTTGGCGCTCTCGTAGTTGACAGATGAAAGTAGGCCCTCTGCATGAGCCCGGTTATCTACTGGCGTCGATGTACCTGATGAGTCGCGTCGATCAAGCCTCTTTCGCGGTCGCTCAAAGATTCCAGACTCGGCCAACAAGGCATCGTCAAGGCCCAGACCCAATTGGGAATTGTTCAAGGAAGCAGACGACGACTTTGAGCGATACGAATGTTGACTGAGAGTCTCACTGCCAGATTGTGCAGTATCGCTGCTGTCACCTTGATCACTCGGGCGAGCAAGCCGAGGGCGTGATCTGCTTAGTTTGGGCGAACCCAGTCCAGAAATCTCCGAGAATGTTTCGGACTCTGACAATACAAACAATTGAAGCTCGTTCAATCTAATGGCTCGTCTGGAGTCTGACCGTGTCGAAGGGACATCTGCCTGCTGGAGAGGATCCAGCCCGATGGTGTCCAACGACAGCATGAATTTGATGCTCTCGGCCGAAGCACCCCCGGGTGGGAGATCCATCTCTACAAGGACATTGATGTCTTTTATCTTGATCGACAGTCGGTCTGCCACGCCTTTGAAAAAGTTGGCGACGAAAGTCGGCAGAGACAATCCTCCCGGCATGCCTAGCCCGACGTCCTCACCCTGTGACGACGCCACCGACTCTTGCATGTACTGAGATTGTGACTCGAGTGCAGCCTGGAGTTCATCTCTTTCATTTGGCGACTCGGCTTCAAGGAACGAATTGGCCAGGTCTTCGGAAGTCGGGATGATCTGTGATGCCTCCAAGTGCGACCCTAGTCCTTTGTTCGAGCGACGACCACCGGGATCGTGGATTGCTGGCGAAGGTATCCGCGGGAGATTTGCACGGTCTGTTCTGCTGGGTGCACTTCCCGCTTTTGATCGTGCCGCCTCATTGTCCTGCGGTGGCTCTGATCTTACTCCAACAACGATTTCCACCCCCACCACTTCGACTTCGATGCTGCTGGCATGGAGATCGGAGGGTAATGTGAGTCGCAAGTGCTTGATCGAGGCATGGGTCAGGTCGAGAGTCGAAGGCAAGTGGAGGATATCGATGAGTTTCTTGACCTTGATCCCGACGTTCCTCAACTCCACCACAGTCCGCTGACCCCATGTCAGTCCTAGGTTGTCGAGGTCCAACTCGTCCGAGTCGATGAAATCAAGGCGGGTCAGGGCATATCGGAGAAGCCTCTTTTGAAAGTATGAAGGAAGAAAGTACGACATGATGACGGCAGGAGAAGAGAAAGGAGGCCCCTTCCAGTAACGGTCAGGTCTATGGGAGTGTTCTGATCATGACGACGTCTATACAGAGGTCGGCAGACCACAGGCCGCAGCAGCGAGGTGGCGGCGGAGGAAGGGAGACCCCGAAGGTCAAAAAGGTCGTCGATGAGACGAACAAGGGTGGTTAATTGTGATTCCCGTCTCTGGATCAAATACTGTCAGGAGAGTGCTCGCCTCGACGAACGGGCGTTGTTGGTGTTAGTGTGTTGGTGGTGGTGACAACGGTAGTCGTGATGGCGTTGGGTGTTGTGTTGGGTCTCGGCCAAACGCAGGCGCGGAGAAATCCATCAGATCAGATAATCGGGGAAACCAGGCAACAAAGAACACCCATTAAGTAATAATGACGGCTCACTAGGCTTGGGCGATAACCAGAGCTTGGAGAGCCTGGAGAGCCTGGAGAGCCTACCGCCCTAGGTAGGTAGCTGAAGTGAATGACAGGGACAGTGGCTGAACGAGCACTGGAGAGCCCTGGAGAGCCCTAGAGAGCCCTAGAGAGCCTACAACGTCTGGGCCCCTGATCATGGGGTGGGCAGATGTCACTGCACGCGCCGCCTGGTGAGCCTGCGAGATGACCACAGGAGACCAAGTGATAAGGCTCACGACGCCCGAAACACGCCTAAGGTGCCTAGTTAGGTTTAAGGACTCGTTAACTGTCAACTAAGTCGCCTGCTATAGACCTAACTTAGTAACTCCGGTATGTAGCATAATCGCTCTCTATCTTATCGTCCATCTCAGCCTCGCCAGCAACAGTCCGACCAGGCTGTGCAATACATCACGCCATCTTCCAAATGCCTTCTACATCACCGCCTGTTGAAAAGAAAGGCAGTTTCCCAAGCCCATACAAACGCTAACATGCAGTTCCAAGTTCGTCTCTAATGTGCCACTTCATCAAGGGTTGAGCCTCTGGCACATGATCCCGCAATGCATCATCTGGTGAAATGTCCTCAGTCATCTTTAATCGTCATCTTCGTCCTCATCCTCGTCATCCTCATCAGAATCGTCTTCGCCATCATCCACGTCCTCATCGTCGTCCGCTTCCAAGGGGAACTCCATAACGATATACTGACACCACTTCTCAAACTCGCTCCTCCACTCCCGCAACAACCTGGCCTTGGTGCCCTTGCCCATGTAGCCGTCTGTGATACTCTTCGTCCAGTCTGCGGTCTTTTGGTCCTCAATGGCACACCACTTGAGAGAATTCTCCGCCATTGTGCCGAGACCCTCGAGACCCAGGTTCTCAAAAGCCATGTACGACTGCCAGAAGTCATGGCTCAGCCCGTTCTTCCCGTGCCCGAGAATGGCCGGATCGTCGTTGTTCAGCGACACCGGCACGCCTCTCGACAGCAGGGCGGGCAGCGAGTGCGACAGGATCGAGCTCGACAAGCGCAGGATCTCGTTGGAAATCGGGCAACTCTCGACCAGAATCTTCTTCTCCTTGACCATATCGATCAGCAGCGGGTGCTTGTACAGCGAGTACCCGTGGCCGATTCTCCTCGTGCCCAGCAACACGGCGTCGAAGAGGTTGTTGTCCGTCTCGTCGCCGTCGCCCAGGCATTCGCCCGCGTGGAAGAAGAACGGCAGGTCGACGCCGGCTTCGGCACACTGCTTTCTGAACCAGAAGATCATGGGGACGAGGTCCTGCAAGGTCCGTCCCATGTCCTCCTGCGCCACAAAGTCGTACCCGCAGAGCAGGTGCGGGTACTTCGTCTTCATCGCAATGCACTCCTTCATCGCGTCGGCGATGGCGCGATTGTCCATTCTCCGCACGCTGGTCCAGATGATCCTGGCCCCGTTGAATTTCTTCCCTTCCGGCTTGGCCTTGAACTTGTCCAGCTCCTCTCCCAGCTCCTTGAAGAAGGTGTCGAATCGTCCCGGCGTGGCCTTCGTTTGCCCGGTCTTTCTGTACTCAAACTTGAAAGCGGTGCGCAGTTCGACGTACGTAATCCCGTCAGCCGCGAGTTGCCCGAGCAATCTCTGGATGGCTCTCCGGAAAATGGGTTCGTAGAACAGCATTCCTCCGATGACCAGGAACGTGCTTTGGAACTTTCTCCAGATGGCGTTCAGCCCATGGTGATGACACAGACTCTCCTCGGCCGTGATCATGCAGCGACTCGCCAACCACTTCTTGAACGTGGTGTCGTCGTCCGGGAACGTGCGCTGCGCCTCGCGGATCGGCACCGGCGTGTGCGGTTTGTAGCCGGTCGTCCAGATACCCGCAGCACCACCCCCGGCGCCTTTGAGCTTCTGCACCTCGGCGTCGTCGTAGTACCTGAAGTCCAAGAAGGCCGACTCGCGCTTTTTGGCATCGCTCAGGCCGCCCTCCTGCGCCGTGAGAATGCACATCCCCTTCTCGGCCAACACCTGGTCGATAAGCCAGTCGATGTCGATCATGGCCTCGAGGTGGGCGTGCAGCAGCGCTCCCTTGGGCATCCTCTCGACGATCTTCCACAGGTCCGTCTTCTCAATGCGGTCCCTCGCCAGCGTGAACATCATGCCCGGGTACAGGTTGCCGCCGTTGGCGTCCATCAGGCTCTCCTCGAACTCGGACGTCCACACGTCGCGCAGTTCCCGACGGCGGATGGCACCCATGATCTTGGCCGCCTGCTTCGCGAGCGGCGACATGGTCTTCTTGAACATGACATCGTGCCGCTGCTTCTTCTCCTGCTCGATCAGCGCGGACCGCCCAGCCATGTACCGCTGGATGAAAGGGTCTTGGACCTGTGGAATGCCCTCATCGTACTCCCATTCGGCCTGGGAATCGATTGACTCATTGTCCGAAATGTCGTTGTCTTGCGACATGTTTCCTGTTTGAGTCTTGGAGTGAAAAAAAAACCAGCCACGATGTATCTCTTCCGGCAAATGTTGATTAATCTCTCTCGTCTCCCAGATGATGCGAAGTAGATAATCAATACGACTGAATCAATTCACAACGCACTACTCGTACCCGTACTTTGGATACGAATTGAGATCAGACACATCAATCTTTAAGTTAATGTGACTTTGACTTCAGGTAAGGATCAACGCGGGAGCCGCCAAAGTCCGATCGATCGAGAAACCCCCTCTGACTAGGCACGGTAGTTAGTTACCTACTAGGTAGAGAATGAGTGCCCTTGTACGAGTACTTGTAGGTACCGTACAGCACCCTAATCTTGGCGTTCCGTTCAGGCAATTATCCTTACCAACCTAGCTAAACAGAGCCAGCGCCAAATGGAATCTTCTACTCGCCCTGGGTCCTCGTACATCTGCCCAACTTACTACCTTAGTCCATACGTCGACAGCTATCTACGGGGTATCTACTTGACCTTCACTACCGAGTCCAACACTCAGACTCTGTACAGGTACTGTATGTTAGGTTCCGTGAACTTTCACCCATCCAAGGCACGCTGCATGACCACTAGCTAGGACTCGCCCACGTCGAATTGGCACTCGGGCCCCTTTGAGTCAAGTTATCTGAAGGTTGGGATTATCCTTGACACCCAATGCTGCCCAGTGGATTGAGCTGGGAGTGTGTCCTGTCCTCAACAGGTTTTCCAGGACGAAGTACGTTTGGTATCTCGCAGGACCTGAAGAAGTTCAAGCTGGGTATGAATACTAATAGACTAGTCATGTAGTCGGGATAAGCAGTGTCCAGCTCGGGCCGTAGGGAATTTGCTCCTTTGACTCTCTCTCTTCGTTTCTAGAGCAAGCGTCAGGATATTGGTCCTTCCCATTTATTGCGCATTGCTGCGTCTGATAGGTATGTACCGGTATGTACTTTTACATGTATGTTGCTCGCTCGTCTCCTCGGAACTCCCCAAGCATGTTGTGCAGCGCCACAGTCCTTGTTCGCAAAACGAAGCCCTCGCAGAACGTGTGAACGGGCCTGACCCTGGTGAAAGTTGTGAAATCTATAGCCATCTGCGCCGTTGCTTCTCAGATGCCCCTGTTGAACTCGACCATTCCATCTACGCCTCCTTTGTCCCAAAACTCCTTCTCGAGACTTTTGGCACTCACCGCTTGTCGCTGAGGGAACGCTGCCAACGCGAGCGGCAGAGCAAAGATGCTCGTCGTAAGAATCAGACCCAGGTTCACCGGGAGGACCATTCTCGGCCGTTGTTTCATCCACTCTGTCTTTTGCAACCGTACGAGAACAAGTGGCGGAATGACCATGATCGGCGTAGCGTTGAGTACACGGGAGATGGCAGTCTCGCCCACCGCAAGCGTTGCTGCTTTTCGAGACTTTCCCAAGCTGGCAACTTCTTTCCCTGTCTTCTCCCGCTCCGCCTTCTCTGCGTCTGACTGCACGGGGAAGATGTCAATGCCACGGCGAATCTCCTCGCCTCGCATGAGGAACACATTCAGAGCACCGGCCGAGGCGACAGCTGCGAAAGGCACGAGTCGGCCGAGGATGAGCCTCGTGTTCGGAGATACTCGCTTCAGTCGAGGGACGATTGAGTTGAGCCCGACCGCCACAGAGCAGGAGGCAGACACAGCCAGGAGATAGCTTTGGACCAGCGTCTTCGTCGAGAGCGGTGACGATTTGTTGGCGTTGGCGCTGTTGATTGCCACGTTGAGAGATTGATTGATGACCTGCCACGCCACGGTCCCGGCTGTCTATTTATTACCACCCTCCCAGTTAGCGAACGCGGCCACTTCTAGATGGTATTGAGCGTCCTTACGGTCATGTTTGGCGTCAGCATACCGGCCGTCACCACCAAGTTCGAGATGACGAAGCAAGACATTCGAAACGGGAGAAACACCGGCTCCCCCGTATCTGACTTCGATTAGTTTCCACTTCGACATCTACCATACTGAATGTGTGTGTGTGCCTGCGAACCTGGATGGAGTGTGGAATCCACAATCTTCTTTGCATTCCATATCTCAGGCGTCATCGTCTTCGCTTCGCCGGTTTTGTAGGACGTGACCAGTCGCTTGGCTTGTTCGAGGCCCGACGAGGAGACGAACAGTGTCCTGGAGTGGCTCGTCAGTCAACGAGTTCGACAGAGCCTCGTTCCTCCCCGTCCGCAACGCTCATTCTACCTTCAGCACTGAGCCGGGGGACATATCACACCCCGGCAAGTACAAAGTCTGTGCATCCGCAAGTCTTCTCACCTAGGATCAGCTATCTGCGCCGATTGTTTGACTCGACCCCAATACGTGGAGAGGTCATATTGAGACGCGGGTAGGTCGCGATTTCCAGGCAATGAGGCCGACATGGTTGGCTGGCGGAACCCCCCTCAAAGGACTCACAACGCCCAAGACGCGGAAAAGATCGATAGGGCCACCACGAAACAGCTCCCATGAAGGCGCAAGCTGCTCGTGTGCACCTTGGAAATTTGGCCCTGCGGGTTCGGGCGGTCAGTGACAAGGCAGGTCAGCCGAGGATATTCCAACCGCGAATAAGCGAGTCAAACCACGACACCGAGTGATGTTGACCGCGACGTAAAGCATAGATCTGGACGAATCGAAAAAAGGACCAAATGTCGAAGCTGGCCAGATACTGGCTGGATGATCATGGAGGCTATAGAGCTCTTGAAATACACATTGTTGGACCTAATCTTTAAGCTAAAAAGGTATCTAGATACATGGCATCCTCACGTCTTGCGAGGTCTATCACTTTGACACTAGCTTTGACCAGTTGTTCGATGCAGCAGGGTGTGATATGACAACATCTCTCGGGCCGGTTTACTGAACCAGCATCCAGTGTATTGATGTAGATTGATGCTGTAGCAGCCAAATAGATTGGTCGAGCAACAAGGTTACAGCACTTTGCTTTCAACTTTCCGCAACAGCCCCAAGGTATGACAGGTTCGGGTCTGGGACACTGAAAATGTTGTCCTGGTAAACTTTTGACCTGAATTCGTGTTGGCGGGTGTCGTCGCGCGATTGTATTGTGATGTTGATAGAATGTCGGAATCCATCATTCAAGACCTCACTCTTTAACAGCATCCGCAAAGCTCTTACCTTCTTGAACTTTGCTACTTTCTTCTTCGTTGTCATCTTCCTCAGTTTCGCCGGTCCGTGTTTCATCATTGCTGTGTTGAGATGTTTGACCGGTCGCCTCTCCTGCGCCGGTGCCATTTCCGTTTGGGGCCTTTTCTTCTCTTGAGGCGTCAGCGTGCCACCTTAAATCTTTAATGTCCTCGGTATGCTGATCTCCAGTATCCTCCGACTTTGCAGCGTGATTTTCTGCTGCCTTAGCTGCCTTCTTAGCCTTCTTGGAGGACTTTGTTGCGGCATTTTGGACGACCTCGGTAGTGTCCTTTACCTTCCCAGCCGTGGAGTCTTGCACGTCCTTCGCAGTGTTTGTGACGCTTTTCGCGGTTTGCGAAACAGATTCTTTTACTTCCGACGTGGTGGTACTGGACAAGGCCTTGGTCTTTTGTGACACCACATCTGCCGTGTCTTTGGCAGTATTGGTAAGCCCGTTAACCTTATCCGCAGCCACATTACCAATGTCCTTTACCGTTTGGCTGTTCGCTGCTGTCTTGGTCTTGTCAGTCACCGTCTTTGCACTCTCTCTGATCGTCTCCAGGTCACGCTTGAATTCCTCCTTCACTTTCTCTGTGTTTAATTTCGAGGCAGCTTGTTTCGAGCCTTGTCTAGCAGTGCTCTTCACCCGTTGTGCAGCTTCGGTAAGATCCTTTCGAATCTCTTCCGTGTCGATAATTGCGTCTTCATTCCCAATGTCTTCTGAGGTGCGATGCATCTCTTCTACAGCCTCACTGAGTCTGCGTGCCACACCCTTTGACGCATCATGCAGACTTTGCCGGGCGCGGATAGCAATGTCGCTTGCCGAACTGCTGCGCCTCCGCTCTTGTCTCTTCAGGTAAGAAGTTACGAAGAATTGCCCAAAGAGCCAAGTGAGTGGCAAAAGGTAGGTGCAATTCAGAAGAATTGCAAACACTTGACCACTGGTGTCGAGACAATGTGTCCATTGCAGTTCATCCCGGAACCTGATCTCCTCTCTGGCCACCAAATCCTCTGCAGCATGAACAGCATCAACGCCAAAAGGCTCGCCTTGTTCATTGAGAACGTTTTGTGCAAGTCCTTCATAGCCGGCGGCACGTAAAGCAACCTTCTTCATCCATGCGCCAAGTCCGGCCGAGGCTGTTGCCATTGCGCTTGATACTGTGGCCGAAAGGTCGCTCGGGATGCTGTACACGATTTTTGAGGCGACTTCCCCAGGAAAGTAGGTGTATGCCACGCTCACAGGGACCTGATAGGCAATGAACAGATGTAAGAAGGCATATGTTGCTCCAACGACAAACTGTGTGATCTGCAGGGTGGTTAAGGACTGTTTGAACCACTTCGGAACGCGCATGCCGAGTGCAGAGACGAGGTAGAAGGTGTACTAGCTTGATGTTAGTATCCCATAAAGCTCAGGGTAAGAATCTGACGCACCATGATAGCATGTATTCCGGAATTGACCAGTACAAACATCCAGATGGGCGGTGACATGTACCGGATGCCAGCCCACATGCACAGCATTGCTCCTGCGTGGTGGTATGTCTGCAGAAAGCTACTCTTACGTCCTTTTGCCAGAATGATGCAGGTATCGAGGACCTCATAGAACTTGGAGAGGTAGAAAAGCCAGCCATAAAAGGCCAATCCTTCATTCCACATTCTACCCACATCTGTTGTTTCTGGAGTCAATCCATCCGCCGCCAGGTGGAACGCACGGTTTGTCATTGTCCAGGCCGTGGTGGTTGAATTGTAGATGGCAGCATTCCCGATGCCTCTTGGTCCGTGAAGCTTGCACAGCGCATCCACGGTGTCGGCTAGAGTCGGTGAATCATTCCAAGACGGCAAGCACAAACGGAGAGCATTCCCCATGCCCACACATGTCCATGCTGAATAAACAGCGAGAAAGACATTGTGTAGTATGACAAAGAGCTTGAACACTCTTGTTCTACTCAATGCCCAAGGTTTGTACTTGCGCTGCGCATTGACCGCGTTCATGAGAGTGACAAATGACATGTACACAAGTGCAACTGTGATGGGCACATGAGGAGAGAGGGTCGCATTGTAGATGTCGGCCGGCACCGTGAATGGGTGGGCGAAGCTCGGATTGTCTGGAGGGGGTGGTAGGGTCGCAGGCTTGGGCGAGGGAGGAAGAACTTGGAAGTATGAGGCGGGTGGTTTTGCAATCTTGACATTCGGCGCAGTACTTTCGAGGCCTAGCCAGTCGTAGATAGCAGTGATCGACATGGCGAAGTTGCGGTCAGTTCTCGAATCTGTGGTGGCAGTCGGTCGCGTGAGCACAATGTGACGGCACAGAAATTCAGAACCTGTGTCTGGTAGAGAACAGAAGGTGTGAGAGTTGTTTGAGAGGTTTTGCAGTCAAGGACGATGATAGCTAGCTCAAGGCCATGTCCCGGAACAGTGTGGAAGTTGAGGCAAGTGGTCTTTTTGGTAACAGGAGCAAAGCGCGCGAATAGTGAATGTCGCAAACGAAAGCGAAAAAAGAACGTCGGAAAGCGAGTTACCGGGATGAGGAGGGGCGAGTTTGGTAGGTGTCTGTTTGTGGTGACGGTGAAGCAGTAATTAAATGGCTGGTGTTCTTCTGGTGGTCCTTGGTATTTGGTGCTGCTTGTCCTTACGTCTTTCTTTTCTCAGAGGCGGAAGCCTTTGCCTGATGCACCTTGTGCCCGTAGCGTGCATCATTTTTTGGGGGCTTGTGAGCTATACCCATGTCTTACGTCACGAAGCATTGAGTTTGCCAGACGCCGAGGCTGAGATGAATACGTCAAACCGCCTGCTTGCGCCAGGACGGAAAATCCGGGGATTTCACACTAAAGTTAGCCAGCCCCGACACCAACTCTCGGACGCTGACTGTACGAGTGAGTACACCACGAGCTCCCTATGCTGCACCCGCGTGCGAGGATCACACCAGATAGAGCTTACATGCCTTGGTGTTTGGCATGGCGCGGACGAGGACCCTACAAGTGCTGGCCACACAATCCACCAGCTACGCACACCCGCTCCAAGCACCCAAGCACCCAAGCACCCAACCAGCCTCGGGGTTCACCACGTCGTCACTTTATCTCGGCAGCTTGTTCCGCGCCAGTTGACATCATGCGCGATCAATAAATCTATCACGCTCGTATGGGCTCAATGCTTTAGAAAGGCATACCATATGACTTTAGAGCGCCGGTCAACATAATCTACGAGACCGGCCTGTAATTGATACCCCTTGGCTCTTCCTCACACGCTCAGGCCGTCCAAGTGAGGCCCCTGTTGTCGAGCACTGAGATGAAGTCCGTGAAACCCAAATCCAAGCGCCCCGTCAACGTGAGCTCGTCCAACTTCCTGCATTGTCTTCGCATCAAGGACGAGCAGGTAACTCTTCCCCGCCGTTCCATCGAGGACCACAGTCAGGAGCACACCATCGTCCTCGTCATCACTCTGTCCGGATGGCACAAAAATAGGTTCACCAGCAGTGTGTCCGTGCTTGGCCCATCGTTTGACCTCGTGGGTCTCTGCATCGTGCTTCGCGAGACCGTCGGCAAAGGTAGATTTACCAGTGTCCACAATTCCGTACATGTAACGATGTTTCTTAGTGACCTTTCTGGAATTGATGGTTGGAAGTTCGAAGGCATCTTCCTTGCTGCTTTCGTACTCCAATATTGCCTTGCGCGGCTTAAGGTCTTTGTCAACGGGGATCGAGGCCAGGCGGAATCTCCGGTAGTTCGGGCGTACCGCGGGATCGAGACTTTTCATGTACGTCGAGGCTTTTGGTGAGTCGCTGATGAGGTTGTCCAGATAAAACCGGTACAAAAGGTCCATATTTTCGTAGGCAGCCAAATCCGCCACAATGTCGACAGAGCCGTCCTCAAGGGCGGAAGGCTGTTCATAGGCATTGATGGTGTGAAAACAGAAAAATGGCGCCGACTCGTACTTGGCAATGAGACCTTTGCCTCCTTCGGGAGTGGTTCTCTTGTCGACCACGAACCATGCTGCAGGCTGCTGATCGTTCCAGGTCATCGCATCAAGTAGATTCTGTGTCCACAGGATGGGGGCGCCTCCACCTTTGTAACTGGAATTCCACACACACAGTACCACGTAGTTCTCTGTCAAGAAGAGAGAGTGGATATAGGCTGCGGTGTGCTGGAACGTGGCCAGAATAGAAGTCTTGCCCGTCGACGCTGAGGCGCGGAACACTCGATACGTGCCATTCCTCCCGAAGTCGAGGTTGTAGTTGTACACATCACCATCCGCAGGATCTGACTTGGCATGCGCACCACTTGCGCGCCCTTTGAGCTCGGGGTTGAGCACATCCTGCTGAGCAATACCCACAGGTTCCAAGGTCTCAGGATCCAGCATCTGGACGAAACTGGCATCGGTCTTGTTGCAGAGAGTGATTCTTTCGCTTGGGCTATGGGGCCCATTCAACTTTTGGCCGGTGCCAGATAGACCAGGAAAGTTCACAGACATTGTGACAGCTGCGTTGACCTCATTCGGTCTACGAACTAATGGCTGGTGGAACACCGACTGCATCTTCTGGAAAAAGGATTTGCATGGATCGTATTTCGCAGCGAAAGTGAAGCCCTCAAGCTGACCGGTCTTTCGGATCTTCTCAATGAGCCCGTCACTCGTCAACCTTGAATTGTAGGTCACCTTGACCGGCGATCCTGCTTCTGGAGGATGAATCTGGAAGCGATGTACCTGAGAGAAGTTGTCGAACCAGTGATTGACTTTGAACTCCTTTCCGGCGGTAGATCTGACTATCCTTGGACCTAATCCTGTGCGAAACAGCGTGCCTGCAGCGTATGGCGGAATTGTTCCCTCAACCCGGAGTTCGATGGGCTCCCGCTCTTCATATGTGGAGTCGAACTGGAAAACAGTTATTACCAGCTTCATGGTAAGGTTGGATACCTACACCTAATGTGTTCGGCCAATCATTGTAGTGCGAAGGTACCTGCATCTCAAAGGAGTTGATATCTTGAGCGACGTAACAACCGAGTGCTTTTTCTCCACTTTTCAGACCTGGGAAAGTCAAGTGCAATGTCTCTGGTATCGAAAGTCGCCGAGGATTATGATCTTCTCGTTATTCACGTTCATCCTCGCATAGCTCCTCGACTTTTATGTTAGCAGTAACACTTGAAACGGGGCGGGCTTTGAGCAATGAATCTATCCGCCTTCATTTCTAAGGACGTAAGTCTCGCCCTGTCCCACAAACTAGCACTATGCTAGGAGTTGTGAATACTTACAGACATTGTCCAATATGTTGCCGAAAAGGGTATGATGCGCGAGGGATAGTCTTACGGCCGACAGCCTCGACAGAAGGGTCTTGCGACATACGATACGTCCAGAAGACGGGACTAAGGTGCAACTTGACATATTTGGGGTTCCATATGAGTATATGTAGTCGCTTCTCAACGTGGGAACCCCTCATCCAGGCGATCTTCGAGGGCACCGCATCCAGATAGCATCCATCACCAATGGCAGCAATGCCCAAAGTCACTTAAGAAAAGCGGGCACACGGCCAAGACGTTGCTTTCGCTTCTCAAGTGCCAGGACAATGGTGAGTCGGTGATTGGTCCGCAAAGCCTCTTACGGCTTATTGCTTGTCGAGCAGTTATTGTCAATGTCGACAAAAGGGTCCTCGGTGCGACCTGCAGAAGCTTCTGGCCAGCGTGTGAGTGGATGGAATCGAGAAGCAGTCGGAAACACAGTCCAGGCCATTGGAAGATGCATTTTCGAGTCGGCCATGACCTTCAGGAACGCCCAATCACAGCGGTAGAGAGCCCAGCTTCCGACTGCCGTGTAGATGTAGGCCTGAAGTTATGTGAATCTCACGCATGTAGTTGTGAAGAGTAACGACTTTGCTGAGGATGCCTACTCACTAGTTCCGGTTATAAGCGAAGGGCTCGCCTAATATTCCTTTTGAGGAATAGCGTGAATGGCTGACAACAGCAGTCACTCTGCCGCAATCCCATACTCCCCTTGGGCTTCACACACCTTGACGACCAGATGCCTCCATCCCTAGACGTTGACCCTCCCATAGAGGATGAATACGATGAAGAGGCCGACAGCGACTTTCAAGAAGATGAAGTCGGCGACGATGACATCTCCTCCACATCCGAAGACGACCGCACCGAGGAGGGCGATATCTCTCAGAGACCTCGTAAGAGGCGGAAGATAGAGAATGTTCAGTCAGTTCCCATCGCCGAACTTGACTCAGGTGATGAGGCTACAATCAAAGAGCAAAAATTCTCTCGCAAGAAGCGCCCAAAACAGGACAACAATGAAAATGAGAGTGGTAACGAGTCGGAGGGATGGCGAGCCCGAACACGCGCCATGCGGACAAAGGAGAAGGAGGAACGAAGAAGAAACAAATTGGCATCCGTTAAGGGCAGCACCATCGATGTGGACAAGATATGGGAGGAGATGAACAAGCCACAACCACTACATCCACCTCATGTGCAACACGAGCGCAATGACATACTGGACGACAAAGCGATCGCAAAGCAGTCGACCAACGCGACAGACGGAGACTTGGAAAAGGAGAATGTACCGACAATGTATTCAGAAGAAATGATAACTATCAAGCGCACCTATAAATTTGCTGGCGAAGTCCACGTCGAAGAGAAGAATGTCCCCAAGTCTTCCGCTGAAGCGCAGCTCTGGCTAGCACAGCAACGGTCGGCAAAGGCACCCACGCTTGATGGGGACAACAAGATCCTCAACAGGCCGCTTCGGAAGATTTCTCGCTTTGATCCTAATTTCAGCAATCTGGCCGCCTTCCAGTCGTCCTGGATCAAACAGAGTGCAGAAGCAGGCGCTCACTCCGGGCCCAAGCTCAACGTGGTGGAAAAGAGTAAAATGGACTGGGCAGTACATGTGGACGCTGAGGGGCTAAAGGAAGAGCTGGATGTACATGCCAAAGCAAGAGATGGCTACCTCAGTAGAATGGACTTCTTAAGGGAGGTAGAAGGTCGCAAAGAGGCAGAAGCGAGAGCGGCAAGGCTGAGAACTGCATGATTGCGGCTCCAGTATGCAGCTCCGACACTGACAATCCTGTTGCTAAGACCCAGGTACATACCTATCTCGGTTTGTATGAAGCATTCTACATGCGCAAGCTTGACGGGCATTTTGCTTACTCGTCCTTTCTCTCGGCGCTCAGGACTGTGAATGTTACTGCTGCTTCCCACTTCCCCATGATTGATTGTTTATCTCATATTCATTCTCGTTCTCACTCTCACGTGCCTTCCCGTCTCCTGTCCACAGCTCCTGCTTCCAATCTTTGTCAATGCAACCCCTTCTCTCCAGACACAAAGATATGTGGTAGCAGCTACAGCCATTGAGCCTTTGCCATCCTCTTCCGACAAGCTGGAAGCTCCCCTCCTGGTGCAAACTGCGGTGCAAAGATGCAAAATCCGAAACCACAGGTCACAGTCTCGTTCTCGGTTCCCAATCATCCACTCCGCTCCCTACCCACCAACATACACAATGGCGCTCGGTTTCCAAAACGCACCATAGCTGCATCGCCATTGAGCAAGGAGATTCCACAGCTCTCTCCAGAGTCTCAACGCCCGAGTTTGCGTGCGAGGAATTCGGTGACCTCTCGAGCAAGCAGTGTGCCCTCCACCCCACTCGACGACATTCCGAGGCCTCTTTGGGAGCGAACTTTCATTCGCACGGCGACCACTCCAGAGGCAACGAGTCCAGAGCTCTCGATTGAAGAGATCACCTCGACAAAGCTTTCACTCGACGACGAGGAATTTCTAACCAGCTTGCCAGACAGTGAAAACTACAAGCAGGCGAAACTTGGAATATCTTGTGCGAGAAAATGCACCGTGGACATTGGGGAAGACCGTCCAGGCAGGTGGAAGAAGATGAGAAGGACATTGAGAAAGATACCCAACGATCTCTTCGCCTGGAAGAGTCGACCCTCCACACCCGTCAAAAGGGAGCTTTGCGTCGACCATCCTGCTACCACCGAATCTTTGTTGCCGGAACCAGAACTCCTGACCGAATCCTGTGTGCCACCGCCAGCAAAGTCGACGGATGTGCAAGAGCCTGACAAGGAGATTGTCGAACCTCTGGTGGTATGTGTGCTAATAGGTCTCAGACACAACACTGACATTAAGTACAACAGTTAGACTATGACGGAATGCCAAAAGGGTCAGTTTCTCGATCTGAAGAGTTATCCCAAGTATGTATGAAACTGCACCGCGCTGAATGGAGACTCATGGCACTCAGGTCTCGAGAAGAATTCGCGAAGAGCTGAAGGATAGCAGTAGAATGCAGACGTCTTCGAAGTCAACGGTATGCCTACATCACTGAAAAGAATCCGCATCTCTGATCAGAGCAGGACCCGCCACCACATTTCAGAGGTCCGTTCCTCAACCAAAGAACCCACAAATTGTCTTCGAAGGCACGCGTTGCTGCGACTCACCTCTATGGTCAACGCGGGTTGCCTCCCGACTTTCCCCCTCGTCGTCGTCGACTGACAGATAAACCGACAACTTCGGCCCGTGGTGAGGGAGCCCATCGCTATTCTGTCAGCATTCATAGGCCGAGGAGGCCAAGTTTGTCGAATGCTACAATTGGCCAGAACTCAGCAGCATCCATCGGTCGAACTTCCCGACCAAGTTCGAGGCCAGGTACAAATGCGGAATCCAACAAATCGATAAGCGGCAGAACAGCAGTACCGAGACCAATGGTGTATATGGATGGAGCGATCTCTTCCTCTACCATACTTTGGGACCATGGTTTCGTTAGACAGCGACCCTCAACCTCATCCACAACCCGCCCAGCACCAAATTCAGCTTCTCGTCCGACCACTCGTGCCGGAGCTGAACCCTGCGCTGTACGTTCACCCGCACCTGAAATCGAAATGGGAGGACGAGATATTCCCGAGTGGGCAAAGGTTCCAACTTTTGTTCCAAGAACGGTTAGAGCTCCTCGTAGAACGGCAAACCAAGTCGGTTTATCAGGCGATACGGCTCCACTGAAGCCAGCCCGGGAGGAGAGCGACATGGATGGGTTCCAGCCTGAACTCAATCTTTCCGACACTGCAATTTCGGACGTGTCATTTGCGTCTTTGCATGTGCAGACTTCCAATCAGTCGTCGCTCGAGAGACAAGCTGTGTTGCGAAACAAGGAGAACGAGTTCGAGGTCCCGCAGCGAACGTCTGCTAAGAGTCGAGAGAGGATATCCCAGCTACTCGCCACTACTTGGAAAGAAGGTAATAACAAAATACGGCGCATGGCGTTACAAGGGCCCGCTGTCTAGGAAAGGCTCCACCATTTAGGTAACCCACAAAGCACAACACATGCAGCGTCACTTTGACTAGGTTGGGAAACGATGGTTGTTTGTCAAGTCTGCTGCGACGACCTCGGCTTGGAGAGATTTCGCATTGCGCAACGGGATATTACATTGTTTGGTAGTAGAGCGCAACACGCACGAGTATCTACAGCACTCGGCTTTCATTTCAGCGAGAACCCTGCTTGATATTGTCGACTTTGGCTAACCAATATGAGTTGCACTCATTACTGGTGTCTCCAGGTTGACCAAGGCTGGATAGCAACAATCTTATCAAAAACGCGGATTCTTCTAGTCCTTTGTCTACTAAGAGTGCATCTCCCGGTCGTTTTGCGCCCAAGCTAATAATAAAAGTCCAATGATGGGCTCCTTTTGTGCAGAGAAAACCGCCGACTTCTGGGGGGCAGAGGTTTCAATTTGCAGCAAGACCAATATTGTAAGTTGGCTAAGTTAGTATTGATAGAATGATGGCACGGTCATCATCTTGGGGTCAGTTGCAAATGGGTAATACATTAGTTGTTGAAACGAAACGATGCTGGTCTCGCTTTAAGCTACAAGAGTCCAGGGCCATGACGGACAGCGTTTGCTCACGGTGCAATCTGGCAGTTGTTGCAACCGTCCCTGTCTTTCTATCCATGTAAAGACTGTCTCCCACTTCCGAGGAAAGTATTTCCAGAGAGCCCCAAAGGCCAGACCAGGCTTGAATGGCAATGGCAATGTCAACACCAGCCCTCAAAGGACCACACCCTTCGAAACCCTGAGCCGATCCTCGAAATTTCTAGGATCACGAGCGCTTCGCGTGGAGCGGTAGGCGATCGGCCACAGACAAACTACGATCGGTGCGGTTAGCCTGTTTCCGTCTTTGTCTTTTTGAGAGAACATGTCCTCGCTGACGTATGAGGCTCCCATCGAAGGGAAGACGAATGTATAACGCTCCCTTGTGATTTTGTCTTTGCCCGCTCGCCAGTGTAGAGCATCCTTGAAGATGGAGATCAGCGCCTGGTCAAAATTGGCTTGAACGGGCGATTGCTTAAAGGCCGCCGGATGGTCTGACTCTGGCTCGGGGAACTCGATTATGTCCTCGGTTCCTCGAGACAGTTGTGCTCGGGTGGCCAGCCTAGGAAGGAGCAGCTCGACGAAGGTTTGAAACCTGAAAGCCATGTCTTCTGCGCGTGATTGGATTTTGGGTATGATATTCTGATCAATGTAAGCAACCAAGAGCTTTTCTCGAATGACAAGCTCGAGCTCAGGGTCCAGAACTGCAAATGAGTCAGTAAAGACGTGGAGACTCCTTCGCCAACGTTCGCACTCACAATTTTCAAGGACCTTTTGAACTACACCATTACCATAGCTTTGATAGATGCTCTGCTCACCCATCGCGTCGGACTTGGTCTGCCCAGCGTCAAGACACCACCGGGTGACAGCCGCAGCAAGCAACGAACGAATGAAGACGTGCCAGCCAATGATTTTATGCTGCTGCAGTCGTTGGTAGAGGACGTGACGGGCCCGCACGCTGTCGCCCGGATACCCCAGCACGGCCATCATGAGACGAGCGAGCTTATCGGGGTATGCGGACTCAGGCTCGAAGCAGATTGGCTGATCCTTGCCAATTTCTGAGCCTTCGACCAAGTCTTTCACAGCCTCTGTGATCTTGTCATATATCTCACGCAATTGACCATCGATAGCGCCATGGGACGAGAGCCGTTCATACCCGCGCTCAAGCAGTTCAGTGGCTTTGGGCAAGTTGGCTGTTTTGCTCTTAGGGCGTATCGTTGAAAAGTTTCGTAGGTCGAATGGCTGCAGAGCAGGCAGAGCAGGCAGTGTCCGGGCAGGTCGCTGTTGATCGCTGGATATCTCTCGACGTAAGACAGGCTCCGACTGTGGTGGAATTTCTCTAGTTTTATCGATGACTGCGTGGCCATCTCCATCATCCGTCCCGGTGTTGCAGGGTCGAAAGTGTTTTGAGGTGCGATCATCAGTCTCTGCGTCTGGAGACTTGCGTTTAGAACCTGGCTGTGGAGTGCTCGATGTCTCCGTGGGCGGGCTCGCCGTCCCACTGGTGGTCAACTGGATTCGAGTCTCAATCTCCTCCGGGGTGTAGAGAGTCGCATATCTCTTACCCAATGTGTCCCAGTTGAATATCTTGACGCCGTACTTGTAGATTGTAGTGAGTGGCTCTTGGTATTGAGGAAGTCTGAACTCGTCGTACATACGCTTGAGCTTTTCAGTGATCTTGAGGAGTCTTTCTGGTGGTGTACAGCGCTGCAGCATCGGCACAAGCTGGAGAAAGTCGTCATTTTCTGCCAGCTCCTGTATAGCCGACTCGCCGTCTTGTAGGAGTTTCCCACCAGGCCCCTTGTTGTCTTCGATCCAGTCCAGCACAAACTTTTCTGCAGGCAACGGCCAGTTTACTCTGGGCGCCATAGTAGCTGCTTGTCGCCAAAGTCAGAGTCTGGAGCAAGGTTACGACACCAAAAAGAAAGATAGACTGGACTGTCGAAGTTACGATCCCGTCGATCAAAGTGGAGAGTATCATGTAGCAGATAGAAAATGAAGAGACAAGCAGAAATGCGGAAGTTCGCAAGTTGCAGCAAATATAAGCCATCGTGTTTGATTGTATCACAAAGAATGTACATAGCCGAAGAATGTGTCTCACTGGCCAACAGTCCGTGGGTGACCTGGATGCGGTCAAAAGGTAGCATCACCGTTCACGAATGTCAACAATAGCATGAATAGGGATGGATGGATTGGAGTGAAAGCCGAAGACTATTCACGGTTGCACAATGCCATGGGAAAAGCCTTCCTCATTGAAGAGAGAAACGCCGTTCCCTTTCTGTCATCAATTGATGAAAACAGTGCAAGTGAGAAAAGCGCCGGATGCGGATTTACTAAACACCCGGAACGACACGTGACGCTTGGCGGCTGTTGTTGTAGCGGCGTGAAGAGAATTTAGTACGAAGTAGAAGAAACAGAGCACATGCCGCTATAAGGCCAGTAGGTACCACGTTCAAATTGTCACGTCTTTGCCATTGCATGTCTTCTCACTCGCTACTTTTTTTGCGCTCTCAGGCACAGAAACTACCGTACAGATTTCGTATCATAGACTCGGCTCCAGCTCAATGACGACATCGATTGATATCCATCCTGCCAGCGTCACTCACAGCCGCCTCCGCCGCATCCTCGCTGCGAGGAACAGTCCAAAGCTGCGCGCATCTTTGCCGTTGTGCTCCCCATGAGTGCTGGATGCATGTACAAGTCCTTGAGCGGAAATGAAGCGACCATACCCTTTTCAATGGCTCTGGCATTGTGGACCTGTTGACCACCGCATGGAATCGTCAGTTCCAGCGAGGCCATCAATCTGTCCAGTTTGAGCTTGACTTGGTATCGAAAAGTGAGATGATTCGACCCCTCTTCTTGGTCAAGAGTGAATCCACTGCTTTGGAGGCTCGGAATGGTGATCCTAAGCATTCCTACTTCACTCGGACCCTCCGAATCTTCGCCTGCACCTCCCCGTCGAATCACTGGCAATTCAAATGCCAGAGGAAACTTTGGATCCCTAATAGTTTGCGCGCCGATTATACCTCTCTCTTTGTAGGGAAACAAGGCTGTGTCTTTTTCGACAATCCACTGGATTCCGTACTCTGCTCTGATTCCGTACCATGTCCGACTTTGGATGAGAGTCGCAAGGTCCTCCGTGGCGAGCTCGAGGAAGTTGCCCTGGGCCACCGCAGATCCGTCCTTCGTCTCCATCAATTGGACGCTGATTGAGTCGAAGGATTCCCGGATTTTGCGGAGCACATACGGTGGGAGGCTTCCCCAGCCGGTGAGGCCGATGAATAGAGGCATGGTGCCTTCGTATTTCTCCCGCACTGATTTCAATTGCTCTTTCAACACTCGGATGATGCGTTCTAACCATTCGTCGAAAATTCGTCGCATGACCACACCCTTGAGGACGATGCGGTCGTCTTCTATCCTGAAACCTTGGATTTCGGCATTAGGAGGTTGAAAGAGATAACTCTCGTCGAACATCGGAACAATATGGTATTCTGGTTTGGAGTCGTTGTAAGTTCTCTTGACTAGCTCGAAGCCTCTCTCAAAGGCCTCCAGCACTTGATATTCATCTCCCTGGAACTCGGGAACCAATTCAGCGATCTTGCCATCTAAGTGATGGCGAAGAAGAGCCTTGAACTTCTCGTTCAGCTGCTGAGAGCCGTCACATGATCCCGTGCCAGGAATTACTTCTCCCAGCTTGTAACTGGTTCTGTTGGATGCAACATGATATGGGTACAGGCACGAGTAGTCAGTGGTGCCACAGCCAATGTCGACGATAATGCTGACTACTCCTTTCGGCTTCTCTGCTTGTGCTTTCTGCCAGACATGGAAAATGGCTGCAGATTTCGCCTCGGAGAAGATGAAAGTCGTCTGGGGGAGTCCAGCGTCGTGGAGGAGCTCGCGGAACTTGTCGAGCATGTCCTTCTCCCAAGTTGACACGGTAGGCATCGACATGGCTACATCAACTTTCTCCTTGAATATTGTGTCTACCATAGACACGTCAAGAGCGTACTTTTGAGCAAAGTGCGCCATCGTCGACCGCAATAGAAACCGCAGAAACTCGACAATGACACGAGATACTGAGTTGATGGTGTGCGTGGAATAGGTGCGACGAAGAGGGTCGTAAATGCGACACAATCCTCCAGATGTGGTGTTGCATATGCTGTCTATGACATGCTGATGCTCTTCGCGGAGATTTTGGACCCCGACGTCATAATGCTTCGAAAGCAGATGCAACTTCATCAGGTTCAGTCTTCCAATGAGCTTGAACTCTCCAGGAGGAGTTTCACATGCTGTCGATCCAAAGACAAGTTGACACGGAGAAGTAGGCTGGGCGACTGGCTGCCAAATTGCGGCAACAGTATCCACGCGGTGACTTCCTTTTTCGTTTAGAAGAATATTGGTAGCTTGAGGGCATGTCAACAGTGTTGCGAAAGGAGACAAAATATCATAGCATACTGATGAAGTTGCAGTGCCGAAATCGACTGCGACTTTCACCCGCACATCACCAACCAGACCGATGGTCTGAAGGACATCGTCAAGATTTTCGATATGAAGGTTTTCGAGACCTTGGGCTGTCTCTTCCATTTTGATACCAAGATCTGTTTGCGGGAATATTTGAGGGACGCTTGTTTTGGAGAGACAAGCAGGTGTTGAAAAGATCTCAAGATATTTCAGAGGCGCCGATATAAATGTGTGGCGCCTACAAAAAACAACTGGTCAAAGAGTGCCGGTACCAGCAAGGGACAGAAGGCAGCGAAGAGTTCGCTTAGAGAGGCAGCGCATGTTCACTAGTTGAAGAATAAGACGGGGCCCGCCCTTCGAGGACAACAAAAAGGGTCTCTGTCAATGGTTTTTGTGTGATTCAACGCGTCTTTGTCATTCTGCTTGGACCCTGGCTCCGCGACCTGAAAGAACCAAAGTTTCTGCCTTTGGCCATGAATGCGCTGCCTCTTATCAGGGGCATGTACATTCATCTCCACATGAGCCACCAAGGGAAAAGATATCGCCTTAGTAACAGTGGGAGACACGAGAGATAATAAAGACAATCTTTAGAACCCCCCTACTGGGAAAACGCGCGTTTTCTGAGAGATTGTGTATTGCTTTATTGCTGCTAGTAACTGCTGGCAATCTAGGGATTTTTATGTGACCCCAGGACCCCAGGGAAATGCTCTGACTCCCTGGGGACAGTATGCGCTCCAAGTTAGTGGCGCAATCACTAACTAACTTCGGTTAGACTGAAGACATTCCCAGAACGGGCAAAAGTCGCGGGGAAAGAACAAGCACCCTGTGCCGAGCCCTCAAGCTCAATCACGGTGTCTTGCGACTGCGATCTGGGAGCCCGTCCGTACCTTGTCTGCTTTCAATGAAAATTCTCCATCTAACGGGGCGCGGGCAACTCTGAAAGGTTCGTGAGCCCAGTGCATGGATCAGGCACAGCGCGCCAGCCGACCTGCGTGGGCCTGCGATAGGTGCCGCCGGCAAAAGCTAAGAGTATCTCGGCCCTCCCATCGCGGTTCTTCTGCATATCCTGACCTCTGGAACTAGTGTGATGTCGAGAAACCCTGCACTCTATGCATCAGAGCAGGGACAAAGTGCGAACCACAGTCTTCGACGCAGAGAAGTCCTCTCAAGCGTAAGGGGTCCTTCAACCACACAGCAGGTCGCGGGGCCAGACTGGAAGGCCCGTCAAGCACTCCTCTGTTATCACAGTCTGGCACGCCACGCATCCCGCTGCAAGCAGCTTGTACTTCTGCTGTTGATCAGACTCAATCATCTAGCTACATCCGCGACTTCGATGGCAGCCCGGATTTGGTGAGTCGATCAGAAGCAAGTCCTGATGAAGGACGACAGTATGGCGCAAACGACTCTACCATGGGTTTTGCGAAAATCATTCTCGGAGAAGACGACGACAGTGATTCTCCAGCCAGCGGAACAATCCCTGGTGACCCTGGACGGGCGACCGTAGATCCGCAAACTCCACACCACATTTCGACGCCTTTACCCTGTCAAGGCTTCTTGCCAATCGCTGTGGACGCCTACTTCGACAGAGTGAATTGGTACATTATGCTCTTCCATCAGCCGTCATTTGTCAACCGCGCACAAGAGATCCTCAGCCGTTCTACATGGCCGCAAGAGGACTTGTGCGAGGTTCTTCTCATCATCATGGTAGCAGTACTGGGCCTGCGTTGTGTAGAGCATGACAAAACTTGGAATGGACACCAATTGTTGCATGCTTATTCGGCGACAGCAGCGTCATTGAGCTCAGAATTGATGATGCTGATAAGCTCACACTTTTACGAAGTCTTGATGGAGGCAAGAATCGAAGCATACCAGATTTGCATGTTGATGGCCAACTATCACGTCTACTTTGGCTCGTCGAATTTTGCCTGGAACGTGTCTGGGGTGTCTGCCAGAACGGCATATGCGCTAGCTCTTCATTGTGACAAAGCGAAAAGCACCGGTGGTGATATTGCTCGCGAAGTCAGCAATCGTTGCTGGAACCACCTGGTTGTATCTGACCAATTTTCGTCCATGATCTTTGGCCGTCCGGCGACGCTAGATCCTGCATTCGCTCAGTTCAAGAAGCTCACGGACCTGGACGATACGGAACTCCCTGCTGACACGGCAAGACTTGGCATTTTACAAGGAAGTCATCCAAAAGTGACATTCCTCACATACCATGCTTTGAAGTTCGAGATTTACCATATCATCCGACACACTTTGGAAAGTTTCAAAGTGCTCCAGCTACGAAGCCCAGTCACGGTGCAAGATTTGAAGACGTTGATTCAGGTCGTGAACAGCACAGAGGTCATGTTGGAACAATGGCACGAGAACCTTCCTACCGTGTTCAAACCTTCCCAGTGGCCAGCGGACGACCCATGGAATGTTCTTGAACTTGACAGATGCGACTGGGACGAAAGGAACATCAGAAGGAAACTCGGACTCCAAGGATTTATTCTGCAGCTCTTATACGACGCCGCCAGAGTATGGGCTCGCCGGCCGTTGTTGAAACTTCGAATCTCCATCCCGCCAGAAGAGAGCATCGAGAACATTGCAATCAGTGATGTCCCGGACTCCCTGGGGGCGTCGGTACAGGCAGCGTTGCGCATGTCACGGGTCCCGGTCGCTGAATTTGACGGCCACCTTGCTCAATCGTTCGTGCTGATGCACCTCTTTACGGCGGGCAGTGTTCTGTGCATAGCACCGACCTGTCAACCGTACAGCAAAACCGCGGGCGAAGCGAAGGCCGGAGTCCTGAGAATCATCTCCGCGTGTAGGGCCATCAAAGACGAGAGCAAGATCGCCAGGCACATCGATCAGATGCTGACGAGGCTGTACAAGAAGACCATGGAACGGGAGATGGACAACGCCCTACGATTACCGCCGGACACGGTCCCGCCGAAACATCATATAATAATAGACCACATACCGCCTGTCGGGACGAAGCACGCCCGAGACACCGCCACCACCACCACCCATTCGCAAGCCCGACCACACTCAGAGCAACTTAATCCTTTGGTGCCCAAAGCCATGGCTCAAGCCGCGATGGAAACGTCGGGAAACATCGTCCCCGACCACAGAAGCGGCAGCCTGAATGTCCAGACAGAATACCATGCCCACAACCCAGATGGAGGTCAACTTCCTCCTCCTGGTGAACCCGTGGTGTCATACCTGCATTTCGAATCCCTTCGGAACAACGATCGAATCGAGGCTCACGTCGATGAGGACTTCGATGGAACATTTGGCGCGTTTGAAGAAAGTAAGTGTGTCTCCAGGATTTGAGAAAAAAAAAGGGGGGGGCAGCGAGCAGTACCCCTCGCTGCTCTGAAGCCCTTTTTCCCGCGTACGGAAAATAACTTCCAATGTCCGACGAGCTTTTTTGGAGCTTATAAGCAACAGAGCGGATCCCCCTGGGTCAGAGTGACAGATGCTAACCATTGTGTGTGATGTGCTCTCAGTGTTTAATCTTGACTTTGCCGAATTCCCACTCAAACCTTATTGACGAAGAAAAGTTTGTCTGATTGTCAGGGTACACAAGGTTCGAGGGACGCATACCTTAATAAGTTAAGATACCGTCGAGACTCCGCCTCCACAGATCTGTGCACAAGGTTAAAAACCCTACATCCCCAGACCAGCCCCGGCATGAGTCCCTTTCGGGACCATCACCCTACGACCTCGTCACGGAAAAGAGAACGGACGGGAAGATGATCTCAGGCTCTTACTTTGTATCGTGCTTGTACTTGTAATCGTCCTCGTACGATGGTATGATTTTCAAAGAGTGAAAAGAGAGAGAGGTTTCCATGCATATTACAGAGACATTAGCCGTTATATGTGCTGGGGGATCCCGAAGGATACCTATCACTGAGGTAACAACATTTCGCTTTTCATCAATTCCCGCTCATTCGCTCGCTTACTTCTTGGGTTTCGGGTCGTTTCCAAGACGTCGAGGAACGTGTTGAAAACAACAACAACAACATCAAAAAAATTCAGTCGTGAAAATGATCACGCTCGCTCAGAGTCATTACCTATATACACAGACAAACAACAAAGATGCAATAACATCTCCGTTGAAGAAAAAGCAATCTTCAAAAAAAGACATCGATCAGTCTCTGTTGACGACCCTCAAGCTTCTTCTCGGATTCAACACGACTCCCAGGAAACTCGGCTCCTGTCCAGCCATCAGGTCCTCAGTGCTGCTTGCGGCCGTCGCACTGCCCGCGCCGCCGGCGACGTTTCTGTACGGGTTGTTACTGTTGAGTTGATTTGCCCTGGCAGAGGTAGAGCGCGCACCCGTCGTACTCCCATCGCCCGAATGGTTGTCTGCGCTGTTTCGGCTGTCCGTCTGGCTCTTGTCGGTGTATTTCTGAGCTGCGACGCCCTCACTTGCAGCAGCAGAACCACCCGCACCCGCGCCGATGTAGCGTGGATCTCCGGACAGATGCTGTCGCTGCGCCATGTCGGAGTGGTTCTTGTAGATCCTGAGCTGCTTGCGGTACAGCCAGACGCAGAAGCCCAAGTATGCAGCCAGGACGGCGAACAGACCAGCGATGACACCCGCGACAATGGCACCGACGTTGGTCGCTCCGCCTCCGCCCCCGCTTGAAGAATCGCTTCCATTTCCGGAGCCGTCTGACCCGCCGCCACTCGTTGGACTACTGGTCCCGCTGGCACCGGGTGCCCCTGTGACGCTGTAGGTCAGAGGCTGTCCCGTCATGAGGGGTCCTTGTGTCGCTGTCTGCGCTGGCTGGGTCACGGTCGCGGCGCCCACGGCGTTTCCGCCTACGACGCGCTGAACAGCCGGGGGCACAGCATAGCCATAGCTTCCTTGCAAGGCAGCGGCGTCGTCGCGCTGGCTCTCCTGCCGATTAAGATCGTCCCTGGAGTCGAGCGCGACGTACTCGTTCTGCCAGCTCAGACTGCTCGTGTTGAACACGTACACGCCTGGGCTGTCACAACCCTGATCCTGCCCGACGTACCCGCCCACCACGACCATCTGCGCGTTCCACACGTTGCACGTGTGTCCTGCCCTGGGTCCCGGCGTCGCCTGGTCGGACGTGTCGACCTTGATCCACGTGAACGAGGGGACGGTCAGGATCCACATGTCGTCGTACTGGATTTGGTCGCCGTAGGGGACGAGGTTCTGGCCTCCGTACATGTGCACCTGCGTAGACGTGCCGTCTGCGGCCGAGACGGCGACCGCGCACGGATTCACCCGAATGTCGGGCGTAGGCCCGCTGGTGGCCTGCTTGTACCATTTTGACGCCGCAATGTCGTATACGTCGATGACATTCATCTGGGTGAAGGTCGCGTTGGTCCCGCCCGCCAGACCGATGATGATGCCTTGTTTCGAGTAGCCGGGCACGTAGACGAGGACGCCGTCAGCGCGCTCGGGGAATCCGCTTGTGTCCTGGACTCCGCCCTCGGTGATGTTGCGATATATGCCTGACGAGCCTGCGGTGCCGGAATCAGAGACGGCGTCGTTGGTGTACCCTGGAAACGTGTACTCGAGGAGGCCCTTGATGTAGACCCGAGCCACGGACTGAGACCAGCCGGGGGTGGTGTAGCCGTCGAGATGGCCGCCGAAGTAGAAACCCCGACCGATATTGGGCACCGAAACACCTGCTCCTTCGGCAGCGCGTTGGACGGGTTGGCCTGCTGGCTCAGAGTTGTCGCCGGCGCTCGTCTTCGGGTTGGACAGTTCGGTCCAAGACGATGAAGAGACGTCGTAGGACCAAGTTGAAAATGGCACGGGCGATTCTGCTGGGCTGTCGGAGAATTCGCCGCCGTAGAGATACAGCGCGTCGTACGAGTTCCAGAGGTAGCCTAGGGAGACGGCGGGAGGACCGCTGGGGATTGGAAGTCCCGATATCGAAGGGGTGGAAATCTGCCACGACTTGGTCAAGTCGATCGCGACCAGATCGTTGTCTGGGTCGAGTGTCAGCATTCAGACAGGCGTGACGATGGTTTCGAGCACTCACTCCATTCGTTGGCTGTCTGGTCTCCAGACGTCGTGGATCTGCCTCCATAGTAGTATAATGTCCCGTTGACGAGGGCACTCTGCCCTGCCCACCTCTTGCACACGACCGTGGGACTATTGTCTCTCTTCACATTCGCCCCAGGTAGTGCCCTCTTGTCTTGTCGCGGAGTATCTCTCGCCAGCAGTCCATCTCTTCTTGGTCCCACGGGATTCGCATCGGCTTTCAGTATCGGTGTCGTGTGGAGACTCTGCGTGACGAGGACGGCCACCAAGGCTAGAAATAGCAGCCTCGACAGCGTAGGGAAGGCAAAAGGCATTTGCGGAGGTTTGTCTCTGGCGGTCGGAGCGGGTGGGAACGATTCGTCCCGGGTTGAGAGAGGAGGATCAGGCTCGAAGACGTCGACCGTACTCCGGAATCGAACTTGCAGTCTCGGTCGGGTGGTGGTGGTGGTGGTGTCGCTCAACTTTGCGTCCACGATGGCATCATCACCGCCGAGTCCAACCTCGAGAAAGGCGGAGTTGCGTCTTCGGACGGCCGGTAGCGGTTCCTCTTCTTCGAGAGCCGCGATGATGTCGTCGTCGCACGGGGCGGTGTTTTGGGACGCCGGCACGAAACTCTGTCGACGTCGTGGTTCGTTCGACGAGGATTCGCGTGCAGGCACAAGGGCCGGTGTTGTGGAATACGACAAGCCAAAGACTGATGAGTCTTGACCAGAAAGTCGGGATGCGTGAGATGTCATTCGGGTGACACGACGCTTTTCTGCACCCTGTTCCGTATCCATCATCACCCGTGTCGACGAGTGACCACCGCTAACGAGTGGCTGTGCTGTTTCTATTCGAGCAAAAGTGAGACACTCTGCAGCATGCGCGGTGGCGGGGATGGATAACACCACTAACTGATAATTTTGGCAGCTTCAAGAACCATTGGGCACCGGCATGGACCTCTCTGGAGGGTGAGAAAAACGCAGTGTCTGATTCTTTGAGCACGGAGGAGACGTACGAGTAGATTGATTATCTGTAACTCTCCCGTAAATCAAGGAACGTTACCGAGTTGCTTTGTAGCTCGCTACCCAGGTGGCGCCAGGGGGACAGACGATGACCTCAAGGGAGACAAGGGGTCAAAACAGATCGAGACCGCTTGGGATTTCCCTGTGGATTTCCACTTGCTCCAACGGACGCGGCCCATCCTTGCGATGCAAAGACTGTTGAGGCCGGGGGCAGGGAAAGCGATTATCCATTGTCCATTGTCCATTTGTGCGTCAGAGGGGCGATTCGATGAAGCCCATGCAATTCTGCGATTTGCATTGTGCATCTTCCGCCAAAAGGGGGCATCGAGGGCCTAAACAACATCCTGGTTCGATGACATCGGAGGCGTTCACGGTGTCTCGCGATAGGTGTCTAAGTGGCGTCTCCACCGCAAATCCATAACGGCAAACGGCGCCGTGGAGCATGAACCCGAGACCTTATTACTCCTCAACTTTCATGACAGGCCCCGGTGCAGTAAACACCCTGGCTCGACATCAAGATTGGATGTGGCTGGATGGGTATCCCTCTGCAGGGTCTTCACTACCCAAGACGTTACAATACAAGAAACCTCAGTGGCCAGCCACTTGCAAAGAATATCAATCAATATAGTATTGGTCAATGTCCCTCAAGACGCGTAATATCTCAACGCTGGGAAAGTTATGTAGAAATATAGAAGAAATCTGATCAAAGCTCCCAAAACAACCTCCACTGATCCCTGTAGATAGGGCGGAGGAATGACCTCTTGCGGCCAAAGACTGAACCAAGTGCTTCCCATTGACCATGTCCAGCCACAGCCAGGCCAGATTCATGATTTTCTTTTTGTTTTGGAGATGCCGTAACCCCGGGCATCGAAGAGGAAGCAAGCTTGCATCCAGATCTAAGTGAAAAGAAAAACGTGCTGGGCCAGAAGGAAACAAAAATAAAAGGGCCCAAGAAGGTGAAGAAGAAGGATAAGAATCGGCCACAACAACACCCACAAGGCTCTGGGGCAGACTTGAAAAACATCGTCAACTTTCGATGTCATCCCTGGTCATGTCGTCCACAGCTTCACGAAGAGTCGCTCAGGGGACCGCCGATGATGTACTCGTCCCTGCTCGAGTCGTCGTGGATGTCGAGCTCGTTCCCGGTCGAGTCGTCGTGGATGTCGAGCTCGTCCCGGCCCCAGTCGTTGTGGATGTCGAGCTCGCCCCGGCTCCAGTTGTCGTGGATGTCGAGCTCGTCCCGGCCCCAGTGGTTGTTGTGCTGGAAGCGGAAGTGGGGTTCGTAGGACACGTCGGGTCATTGAGGAGGACACTGACAGGCCCTCCCAAATTATCGCACACACCGCTCAGCTCTCCCGCAGCAAGAGCGGCCGTCACTTGTTCAGGTGTGAGAGAAAGGCCAACAAGCTGGTTGTTGCCAATCAATACGGAAGCAATGTTCGAATTCAGCGAGAGGAGCGTTGGCACAAGAGAGAGGAGGTCGTTGACCGTGCACAGCAGACCACCAAGGAGGGGGCAATTGTACGTGGCCACTGAGTTCGCCGTGATCAATGCAGAGTTCAAGCAGACGTTGATGTTGAGGTTACAGATAGGCGTTGCTGACGTTGTGGATGAGCTCGTCGACGAAGATGTTCTGGTGACAGTGGTCAGAGTTGTTGACCCTGGAGCAATGGTGCTTGATGAGCTTGATGTCGTGCTCGCCGATGATGAGGTAGTTGCGGTGACAGTCGTCAGACTCGATGACGGTGCAGCACTACTGCTTGACGGACTCGACGTCGTGCTCGCCGACGATGAGGATGTTCCGGTGACAGTGGTCAGGCTTGAGCTGGTCCCACTGGAAGTGCTCGTGATAACTGACGAAGTACTGCTAGTTGGAGGAGCATTCGGGCATGTCGGGTCTCGGATAGTGACACTGACGGGACCTCCAAGAGCGTCGCAGATCCCATTCAACTCTCCAGCATTGATCGCAGCTGAGACCGCTGCCGGAGCGATACTCAGTCCGAGAACTTCATTGTCGCCAATTAAAACGGTGGCAACGTCAGGGTTAGTATTGAGAAGCTGTGGTACAAGCGAGAGCAAGTCATTGACCGTGCAAAGGATGCCTCCGAGTAAAGGACAGCTAACAGTGGCCACAGTATTGGCGGTAATCAGCTGAGAGTTCAAACAGATGTTGGCATTTAGGTTGCAGATAGGGCTCGCGGATGTCGTGGTACTTGTCCCTCCGGATGACGTGCGAGAGCTTGATGTGGAACTGAAAGTGGTGCTGCTCGCGAGAGTAGATGATGGCGAACTAGAAGGCGAGCTGGATGAGGATGATGAGGATGAGGACGATGAGGATGAGGACGAGAATGATGAGGACGAGAATGATGAGGACGAGAATGATGAGGACGAGAATGATGAGGAGGAGGACGCAGCAGAAGATGCTGACATAGAAGACGTTGCTGAGCTAGATGAGGAGCTGCCAGATGACGCAGAGCTAGCAGATGACACCGAGCTAGAAAACGATGCCGAGGTAGACGACGAGGCTGAGCTGGCAGGCGATACTGTGCTAGCAGATGTGTCTGAGGTCGTATACGAACTGGCTGTCGACGAAGCTATGCTTGTTGAAGAACCTATACCCGTAGACGAGGAAGTGTCTGTGCTGATCGGTAAGACTGTACTGGTCGATGAGCTTGTGGTGGAAGATGACAACTCGGTAGACGTTGAAGATGCGAGAGTCGTACTTGACGGGCTCTCTGTTGTTAGCAGAGACGTGGTTGTTTCCCCGGAAGACGTGGTTGTTCCCCCGGAAGACGTGGTTGTTTCCCCGGAAGACGAGGTCGAAGAGAATCCTGCGGTAGACGACACGGTTGTGGAAGTTGCTGGGACATCGCTGGTGCTAGATACCGAGCTTTCGGAACTTGAAACGCTGGAAGCAGACGCTGTGGATTGAGCGCTTGTCGAACTAATCTCCGAGGTGGTGGGAGACTGTGTCACCGTCGAAGAATCAGAAGTGGATGATATCGACGAGGTGCTACTCGAAGTACTCAATGTCGTTGAACCGTCTATAGGACCGATAGAGACACTCGAGCTTGAAGTAGACGCTGTTGACTGGCTACTGGTCGAGCCAATCTCCGAGGTGGTGGGAGACTGTGTCACCGTAGAAGAATCAGAAGTTGATGACGTCGATGAGGTACTGGTCAAATCCGCGGATGTCGAGGAGGTGCTCGGTGTACTCGTCCCTGAAGTAGAGGAGCCTGGTGTAGAGTTCGAAGTCTCGGACGCTGAAGAGATCGAAGTCACGCTGGTGGATGCAGTTGTTAGGCTTGATGACGGAGTCACGACCGACGAAGATGTGGCAGATGTGGTGCTTGTTGTTGACGGATCTAGCGAGTGTCAGCCTATGCAGAGGGTTGCTTGGCGCATAGTTCACTTACTTGTTGGAATAATGTTGATCGGATTGTTGCAGACATCAGGGTCAGTATAAGCATAGACGAAGCCATTCTCGAAGCAGAATCCTGCGGTGTTTCGCAAGCGTGCAAAGATGCCAATGATGTCCCAAACGGCGAAACCTCTTGGAAAGAGCAAGAATCGTTGGACAATCGACTTGGTAAGCGTCGAAGTGCCAAGGTACCGATTCTGTGAGATGAATGTGGTGTTGTCATTACCTTTAAACACCAATGCCGCCTCTGATAGCCCGTTCACAGCGATGGCATTGTTGTTCACGTCAAACGCCACGTACTGGACCACAGTTTGTCGTGGAACCAAGCCGGTAACGGGGGTGCCGCTGATCTGGAGATAGAAACCCGTCCCACTGGGTACGATGCTAGACGTAGACATAGTGCTAACAGCTGTGACGCTACTAGAGGCAGACGTGGTGCTGGACACGCTAGTGGCTGGCGACAAAGATGATGATGATGATGATGATGATGATGATGATGATGATGATGAGCCAGTAGAGATCGTACTGCTGGAAGAGTAGAGCGCCGACGTAGTAGCCGTAACGGCGCTTGACGACGAAGATAGCGATACGCTGATAGTCGTGGAGCTGGTGGCAGATGGAGATGTTAGCGTGCTGGAGCTTCCGGATGATGTAGCTGATCCACTGTTCGGGCCAGAAGTCACCGAGCTGGTAGATGTCGACATAGTCAAAGGAATTGATGTGCTGGTCGAAGAGAGGACATTCGAGGAAGTCGGGTTCCAATCATCCCAAACGTGGTCACCGCCGTCACTTCTCCAGCTGCCACCTCCTACAGGTAAAGGCCACCACCCGTTTCCATCCTTCTCGAGGCCAGGATGTGATCCTATCCCTGTTGGAATAGGAATATTACGAGAGTTCTCGGCCGGCCTGGTAATTGGAGGGAAATTGAAGACAAATACTTTGGTGACAAAGATCTCGAAGTTAAAAGTCGTTGAGCTATCGAAAGTTTTGGTAACATAAGCATTCCATGGTCGGCCTGAGATGACTTCAATATTGGGCTCGTGAGTGATCTTCGGTCGGCCGTTAACGGTCACAGTAACCGTGACTGGGGGCTTTGTAACGGTAATCGACGGAGCAATCTGAGGGAAAGTCCAAGTATAGACCCCGGCGCGGGGAATCGTGCCTCTGCTTGAGCAGAGCCCTGCGGTGGAAACAGTAGTTGGTGACTGTTGGATCCAGGTCTCATACCACTCAACGCATTTCTGGTATGGGTGCCCAGACTTCTCCCCAAGTCGACATTCAGTGACGGCTAGAAGCTGCGAAAGGTCTCCATCGTCCTGAACGCATTTATTGCATAATCCACTGCCATCCCAGCCAGGTATCGCGAGTGGTCCGATTGCGTGGTATGGAGCTACGGCTCGTCGGGTGACAGTTTCATAGGATGTGACCGTCTTGGTGGTGGTTGGCTTTTGTTGTCTAATCCAGTTGAACCAATTTTCCTTGTCGACAGATGTAGTAGGAGTGAAATGAGTTAGAGTTTCAAGGTATTCCGAAGCCCTGATGACTTGGTTGACCCGAGTCACTGTGGTACTTTGCGTTGTTGTTCCATTCCAGGCGCAGGGGACGACCGTAGACACATAGGGGTATGTCGTAAATGGGTAGATTGTCGAGCACTTGCCTTTGATACAGGCTGTCGCGGCGTTGCAGGTCGAAACAGGTTGATATTGAGCTGATACCGTGATGGGAGCTAAGCTTAGTGTTGGAGCGCTTGGGCAAGGCGTGATTGTCGTCAAGGGCTTCCCAGAGACCTCATCGGAGGCAAGGAGCGCCACGGCCGTGATGAGAAACGCCCCTGGCAACTTCATGACTGCAAATAAATATCTCGGAAAGATAGAAGGAGGCTGGAGAGGATGAGACTCTACTCAGTCCTACTCAGTCCCATGCTTTATACTGTACTTCCTCCAATCTCACATGTTAGAGTTTTCCTACCTATACTGGAAATGACAACAACATCCGGTGGATGTCCACTGTTGTGTTAGCCAATACATTGTGATGCCGCAAGATTGCAATTCGTATAGAAATCACATCGAGACAAACTTCAGTAAAATTAAGAGGCAGGCACAAGCACATGAGAGTCGTCAACCCATCACTGCAGCGGACAGAATCGCCATAGCTGGGCGGGGATGACATTTGATACGATCAAACAGACGATGATGGTCCAGCCAGGGCACTTGTTGTTGTCGTGGCGCATGGACAAGAACGAGCCATGGGCGACGCTGTTCCACGCCACATCTTTCCAATGCGAGGATCGTGAACTGGATGTCCAATGGTAGACAGTCTCTCCTATAATCCGCTGACGAGTTGAAGAGGGAAGAGATGGTCTGTTCTCAAAGGGACATGCCTTCAGCAGAGATTGTCAGGTAGGGGATCCGCAAGCCAGAGCAATTAGTTGTCAATCAGAACCGCAACAATGGATCATATGCTAAGATACATTCGGCGAGGTCGGTGCGCTCCCTAAGGGTCAACGACCGTGGGATAGCGAATCTTGCTCTCGATTAATTTGCAGAGGTTGGTGTCAGATATGTGGGATGGTGTGCGTGGCCCGGGGAACTGGTTGCGACATGGGTTTCACGTCTTCTTGAACTTGCCTGTTGGATCATAGAACCCACCTAGGGAAAGAAAACTGCCTCCAGGATAACGACCGAGTCCGGAAACCATGTAGAGCCCTGCATGAGGAGAGAAGGATAGGGTCCCCCTGTTAGGAGAAAGTCCGCCCAAAGACCGTCTAGTACACCTCAACTCCGGGAGATGTCTAATAGGTTGAAGTAAGCCACATCGCCGACACAAAGATAGACGTGCACCAGAGGCAAATTCTGGAGAGCTTGGGCGCCTATCGACTGGTGCATCGACAATGTTCAGATCTGAAGATTGCCTGTGGAATAAATTCGGCCAGCTGCCAACCAAAATTGTCGTTCTCGTTTGCATCTTCGGAGTGTGAGGCACCTCGCCGCCGCACAGAACAAAAGGACGAGCTTGTCAGGGATCCACTTGCAGAAAGCAAGAAGATCGGATGCTAAGAACTGTCAGCAGCCCCTGTGGATAATATCTGCTATTGGGTCGATGGAACCGACGTCGCGGACGTCGCGTGTCTCAGAACCTTACTTACAGAATGCCTGAACTCACAGTCACTCAGAGAAAGGCTTACCCCTGGCGTGCACTCGTTTGGGGCAATTGGCCTTCGTGCAGCACCATGGCTTGCGAACTGGCCCTATCCGAGCGCCTTGCATCGACTCAGTGGGGAGTTGAGCTAGGTGTTGCTCGCATGAATAGAGCCACAATGGATGTGAGAAAAAAACAAGTCAGCTATCAAACAACACTTTTCATCTCCCCCCCGTATAGTGGGGGCTTGGCACATCTTTTTGTCCTCAAGGCCCTCCTGAGTCTTGTGGGGGTTAGCGCCCGGACCAAAGAAGGGGTCCGCTTAAACAACTCTCCAATGGTGCTCAAGTAGCCCTTGAATAGTGGGCAGCCTTTCTTCAAGCCACATCGATGTCCCTTGAGATGATGGGGAAGATGTCAAGCGTCCATAACTTTACTGATGCATTCTCCTTGATGATGTGCTTATCGTTGTATAGTAGCAAGGAATGAGGAAATGTAGAAAGGCATGGAATATAGTGCCCATGGGCGATCTCATGCTGGGCAAACCCTAAGCTAAGACTACAATAAACGGTTCCGAGCGATGCTGGGGGATTTACAGACGATCTCCCTAACAAGGGGGGGCCCGTTGGAGTTTGATTCCCACTCATCTACAGCCCGTCGTTGTTGCTTCCTTGCGTCAGGGTATCACGCTACAACTGTAGGTAGGATGTCGTCTCCGACGCCAAACCAGCGAGACACCAATCCAAGCCATCTCAATCTTGAAAAGTGGTGCCTGTGTCGTTACTGACAGGCGTTAACCAGGGCACTCTAAGCTGCGTTGTGCGATTGCTGGCAGCTGACCGAGCGCCCATGTTATCCGTCCTTAACCCCTCGACGACAATACGAGTACATGTTAGGCCTGCAGATCCGGAGATCTAAGTTCGCCTTTCGCTCAGCGATCAGGCCACGCGAAGTCAAAAAACAGCACGATCGATCGATACCCACCGAAAGTGCCGTGCTCGATTTTATCGAGAGCCACTACCAGTCGAATGGATGTCGCCTTAGAGCCGAGATCTGCTTGTGACTTCGAAGAATGTAGATCTTAATATTTGGAGGTCGACAGTGCCCCTTTGTCAGAAGGACGCAGACCAACCTCCAGAGATCAAGGTCTCGAGAGATGGCATTGCTGCATTGGCACATTACTCTAGCGACCGATGTTAGCCGAACTCTACCCATCGCCATCTGAACGCCTCAGATTTCGCCTGTTGAGCCGGCCCACTGTCCGTGCAGATCCTTCCTCTGATCAAAGGGCCCGGAATGCTGGGAGGCTGAGATTGACGGGGTTGACAGCCCATAGCACCCTATGTTGTACAGTGGAGATCGGATCTATACACGTTTCTATTGGTCCCGGGTGCCTCGCTCCATTTTACTTCACCATCGCCTATCTACAATTCTACAATAGCCATATTGAGCGATGAGTCCGTAATCGCCGAGGTTGTTCATGGGCAACTTTGTATCATTGATCACGCTACTACAACATCTGCGGGTCAACGCCAGAGGCATCAGATCTGGCTACAGTGACCTAGCCCCGATCTATGAGTCCCACCCTTTGCGCGCATGTCTTGGTACGTGACCACGGTACCGTGCTTCCGGGAGAAGTCAAAGCGACTTCAGGGACCAGAATGCCAACAGAAAGAGTCAACTTGAACCAGTGTTGTCGGATACCAGGGGCTATGTAATCAGTCTTCGTCAAAATCATATTCATCCTCAATGTCTTCCCAATAAGAACTATGCCTTAATCCTCCCAATTTGTTCTTGGGCCTTGACATACAGAAGCATTGCCGTGTACAAAAGGTTTGAAGGTGATGGTTGTCGTAAAAGTCCCCTGTGGAACAAGTCACCCGGTCTGAAATGCTGCAGGCGCATTCGTCGCGACAAACGTCGCTTGTGACCCGAATACCACCGTCGCAGGCGGATGTGAGACCCTTTGGTGCGCAGAACAGTCCAGCTGGTGAGATTGCCGGATTGGATCTTGAGTTGGCGAGAGCAAAGGCCAGAGTACTGCTGTAGGGTAGATAAGATGGGTGTGGGAGTTGCAAAAGACATAGAAGGATCATATTTCGGAAGGCTCTTATGCTGGAGAAAGTAAGTTTCAGGCGTTGTCTGTGGGCAAGGGGAGATAATTGAACGCACAATCTGACTTCGTAGAAGCCATACATGTTGGGCATGTGGTAGAATGAGACCACGTCGTTGAGTAGAGTATAGGAAGTCTGATAGAGTCTCCATGAGAAAACACGCCTCCTTTTCAACTATTGAGGCAGGTGAGGATGGTGGGGCAGAAGTAGATACTTGATTTAGGAAGGACGACTTATGCCGTGCAACATCATGCCAGGGGTGGACGCTCAGATGTTCATTTCGCAATTTTTCCTCAACCTAGAGTCTTTGACCGTCATAGATAGTTAGCCGAAAGCCGTCAGATGCAGATCACCGAGTCGTATGATGATAGAGAGTGGACGAAGGAGTGATTTGACGACGCCACAGCAAACGTCAATAACAGAAGTCCAACATCACTTATCCTTGGTGGTGGGAAGACGGACCAAGCAGCCGGAGAAGTAGTTGATTCTACCCGTGCTTGATTCGACAAGGGTCTCGTGCCGGGACAAACGCGACCTCCCACAGTAGAACATTTGGAATGGGTAGTCCAGAGTTTGGTTACAGTCTCGAGAGACTGGTGAATCGTCTGTAGGACATGGCCAGATACGACTAGAAGAAGCCTTATGATATTAACTAGGATCATCTCAGACTTTTGACATGCAGCCAATACCCTGTGGCAGCCACCGCATCCAGGATATCCATGAATCAACTGCAGGGAAGGTATGTGTTTGAAAAGGACAAAGAGAAAACAAGTGGACATATTGTACCCGTCAACTTGAGCTTGCTTGCTGGGCGGAAGGAAAGGGACGGAGATTTGGACAACGTCAATCTTGGTCAATCTTGGTCAATGTTTTCGACGACGCATGCCTTCAGACGACCAACTAGAGATGCTTGTTCAGTAGACAGGCCTTTCGCTTCTTCGAGTATATCAGACCATTTGCCAGTGGCATCGATAACATGTAGTTGCGTTATTTTCGTTCATGAAACCAAGGTCAAAACGAGCTGAACAGATGATTCGCATGCCTGGTACCTGGAAAACTGCCAGGGCATCAAAGGACTTTAGCGACCTTCCTTTCATTTACCGACAACAGGACGGCCATCTATCGAACAAAATTAGACCTTGACTTGGGGAAGCTAAGATGAAACGATCCCTCTCGACTCGGGCCAAACAAAAGTCCAGAATCGCAAAGCCCATGTTGCTCTTGGCAGCAATGGCCGCATCTTCCACCAACATATTACCATCATTCGATCTGCAGTCTTGTATGACTGGATGAAGATTTTGACGCTCGCCAAGCCAGGTATTCCTGCAGATCACGACGAGGATCTAAGTCGGGAGTGAATCCAAGTTTTCTAGACGCGAATCGTTAGGCCAGAGTCATCACTTGCCTGGCCGTCAAATGGAAGAAGGATTTTCAAAATAGGATACTTACTAAGCTGATGTCCAAAGAAGATTTAACACCCAGCAAAAGTAGACTGAGTTTGGGATACCCATAGTGATATCATAGATCAGCCCCAGGTACGAGTACAGACCTCACAACAACAAAGAATACTCCATCCGAAACTTTAACACCACCATCAACGTCTGACTCTCAATCGGGGCCGTTCCCTTCAGTTAACGCCGAGGCTAACCTCAGAAGTGGGAAAGCCTTGAGCAAGTGAAACCTCTCGAGAGGCTTAATGGAGTTCGGTTACCGAACGATTGCTCCTCGCTTGAACGGTATTGTAGTAGGATCAGGTCGAACAGCCACATTTTCAACGCCAGGGTCAAAGCCACCGTCACGGCCTTAAGCTGTGTTGGGAGATGAGATCATGATTGGTCATTCGACCTGATCTTTTCGTCCAGTTTGGAGAAAAATAAATAAATAATAATCCGGAGTTTCCACGCAGAGGGCAGTTTGTATGCATGCTTAATCGAACACAACTGAATCTAAGTGCCAACAATATCTCCATAGTTCTGAAGGAACCCTGCAGCTGCTGCCGTTTTCGAATGTAATCTGATTTGACCATGAGGACAGTTTAAGTATCTCTCTTAGACGTAGGCGACTCCAGGGCGATCTTTGCGTGTCATACTGTCCTGTTCAGATGCTGACAATTTCAAAAATACTGTTGTACGCCGTCGATTTACCTGCGTGGCCACGAGGAGCAGGACCTTCTTGAGAGCGAATCTTTCAAGATCCCGACTCAGTGAGGACAGTGATAGGCAGAGATAAACCTGGGTTGAAGGACACGTCCTGGTTGCTCCTCTGCGCGACGGAAGAGTGGTTATTGAAGGTCTGGTCAAAAGCACCTGCAGCCAAACAGAAAATCGAGTGTTGGCGGAGAGAACTAACTCAGAAGGCGTAAGCCCTCCGTGCGATATTTTCTAGCAGCCTGGACTCGCCATGCTGAGCTGGCTTGATGGTTTTTCGTACTATGGCATTCACAAAACAAACATCTTCCGACATAGCTACATGTTGAACGAGTGACCGTTCAGTTCATCAAAAGGTCAGGATCACAAAAAAGCTGGTGGTCAAGGAACGTCTCATAACATTCACCATCAACACTCTATCCCCTGTTTACTCATCTACAAGCGAGCAAGACCGACAGACTCGCCAGGAGCATGATAAGTTGGGATCTTCATGTCCAAGGCCGCTCCGCTGTAGCCGAGATCCTCTGCGGACAAAACGGCACACTTCTCACCGATGAGCAAGGCAGTCTGTGCATGGGGATGATTAGTACTACGAGCGATATGCGTGAGGGGTTCGGACATACGGAGAATGTATTGCAACCGACATTGTCGGGGCAGACACTAAGGTCAGAGACCTTCAAGTTCTTGACACCGTGGACGTTCAGTCTCTCATCCAAGACACCATGCTTGACAACGCTGTTACCATTCTTGGGACCCATGCTGCAAGTACCAAGAGAGTGCCAGGTAGTCTCGCAGTGTCGCTGAACCCATTTCTCGATGTGGGCGACTGTAGAATTGTCAGTATCATAGTCATAGGATTGCAACAGTCAAATCGCTACTCACCATCCTCTGGTCTGTACTTGAGTTTCTCGGAGCGATCTTCCTGGCAGTTGGAGTTAAGCCAGTTGGGTTCGGTGGTCTTGCCAGCCTCAAGGGGAGCAGTCCAAGATCCGTGTTGGATATTAGCGGTCAAGTGGTTAGGACCAGCATAGGCGTTGCGAGTTGCCAAATCCAGATCGCGTGCCCGCGCAGGCGAGTCATAGGCAAATTGTGGGTGCATTGCCGTGACCTCACCAGCATAGGCTCTCATGCGACGTGCAGTCTCACGGGATTGGATGTAGCCCCAAACCATCGGTGCCATATCACGCTTGTCGTTCATGAAACCGGCGTCAAAATCAGGAGCATCATATGGGTCTGGCGAGGTGATGTGCGTGAAACCACGAGAGAAGGGGTATTCCAGGAAGTGGAACATGGTGAAAAACTTTCCGGGAGGCATGTCCATGTGGTCACCAAACCAGCCAGCAATGACCGAGTAGTGCATGACAGGTTTATCGGGCTTGTTCTTGAAGTAGCTCTCCCATCCACCGGGGCTGAAGTCAGGTGTGGGCCAGCTCTTCATCTCCTCGAGTTCCTCTTCAGTGGGTCGCGACTTCACACCAGCCTCGATACCATTGGTGGCCAATGGACCAGTACCCTTCAGGTTCCATTCGTCAAAGACAGCCTTTTGGACTTCAGGGACACCTCGGGCAAAGTCATCAAAGGACTCTGTCTCTGGAGTGGCACGGTAAGTGGCGAAGGTGAGGTAGTGGTCTTGGAAGTTCAGACCGACCCCTGGAAGGTCAACGATAGGCTTAACACCGGCCTTTCTGAGCTTCTCTGGATCACCGATGCCAGATCGTTGGAGTACAAGAGGAGAGCTGAGAGTGCCGCAGCTGACGATGACGAGCTTACGGGCTTTGAAGAACCGGCGAGGGATGTCTCTGCCACCGACAGGTTTGGTTGGGACAGTGAGGACACCGACAGCAGTGCCGTTCTCAATCACCACTCTGTCGACCTTGGTGTTGCATTGGAGATGGAGGTTCTGGTATTTGGCTCGAGTAGCATGAATGTACGCATGAGCAGCATCAGATCGTCGCCCAGTGTCTCGGTTGATCCACTTGAGCCAGTGCTCCGCACCATGACCAGTGGTAAGATCCTGGAGATCATCCGTGACGGGGAAACCCAAGCTCTCAGCAGCTCGGAGGAAGTCTTGCATGATGGGGTAGGTATAGTTGCCGAAAGAGACCTTGATTGGGCCTTCGAAACCATGAATGTCTCGGTTGTTGCACGCACGCTGGTAGGTCTCGTGCTTCTTCATAAGAGGAATCAGCTCCTTAGTGGTCCAGCCTTTCATTTTGAAGTCATCGTAATCTGAAGCTGACGCTCTCGTATACATCATGAAGTTAATCGAGCTGCCGCCACCAAGGATATGGGCACAAGGGACAACGGCGCGACGGCCGTCAAGCCACTCAGAAGGTCGTGAGTAGTAGAAGGTAGCCGTCTTGGAATCCAACTTCATGTTTTTGGGGTAAATGCCTGGTCGGTAGACCCAAGGGTTGTTCAAGTTGCTCTCACCGGCCTCAATCAAAAGGACTTGGAGGTTGTGATCGAGGTTGGCAAGACCTAGATAGTGTCAGTCGTCGTCAGGGCGACGATGGTGCCACTGTAACTCACGTCCAGCAGGAACACATCCTGAGCTTCCACCTCCACACACGATGATATCAACCTCGTCAGGAACAGTCATGTTTGGAGCAGTGAGAGTTTGTTGACACAACAGAAACGGCTAAAGGATGCTTTGCTCTACCGGAGCAGGCTGAAGAAGAGAAGGAGAAGAACACGTCGAGATCTCACGTTATATGTCTAGCGAGGGACAATCCCTCTCCACCCTCGCTCCTAGCGAGGGAAGAGGTGTATGCACGACGCGATATTGAAGTGAGGGGATCCGGGGCAGTGTTCTTTGACACCCTGCTAAGGTGATCTTCCCTGAGAGGGAGCTTTGACAGGGTTTCGATTCGAGTTAACTGCGGGGTGTCGCCCATCGTCCAACAGCTTCTGAAAGAAGATGGGTGCCAGGTGAGGAGCACAGACTGTACAGCTTCAACATAGACCGACGTGCATCTTAGCGAGAGGGTGAGTTTTCGATATAGATGGATACCTCAGCTTTCACGAAAGCGAGACGGGATCGAAGCGGCAAACGAGCTGCAGCTTGGGCGACTAGTGAAACATCGACGAGGAGGTCCTTGCAACGATACTGACGGGGATTGAACGCCTCCATCAATGTTCTGTACAAAGCTAGTGCCAGCGAATTCGTGAGGCAAATAAGCTAGCTCCAGCGAGCAACATGACAAGGAGGGGTTTGCGTACTCATATCGGTACGCGTAGTCCTCGGGATAACACCTCGAGTCAGTCGATGATTGAAGGTCAGCACACAGTGCCGCGATCAAATGTCTGAGCGTCCGCAAGGTAAGCCTGAGTCTGGGAATGATTTCCGCGACTGTCGAAAGAAGGTGGTGAACGAAAATGGCAAAGCGTACCTTTGCAAGCCACCCACCGGATTATGCGGCTATAACGCGCCACCCGTCCGGCTAAGATCCCCCGTGCCTAGGGCCTTCACCAACGCGGGGGTGGGAGACACCGGGAAGAAGGGAGTCGTCTTTGTTCAGAATGGAGACGGCATTAGAAACCAGAAAAGCATAACGGCTGCCGATGGGAATAAGAAGTGCCCTCTTGGATTTGCGGGGGAATATTGCGCTAGTCTGAGTTCGGAGCCGCAAAAGATGATGGATCGCTGAGGCCACCAACCTGGAGAATGCGCGGAGAGACTATAGTATGATGTGAAAATAGACGGAGGGGCCAAATGCAACGTACTGTATGAGTACGCTGGCTCGCGCATTGGCTGCTTCATGCGGTCAGGCAACTTTCTCGCTGTTTTCTCGCTCTCTCGAGTCATGAAGTCGGTGGAGAAACTTCTCCACGTACGTCGGCCCAGAATCAGAGATCAGCAGCGTCTCGGCGCGGCTGCTACGCTGTGTCTCGAGAATGCTGCAGGACCGGCTCACCTGATTGCCATTCCCCTCGCGAAAGAAGATGAGCTGCATTGTGCACATCGGGTACGAAGATACTCGCCCCCCATCTGTACCACAAGAACTTTGGGGGTTGCGAAGCCCCGAGCCATTTTTGACCTTGGTGTCCAGGATGCTCTCAGACTAGTATGTCAAATCTTAACAAATCATCTGCTGTCCCCATGTACCCTGCCGCATGCCATTTTTGGACCCAGGATGTCTAACCGCTGGTGGACGTAATGGCTGGCAAAGGGATGAAGATTCGATGCGTGCATCTGCGGAGCCGTCTCGCTAGAGTTTAACCCGAGACATCGTTGACGGTCTTTCTCCGCACCTAAAGGTCTTGCGTGGGCATTGCTGATCCCTATTGACCGGCACCCCTGCGATTGTGTCCTTCAGAATATGTATGTTGCGGGTTATCGTCCATTCATCTCAACGCGTGTGCTGTTGGCGCTGCCGGTCGTAAATCAACTGCCGTAGCTCTTCCGTCGCGACTTCAGTTTCGAGAATCTGGCCAATACCTCGCCTCCAGGCATCTTGCAATCCGAGAAGTTCCGCCTTGTGTGCCTCCTGGGTGGCCTTCCGACTCTTGTTGATTGCGTCCGTTTCGGATTTCAGCATAGCCAACGTGCGCTCCAGGTCCTTGAGTATCTCTTCGGCGCGGTCGTTGCTGACGAGCCAAGCGTTCTTGCCATGCTCGTCTAGGAGTTGCAGATTGTCCTGCCTGCCCGAGAGAAAGGTGCTTGCAACATACGCCTGCCGTAGCGCGAGCCGCTTAGCCTTCACATCTAGGTCCACAATGTCCTCGTTCTCAGGTGCTTCATATCTCCCCATGTCAATCCCTCCCTGCATAGGCTGCCCTGCAGCGACCCGCTCGAGTTCCTTTGACATCGATTCGGAGAACTTGGTCTCGTGAAGAGGGGGTAGTGAGGGATGCGGCGTCGTCAGATAGTCTGCAGGCAATTCTTTGTCGATCAGCGCCCTGGCCCTCTCCTTCTGACCGGCGGTAGGCTCTGGATCTATGTCTGCGCAGTAGTCAATATGTGATACAGCCGGTAATGTTGGTCACTCACAAGGCAGGGATTCATTAGACTCAAGTACCAGAGACATGGTGGACCAAGCTATTGTTGCTCTTCAATGGCGCTCCTTGTGTGGTCTTTTATGTGATTGCAGAGTCCATCTCTCAGATTCCAGATGTCAGTTGAACAATTTTTGCCAAGGAGCTCACCCTCCTCTGGGACGACAGTGATGCCGCTCTATGCTTACCCCCGGCTCGTGGGGAAAGATCACGATGCCGCCCTAATGCTCACCCCCTACGGAGTAGCCCTGGTGGAGATAGATAAGATGGAATTGAGCAAACAATAAGGAATACAACGTTGACTTGGGATAATATCAGCGTCCTAGCTAGTGCTTCGAAAAAGTCACTCAAGATTATTGCTGGCATTTCCCAAGCTTGACGAGGATAGGAATGGATAAAGAGCGCCATTTATTGAGTCTGAAATTGAAATCATCCTCTACATTATGAGAATAAGGTTGACATCCTTCTGGATGCCCGCCTCGGATTCAGGATCAACAATGTCAGTTGGGAGTGCAAAGTAGATCAAATTCCTGAATCCTTCCCTGCCACGTCTCGCAGCTCGGTCTTTGGCATGACAATAGGATCCACCTGATCCCGAACTTTTGTCAGTTGTTCAAAAGCGTAAGCATAGCCAATCAATTTGGTCTCTGTGAACGGCAGACCGATGAAGCTAAGCCCGAACCTAGATGTGAGGTCATGTCAGTTGAGAAATCTCCTGGCGAACGAAATATGGCAAGGACAGCTACTTACGGTAGATTCTTGTCTTGCAGTACAAGATTGCGGCGGCCGTTCCAGACAATCCCCGTATTCTCGGGGTAGAAGCCCAATGGCACGGTGATGACGGGAGCAAGAGCAACGGTGGCCACTGATGTACTGACTGAGGAAGGCATAATCAATGCGTCCAGGTTGTGCTTCTTCATAGCACCATTGATCCCACCTCTTACGGCCAATTCTCTGACTCGCTCCCAGGCCTCTTCAACCCGGGGGACGTCTTGCGCCATTGCTTTGCTGACTCCGAGAAGTCCTGCCACGTCCCTGGAAGGATATTCCTCTTTTGGATGCGCCTGTGTAAACTCAACAAGATCGTCAATGTTGTTGATATTCTGGGGATTGTCGACGAGATTTGTAACATATCTTGCCATATCCGCCTTCCAGTCGGCAAAGCCAACCCTCCCTCTCAATGCTCCGGATTCGTTGAGAAAGGTCTCGTATTCTGGATAATCCGCTGGGTCGATGATCTCGGCTCCGGCATCTTTCATAATCGAGGCGGCTTTGGCAATACCCGCCAGGTCGATTTCATCAGCAGCTGCCTCATCATTGTCTCTGAAAGCATTTCGAGGGATGCCAATCCGTGCCCCCTTCAATGCGGACTTATTGCAGAATCTGGCATATTTCGGAATATGCTCGAATGGAATCTTACTAGTCTCAGGATCGTGCGGGCACTTCCCGCCAATTATCTCAAGCAGCGAGGCCGCGTCTTCAAGGGTTCGAGCCATGGGACCTACGGTCCCTTGTCTCTTTGAAATGAAGACCAAATCGCGAGAAGTAAGGCCAACGGTCGGTTTAATGCCAATGATATTACTTCTTTGCGCTGGACCAATGATACTGCCCCCAACCTTCAATACTCTGATTAGCCAACCCATTCTTCCAGTGATTGTCCATGGACTTACCTCTATACCTATCGCCGCGAAAGCAAGCCCAAGAGCTGTTGCAACGCCAGAACCGCTACTGCTTCCAATAGGATCCTGATTGGGGTAGTAGACACCCAGTGTCTGGCCACCGACTGCACTCCAGCCATTGGATGAATTCGACTTCCGGAAGTTTCCCGGGTTTGTGGAGCGTATGTTTCCCCATTCCGATAAGTTGCTCTTGCCCAAGATGATGACACCAGCTTTGCGAAGTTTCTGGACATATGATGCGTCTCGCCCGACAGTGGCCCCATAGAAAACACATGAGCCGCAGGTTATACCCAGGTCGGTTGTTGCAGTGTTGTCCTTGGACCAAGATCGGAACACCATGCCATGGGCTGTGGTTGTAGTTAGTTTCAATTGAACACTAGGCATTGAGATAGTGTTGCGTCACCCCCGTGGACCTTTGGTCTTTCTCTCCTCATCTAAAGCTTTGGCGGTCTCGATAGCGTCTGGGTCTATCCTGATGACGGCGTGCACCTCATTGTTGACCTCCTCGATCCTCTTTACATATGCCCTTACTAGGTCTTGCGAGGTGAATGCGCCAGACTGAAAGCCATCTTGCACTTCACGTAAAAAGATCTTGTGGAGAGCTGGAAACCGCCCAAGAGCCATATCTTCCAGGTTGGATGGGGCATACCACGGATTGCAATGCTTCCAGAGGACATACAAGCAGATGCTAGAAAAAGCAAAGAGCAGCGATGAGGTTCGTCGCATCAGGGAGAACTTCACATTGTCAAGTTACAACCAGAAATATCGGGCTATGGTCGACGTGGCCACATCATTGCTCGATCAGAAAGAGGCCACAGAATACCACTGATGGCTCGACTGTACGGCCAAGACTCTCGAAATAGGCAGGCCTGGCGAAAAGTTGTTCCCTCCCACGTTGTCATGCCAGGCAATGAACATGCTACTCAATAAATTCGTCGTAAACCTATTGAATGACACTTCAGAAGAACGAAGTGACCAGTACCTGCCGAAAAGCCACCCTACATTCCGATGTTCCCGATGCGCAGACCAGGGTTTGTTTATGGTGACTCCAGGCAGTGGGAAGCCAGACGTTCAGATGGCCCTCAGTAGTAACAAGTTTAAGGGGTTACTTGCTCATTCAATTGAAAGGCAGCAACCAACCTAAGCCTGGACGATTCAAACTTCACGTATATGACTGGTTGCCTGAGTGTATTTATTCAGTACATGAATTGCGTTCCACTACACCCGGTCACAAATGGTCGGTACAGTGCAGTACAGACGCCACAGGTATTGCTGGCCGGCTTCAGCTGGCTTCACAAAACAACCCCCATCCATGGTGAAGACGTCTGGCACAGGAGTCACACAACATGTCTCACGTCGTTAATATGAAACCACAGGCAGAAACATTCTGTTGGTTTCGGAGATCCGCTGATTTATTCACCATTTGCACGATAGTAGGGGTATAAAAGCCATGGTTTCTTCTAACCAGCTTCCAAGTTCGTGTTGCTCGAGGTCGTGGAGACCTGAGGAAAGACTCAACAGGTGTACACACACACACACACACACACACACACACACACACACACACACGCACACACGCACGCACGCACGCACGCACATATATATATATATATATACATATGCCGTCAAAGAATGGCGATAAAGACCGCATACTCAACGTCTTGATCAACGAATCCGGATGCTTGTGCAAATCTCTACACAATTGGACGCCACGAAAATGCGGACATGGCTGTCTCGAGGATCAGTCTCCGATTTTTGATAGCTACAACAGCTATCACAGACATATCAATGAGGTCCACGATGACTTTCATGAGCCCACGAAATGCCCCCTCGTTGCCGACTGTGAAAGCGACATTCTCTTCAAGAAGCGCGTCAACCTCCGAGTCCATCTGTCAACCGTCCACCGCATTACAAAGGAGGAGATGACGGAGTACGTGGAAATCAGGTCTACCGACTTCGTCAATAAGGTTGATCCATTTGAAGGAAAGTGCATGGTTTCTGGTTGCAAATCAGAGATCGTGTTTTAAGAATCGTTCTTTGCTTAGACAACATCTTCCTACGGTTCACAAGATCAACAATGAAGAAGCTAGAAATCTAGTTTCTCTATTAGGTACTTGGAAGGATCGAGAGACGAAGCCCGCTCTCAAGAAACAAGGATGCCCAATGGACGGGTGTAATTCGAAACAAACTATCAACGGCCCGGCTCAACTGCGCAACCATCTCATGGCTCGGATTCACAATTTGAGTGTCAACATCGTGTTGAACTAGTCATTGAGACCATCCTTTCGTCCTCCTCCTCCTCTCGGCGTCTTACAGAAGCTGACGGCCAGAAGTGGGAGGACAAGAGAGACGAGCAATTGGGAGACATTGTCAGAGAGCCAGACCCCACATATTGTCGTATCATCCCCGGAGCCACAGGCGGCCAGAGCCCACGGTAAAAGGAGCCTCAGTCGTTCAGATTGACAAGAAGTGCTGGGCAGATGTCGATACTGGCACAGCATAGAAACAGTACAATCTGCGAGCATACCCTTTGGAGGATGTCTGGGGTCGGAAGCGAGAAGACTTGATGTGGACGCGAGATATCGATATTCCCGTCAAGAAGACCAAAGAATTAACCTCTCCCTCAATCTAGGTTACCCGACTACTCATCTCCTCTTCTCTTCCTCGACTATTATCAACACTCTTGGTGATGCTTGAGTCCAGTTGAGATCCTACACCTGCGCAAGGAGGCCAGCCGGCCGCTCGTCGGACCGAAATATTCCAAAAAGATCTATCAACAACACTTGTTTAGCTGTCTCTCACTCTCCTCTTCCTTGACCATTATCAACACTCTTGGTGATGCTTGAGTCCAGTTGAGACCTTGCACCTGCGCAAGGAGGCCAGCCGATCGCTCGTCGAACCGGGATTTTCCAAAACAAACAACCTATCAACAACACTTGTTCGGCCCGTCTCTCACTCTCCTCTTCCTTAACCATTATCAACACTCTTGGTGATTCTTGAGTTCAGTTGAGACCTTGCACCTGCGCAAGGAGGCCAGCCGGCTGCTCGTCGGACCAGGATTTTTAACAAAAATCTATCAACAACACTTTGTACGATCAACACTCTTGGTGATGCTTGGGTCTAGTTAAGATCCTGCACCTACGCAAGGAGGCCAGCCGGCCGCTTGTCGGACCGAAATATTCCAAAACAAAATCTATCAACAAAACTTGTTTGGTCGTCTCTCACTCTCCTCTTAACTATTATCAACACTCTTGGTGATGCTTGAGTCCAGTTAAGATCCTGCACCTACGCAAGGAGGCCAGTAAGCCGCTACAGCAAGGTGTTAAGTAGTCATGACTAGAGAATGTCGCAAGCGAGCCGAGTGATCTCACCGAGCTATGGCCTTAGCAAACAGTATACTTCTAGAGTCAAGACCATTGGCGAAAAAGAAGGAGGAAACACTTGAGGAGCGACAGGCTCGCGAGAAGAAAGAACATGAAGCCAAGCTCAAAGAGATTGAGTTATTATTCAACGTGGCCCTTTACAAAGAGTTGGGCGACAGTCATGACATGTTTTACAAATTCTAGATAAGGAAGGAGCGATGTGTATACGCAGGATGAGCAACTTCTTTCGGCAAGCCACTACCACCCCCTTCCAACAACGAGTTTCCTGCGTCTGATCCAACTCTCCCCCACCCCAGTAAGTGTCTGAAAACTAAGAAGAGAAACTACTTTTTCCGGTGCCCTCCAACCCTGCCTGCGATCAGACATACAACTCAAATGGAGAACAAGCATGTTGACTTCAACTCTTCAGTCGTCGAATCAGACGACGAGCCCGAGCAACCCAGCAGATTTGCCAACGCCGGGAAACGAAATATTGACGCGCTCTCGCAAGGCAAGTCGTGCTGAGAACAAAGTCGAAAAAAAGCAGTGAGGTCTTTACAGTTTGGTGCAGGAGCACCGTCAACGGTCCGAACGCATTATGGATTCGGAACAGCTTCAATATCTTCTTGGACATCGGGAACAAGCAAGATAGCTATTCTTGTTGATCGAAGATATGGTAACTGGCAATGCTGTTTCGAAACATAGTCCTGCTATTTGCCCTTCTGCCGAGACGATTGAGAGGTTCGTCTTCGCCCTAACAAAGATAGGCACAACAAATGTTGCGGGAAAAGATGTCCCATCGTGTATTACGATCTAATGTTACCGGACAATCCTGATCCAGTACTTGACCTTCCAGTAGGAAGATTTGCCCAAGGTGTATGGCCGTCGCCAAGTCGAGCGAATCAAGACCATGCTTGATCAGGAAACAAAAAGGGCAATCTTACGACTGGAAAATGGGCGGCCAGACAATGGTTGGGTTTCGTGGCTGTGAGTCGAATGCTACATGTATATCTTTCGGTCAGCCTACCGAGGAACCGTATCTGCCTGGTTACTGAAGACACACCTAAATGCTTACCAGATCACACCATTCTCTGGAAAGGAAAATCACTTCAAGAGGTGTATGTCGAAAGCCCGTGGATACGTGAGGATGGCAGTCTTGACAATCAGAAACTCAGCGCTTAGCTACGCACAATCTCAGGCATCAAAAAAGAAGCACCCCTCGCCCTGGCCGAAACTTGGTGGAATGCTTCAGATGAACGTCAAGCTTACAGTCATTTATGGCGTCTCGGTCAAAACAAGACGGTGCATGTGTGGAAGATTTATGGCATCAATAGTTTGATTGATCATGTTATGAGGGATATCAAGAAAAGAAAGAGCGATGCAAATGAGCCGATTATCGAAGGTCTTCGCCGTAAAGACGGTGACAAGATGGTCGTCTCGAGACAGTATAGACATGGCGTTGGAGACCGAGCCTTCTGAGCATTAATCCAGGCTCAACAGACACTTTCGAAGGCGGTGAAGATTCTGGGGTGAAGTGAGGTGCAAACTGAAGTTTTAGCTGGCTGCCCACTACAACCTCTTCCCGCACTTTTACTTTCATTTTCATTTTTATCTCTCATTCCTCGACAATAAACGACGCCGGAGAAGGGCAGCATGACCCCGGCAGAGAGAACAGCGGAAAATCGACTGCGTCAAGAAAAGAAGCAGGCAGTGCGTCAGGCCGTGGCAAGCTCGACTAATTGCGACGACCAAACCCGTCTCGAAGAAACCGAAAGATCCAAAGACACCTCGACCAGGAAAGACCGGAAGAAACCCTGCCCCGGTGACCAACGGAGGCAGATCTATAGCCAAACCAGCACCCGAACCCAGACCACGGCCCCTCAAGAGGGTCTCTCAGTTCACGGCGTTGCTGGAGTCAGAGAGTGCACTGATTATGACGCTATGCTGCTCAAAAGACGGCTTCACGACACGGGACATCATCAACGCCTGAAATCCCCTGCAAAAATCCTCCTGAGGTGCGGAGGAACCAGCGCCGTCATCCATTGTTAAAGTGAGCACCGGAGGAACCAACTTTAACCTGGTCTTTCGAGAGGGGACCGACCTGGAAACCCTCAACGGGCTGGACATGTCGTTCGGGACACCCGTGGAAGGAAAGCAACCTGGAATAAAGCTGAGGATGACGAAGAAGAGACGCAGCAAGGTGTACAAGCTGACCACAACTGGGCCTACCCCCTTGGGGAGCAAGAGTGAGGCCGCTAGACAGAACGAGTCTACTTTGTTTACCAGATTATCTCATGATTGGAGAGAAAGTGGAGAGAAGAATGTTACTACAAGTAGAACACGAAGTAGCCGACAAAAATCAAGTTCGTGTACACATGTATTTCAGCGCCCTCGTCGCCATTTTCGACTTTAGATAATTCTCTCTTGCCTCAGCAGAGAAGTAGATGTCTTTCGTTTTGCGAGGCCGCTAGAGCCCTCGGCCGCTACTCGAGGTTATGTCTCACTAGCGACCACGTTTTCTACATACTCTGCTTTCTTTTCCTCCTGTTGAGTCAGATCTCCAGGAGACTGATTGTCCGAGTGATCATCTTGAAGTCGGTCCCGCTTCAAGAAGATGTAATCGATTTCTTCCAAAGTCAAACCTTTGGTTTCTGGAAATAGGAAGTAGATCAACGGAAGGAATGCAAAATTCTGCAAAGGAGGTCAACCATGCCCTGGTGCGATGAGGAGAGTTCCCCGATGTACAACTTACTGTTGACATAAAAACAAGGTACGTCTTCCATTGGATATTGTGCACCAGTGTTGGGGTGATCATAACGATCGTGAAGACCTGTTCCGGGCATTAGACCGTGTTTCGTCCAGATCTTGATCTTGGATCGGATATTTGATACTCACCCAAACCCAGTTGTTCATAACGGCAAGGGCGGTACCTTTCGCACGCACTTGTAGCGGTAGAATCTCCGCCGCGTAGAGCCATGGGATGGGAAACAGCGAGCTGCCAAAAGACAACATGTACTGCGAAGCGTCAGTCAGACTCATCTATGTTGCACCCACCCGAGCGTGAAACTCACCGTAATGAAGAACGCCACTGAAGCAGTCGCCGTGGCGTGCTCCTTGTTCGTTCCTTTGAAAGACAGCAATGCGGCAATCAGCGCCATCGATACGGCTTGACCGGCTGTTCCGATCATCAACAGCGGTCGGCGACCGATCTTATCAAGACCTAAGATGGGCCCGATGCACCCGGCGGCAAATGCCAAATTGACGCAGCCAGCCGTCACAATTGCGGTCTTGTGCTCGAGACCGACGGAATCCTCCAAAATAACCGCGGCATAGAACACCACCACATTGATGCCGCTCCACTGATTCATGAGAAGGATGAGACACGCTAGGAACACACGATAGCCAGTCTGCAGAGGATCGCCCCGTCGGAATATGGCAGACCATTTGAACTCAGTAGACCGCTCGAGCTCGACTGCATCGACAATTTCCTTGAGTTGACCATCCACCTGTGCTGCCGTTTCGCTCAATCCGTACACTCGTTGGATCACGCTCCTTGCTTCATCGAGATTGCCCTGTTGTACAAGCCAGCGAGGGGTCTCAGGTAAGGCCAGGATGATGGCTGCGATTGGTAGAGCGAGCACAATTTGGAACGCGATTGGAAAACGCCAAACGAACGGTCCAGAGCCGTAGCTCAGTCCAAAGTCGAAGAAGTACGCGAAGCTGATGCCTAGAGCGATGAAAATAACCTGAGATAAATTTAGATCGGTGATCTTTCAATCGCTGAACCTGGGAGAGAGCCTTACCTCCGTTGACACCAACCGGCCTCGATTGTCACCTTTACAAAGCTCCACCTGGTACATTGGCACGGTGCTGCTGTCAATTCCAACACCCAATCCTGGTCACGAACAGATTAGCCTCTCCCTCTCTCCGTCTCAATTCACCGTCAGTCATCCACGGACCCTTACTCACCAGTAATGAATCTCCCCACCATCAATTGTGCCCTCGAATAACTCGAGCATTGAATCACTGCGCCCACACTAATGAAGAACATTGCGACCAAAATCGCCTTGCGTCTGCCTATCGGATCGGCGACGAAGAAATTCAAGATGCACCCGAACAGACATCCCAGGTTGTATATCGATACAATGATGCCCATCAGTCCTGGTGCCGGGTGGCCGAAGATATTCAAGAAATCGGGATTAGTGATCAGTCCACCGAACACGCCTTGGTCGTAGCCAAAGAGAAAGAAGGCTTGGCCGCAGGTTACGGCAACGGCGGTGCGTGTGGCTCGGCCGGGAGAGAACCATTCGAGGTACCTCATCTTGAGAGTATAAGGAGGGAAAGCTCCTGTTGTTGAGACTGTAGAAACCTTGTGGAAGAGCAAACAGAATAATGTAAGCTGATTTTGCCACACACGGAGTTCGAAAGGTACTTTAGGCTCCTTAATATACACGACCCGTCAGATTCTACAATCGCCAATCATCCTAGCTAAATCAAGGTCAGACTATGTTTTATACAGTGATAGGAACACAGCGCCTACCAATATCGCTTTTCCACTCCACGTACTCAAGTTCAGTTCTCCTTGATTTCTCCACGCAACCAAGTCAACAGCCCCGGGAATTCCAAGTCCAGGGAACTCGAAATCCGGGGGAATCCAGGTGCGGGGAAATGTTAATATTGACATGCTCGAGTGGCTTCTACAGAGGCCGAGAGAAACTTGAAACGGGTCTAGCTCTCCGGCATGTGGCCGCGAGCCGACCCCTGAGCATCTCCCAAATATGTAGTAGTAACGGGGATGCCTTTGGATGTCGATCGGAGGTACGCCGTAGCGTAACAGTCTGCTTCTCGGTTTAGCGGTGGAAAGCAGGTGTGATGGATGGTATATTTTCTGGCCGGTAGACACTCAGTAACTCAGTATCGCAGACTTTGCTTGTACCTGAGACCCCGGGCCTTCCAGCGTTTCACACCGATTGCCCCCTGGATCCGAGACACGTTGGGGTCTCCTTTTCCTCGGTCGTTTCCTCACATGGCAATAATATTATAATCAACAACCAGGTTAGACTTGGAAAAACAAAACCATGTCGCATACAGAGGAGTGGCTGAGGAAATGAGGTAGAGTCGAGTTGGAGGAGCGTGGACAGCAGCAGGGATGGGGTGGCGGCAAAAGACAAATCCGCAACACCAGGTTAGGTACATGATTCCTAAGCATTCGAACTACATGGATTACTGCATGTCCCAGTCTCATCGTCAGGTTTGCGAGACAGGAGATGGCGATCGCGGAAGATACTTTATCCACGTCGATGCTGGCCCCTACCGCTCTGATTTATCCTCCCGGGCTTGGTCCTGTTGTTAGTTATATTCACCTTGGAGTTCGGTGTCTGTCTTGATCGATTCCATCTCGTATTAATTCTCAGTGAAGGCGAGAACCGTGTCAAGAAGGACCATATTATTGACAGACCTGAGAACATTGCCTTCCAGCCTCATTGTTAATCCTGCAGCCCCAGGAACGTTTGTAGCTCCTTCAAACACGAAGATCGCTCCCAACCCGAGCTATGGGGATGTTCGTTAACCGAGAGAATGAGACTGGAAGTCATCGGTACATACATCTTTGATGTCAGGGCGAACAGGTACTGCCGCATCAGCGTTCAGGGGAGGGAGATATCTTTCTCTAGTCTCGATATGTGCGGGACGAGGCCGAACGCGACGTGGAGCAACAGCTTGTGACGCAGGTCGGGCGTCTTTTGGAGGCTCGTTGCGGGAATTGGACAAGCGCAGGATCGTTATCGGAAGATGTTCCTCGCTCGATTGGCGTCTGGAAATCTTGTTGGCATATAGAATAACCATTGTTGGAACGACCTACTTCTTGAGTCGGAAATGGTATCTTCTCCAAAGAAACGTTCCTTAATCGCAATAGTCACGCATCGTTGACAAGTCTTCGTGTGCTGGAGCAGCACCCCCGTCTTGGAGAGCGACGACATCGCGTGACTCGAGCGCTGTCGGGCGGCGTTCAGTCGGACGACGCTGTGGACGGAGAGGACACCTCCCTGTGAAGGCCGAGAATATAGCAATCTATAGCACAAGGCAGTGAATTGATAATGTTGCAAAAGTTGTAAAGGAGCGTCGGGGCGTCAGTGTAGCCGGGGGTGTAAGGCTTGAAAATCATCGAGTTGTAAAGACGTCGTCGGTGGAGGTTCCCACAACTCAGCCTCTTCAACAGTACAATCACTGATTAGCACTGAGTAGTGCGTATCACCATCGGATTGATATCTATCTCTGCTTTTTGCTTTGCATATTTTATGTATAATCTTGCGAAGGTGTAGAAGTGTAATCTTTGACAGGGCACGACAATCAACTCGTTTTGGCAGGCAAAAGGCGTGAATTCGAAGTGGGTCCCATTTCCCAGCCCCTTACTTGACAGCCTTGTTCTAAGAACCCCCCTTCTTTGAAAGTTGACAATCTGGATTGAGCCGGACTTGGGCTCCCCAACTGGCCGAGGTGACCCGATCGGCAGCGTGAGTAGACCGAGCAGACTGAGCAGACTGATCAGAGGCTTGAGAAGACCTGAGCAAAGGCGGCGCGGGGTTATGTCGGAAGGAGCGGGGCGGGCGTCGAGAGCCCGGCTGTGAAACTAACTACTCCTTAAGGCGTATATTAATCTCGACTTGTTCGTTCCGAGTCATCCATAGATCTCCTCACACTGGCAATCATGAGGGAGAAACGCGGTATCTAAGCACCAGGACCTCACGACATATTCTGTGCGTCCTCCTAACGACGTTCCCTTCAGGGGCAACCGACGTATGCAATCTCTTCCCCGAATAGCCTGCTCCGAGTTCTGTTTGCTCACAGAGTGTACCTGAAACCTTCCAAACCTTCAATGACCTTCCCCCCGTTCATGGCTCTTTTGTTGGCTCGGTTGAATTTCCAACTCAGCCAGGCGACAATGAGCACGATCAGGGCGTTGGCAATCAAACAGGCCAGGATGCCAGGACGGTAATTCGGGGCGTCTTGTGCACGAAAGACCGTTGTTCCAATGATACCGCCAATGCTGCCACCCCCGACCAGAGTTGCAGACGTCAACGCGCGCTTCCACTGTCCACGGATATTGTTACTGGCAAGAGTTGTCAGCTCGCTTTTCGGTGCTCAGACGGATGGACTGGATAGTGCTTACCCCTGATAAGTGATCAATGCGGGACAGTTCGCGTTACCTGAGGCGCGACGTTAGTTGGTCACTCTCACACCGCCGTCATTGATGCTCCTTACATGCAGAAGTGGCCAAGAACACGCCAAAGTATCGAACCCCTGGGGTTTTGACGTAGCCCAGCAGTCCCAAGCCGACAATGCCTGAGAAACTTTCAGTCAAATCAACACAGAGACGACAAACGTTTAGACACTTACCCATAAGAGCATTTCCGACCACAACCGGGCCACGGAGGCGCCACTTGTCTGAGTAGTACGATTCGACGAACATGATTATCGCCGCAGCAACGTACGGGGGTGCAACAAGACACTGGGCCGCCGCGACGGAAAATCCCATGCCATCTCGAAGAATTATGGGCAAGAAATAGGCGATGGCGTACGAATTGGTAGTGGTCAACATGTACAGCCAGGCAAAGGCCCACACTTTACTGTCCAGGGCATTCTTGAGATATTTGCCGACGGAAAACTTGTCCGGATACGTGTCCGAGCGGTCTTGCTCGATCCGCGCGACGACAAAGGCTGCTTCTTCCTCGTTGAGAAAGTGCCAGGACTTGGGAGAGTCCTCTGGAAAGTCGACAATGATGAAATAAGCACCAATTGCCAGGACACATGTCAGGATACCCTCTATCTGAGAGAAGTCAGTCCGTGAATTCGCTTCCCCTGCGTCGAAGATACTCACGATGAAAATCCAACGCCAACCAGAGAGATTGGCGAGGCCTGACATTTGCATCAAACCATACGCAAGGATTCCGCCGAACCCTGAGGCCATGCTCCCAATCAGGTAGAACAGGGCATTGCGCTTCTGCAGGTCGAAGCGAGGATACCACGTGCTGAGGAGGTACACACAGCCAGGATAAACTGTGATCGTGTCGAAGACACCGTGTCAGCGAAGAGGGCCGTGAAAGAAAAAGAGCGCAAGAACACAAAAGCCAGAATGAACTGGGAAAAATCAATGCTGAATGAGCTTACAGCCTGCTTCGAGTGCACCAAGGATGACTCGCAAGACGCACATAACTTCCCAGCTGGGTACAAATCCGAATCCCTGTGCAACACGTCAGTATATGCACCGGTTGACGGGGAGATCCTTCTGTCTCACAATCATGACAGCACCCCAAGCAAGGACAATGAAGGAGAGAAATTTGCGCGGGCCCATCGTGCGGATGAAGACCACTGCGGGCGCCTGGAAAATGGTATAGGAGATGAAGAAGACAAGAGACACGATGGTATATGCATTGTTGGACTCGTTCATGTCCAAGCTCTTCTGCATCCTGAATCAATGGTCAGCACACCCCGACGTGGGAGATGGTGAAAAGGCGCATACCCAGCGACCGAGGCTGCGCCCAGGTTGGTCCGATCGAGAAGACTGATGCAATAGAGACAACCGAGCGTGACTGCGAGACGGAGGTCAATTCTTCGGACAATTCTCTTCTGCTCGGCGGGGCTGAAGCGGGATATATGGTCCTGGTGTGATACGCCCTTCATGGCGACCTCGACCTGGTCGTTGGACACATTGTCGGCGGCTTTTTCATCTATCGAGCGCGGTGCCATCTCGGTGGGTATGAAAACAGGTTTGCAGCTCGTGTGGGATGAGGGGGAGACAATCCGGGTTGATCGAAGGAGACCACGTCGAAATCTGGGGATTGCGGGAGAATGTACGGAGTATATAGGCCGTTGGAAATGGTGTACCCACACGAAGCCCGAGTTTCGAAGTGGACCGAGGCTTTTACCACCGGGACAACCAGAAACAAGTATCGGAAGGATGTCGATATACCGTAATACGGCACGGGAATGGCGAGGATTTTCCACCGGACGTCCACCGGACACGACTTCACCCGCGCGCATACTCACAGACTCCGCTCCCCTGGCCGACCGGAGACCCCAACTGTGGAGTCCCCGCAACCTTTTCGCAACATCATATTGGGCAAACCCTCGGAAGGATCGTCGTCAACATGTAAAATATCGTCTTCTCACCACGCACCAAAGTCTCCTACGTGACCCGTGCCCCAATAACGCGAACATGCATTCATGGTCTACTGGGCCCCTCTCTCTCCGTGGTTCCGAGGCTCGTAGCGCAGAACCACGGCTTGAGATGCGTGAGCTTTCAGAGTTCCCTTTGATAATCTGTCCGAATTAGGAAGACCTTTGTTCCGCAAGGCACCCAAGGAAAAGAAAGGCCGTGGATGAAATCATCCCCAGTACAGCTGCAGCTGCACCCCGCCTCGTCGATAGTATGACTGGCAGGAGTCACAGTCGGGGCACTATTAGTACCCATGGCCGCAATCATAACCCCGGGGAAGTGCCCAAGTCAGTATTTCTTTTCCATCCTCTGGTCCAAACACCACCCTAGCAGGATTCTGAGAGCCATTCCAACGTCCAACAAGAATGAGGAATAATGCCCTGTGGCGTATCCTGCTTCTTGCGCACGGTGTTAGCTGTGCGCCTGCTTCAGGTCTACCCGTCGTAGACCTGGGGTACGAGCTACATCAAGCTACGTTCAACGTCAGTAAAAAAGCGAACCGTACAAGTGTTGCGCAGTCGTCTTCCAGCTACTTACAACGTCCAGGAGTCCGGTCAATACTACAACTTTTCGAATGTGCGCTACGCCGCGCCCCCAGTGGGCAAGCTTCGATTCTCTGGTCCCGTCCCTCCCAGCACCGATGGGCCTAAAGTTTTCAACGACGGCTCTAGAGCCGTGACCTGTTTCCAGGCTCTCCCGGCCTGGACGGTGTATTCGGCAAGTTGGATCGCCAACGGCACTGCCGCCTTCGACATCTCTGCCGGGTATCAAGTGCCCCCCTTGCCACTGCCCCCACCTGTCCAACCCACCGCCAGCGAAGATTGCCTGTTCCTTGACGTTATGGTGCCGAAAGCTGCCTTTGACGCTGCGGGGAAAGGTCCAGGAGTGCCGGTGTAAGTTGATTTCGGCATCGTTGAGGTGCGTGGTCCGAGTAATGCTCATCGGTAGAGAACAGAATGGTGTGGATCCACGGAGGCGGATACACCCTCGGGTCCAAAACACTCTACAGCCCTTCTGCAGCCGGTCTTATCGAAGCGAGTCAGGCCCACGGGGGACCAGGTATCGTCTGGGTTGCGATGAACTATCGCCTTGGAAGTTTTGTACGCCGAACCCCCACCGTCTCATCTGAGCTGTTTCATGCTGACCACATCTGGCGGCCAGGGATTTCTCTCCGGGCCGACGTTTCAAGGCTCCTCTGGGACCGCCAACGCGGGCCTCTTCGACCAGCGCCTCGCGCTTGAGTGGGTGCAGCAGAACATTGCGAAGTTTGGGGGGGATCCAGACCGGGTTACGGTCATCGGAGAGTCGGCCGGCGGCGGGAGCACACTGCACCAGATCACGGCGTTCGGTGGTTCGAAAGGCAGGGTGCCTTTCCGTCGGGCCATCGTGCAGAGCCCTGGTTTCTTGATGACGCCCTCCGAGAAGCTACAGGAATCCGTTTACCGGTCCTTCCTGGCCACCGCCGGAGTTTCGACGCTGGACGAAGCCCGCGATCTGTCCGCGGAAGCACTTCAGCTCGCAAACTACAAACTCGTCGGAAGCTCAACCCCTTACGGCTCCTTCACCTTCAACCCCGTGGTTGACGGGATTTTCGCGCCCGCTCTGCCGGGCCAGCTTCTCCTGCAAGGACGTTTCGACAGGTCACTGGAGATCATGGCAGGCCATAACCTCGAAGACGGTCTTGGGTTTATGGACCCTTTTGCCCAGAATGAGACCGTTTTCGAAGCCGACCTGCGCTTGTACTTTCCCACCATCTCCGATTCCGCGGTGGAATACATTTCAAAGGTCCTGTACCCTCCCATTTACGATGGCTCCGCCGGCTACACGACACCGACTGGACGGAACGATCTCTTGGTTACGGAGGCCTTTTTCTCGTGCAGCACAAACTATCTGGCTCGAGCCTATGGCAACCAGGTGTTCAATTATATTTTCACGGTTCCACCGAGCCTTCACGGGGACGATGTGGCATATACGTACTACAATGGACCGAGCCCTCTTGTCAAGAATGATACTTTGGCCGTCATCATGCAGAAGTATTTTACGAACTTTGCGATCAAGGGCAATCCAAATGCCCCAGGACTTCCCCCGTTTCAACCGTACGGTCCGCGTGCGACGGTTCAGAATTTGAATCTGACCTTCGTCGATCAGATGGTTGACAATGCAGCGAATAAGAGGTGTTTATGGTGGCAAAAGGGATTATTTGCTTGACCGTAATTGTAACCCAGTGGGTACTTTTTTGCCATTCGAGATGTCCAGCATCGCTCGGCATCTCCTGCTCTAGGGTATCATTCCTAAAGAATACAAACAATACACAAAGGAATCTTGACAATCTCATGTACGCGTAACCTTATCATTACCTTAGGTAGGTAATCAACGCCTGGCTCATCAATATCAGCTGCGTACCAGTTCGCCCCAGAACGCTGCATCACTCTTGTTCTCGGCGCTGGCCACATTGAACACGCCACTTGTACCCTCGATCGCCGTAGTTTTGCCACCCAGAGACTTCGCGTCACCATAGTACCTAAAGCGATACATACCAGACCGTGTCCCTGGCTCGATCTCCCATGTTAGAGTGACTTCACTTGTTCCCAAGACGGTACTGAGCCGTTTCCACTTGAACACGAGAAACCAGTCTCGGTCAGAGCGAACCTGAACCCACTTCCCTTGGTCGGAGTCGAACCTCTCCACCGCAGCGAAGGTCCCTTCGAGTCGGAAGTCGTTTCGCGGGTTGGCACCAACGAAAGTGGCGCTGACCACCGACCCAGCTGTATGTTGTTTTGCTGGATCAGGGGAGGATAACGTTGCTCCAAAACGGCGAAGAAGGCCCGGATTGTCAACAACCACTGGCGTAATGAATGACAGAGAGGCATTGACATTAACAGGTGGGCTTGGACCCGCTGGCAGGCGACGAAGGTGGGATGTCTCATCCTCCGAACCGAGATACGGGAGGTAACTAAGGGTTAGGTTGATATAGGCCTCAAGCGTGTGCGGGCCATAGAGCGTGCTTGCACCCTCATACCGTTGCACACCATATTCTTCTTCCGTTGCAATGTAGTGTGCATAAGTATTGGCTGGGCCACCAATGACAACTTGAGGATCATCAATGCCGAGGACGGATGGAGCGCCTTCTGCAAGAGCAGTCCGCCAGCGCCGTCCCGCCATCGTTGTTGCCTCACCTGGAGACACAATGATGATCAGAGGTCCCACACGAAGTAATTGGATGTCGACTATATTCGGCGACCAGGCGTAGGGTTCATCAGCTGCACCAACATCAAGCAAGATGGGTTTGGGCTTCTGGCAGGCGATCTGCTCGTCCGTAGGCTCGTGGATGAAGCCTCGTGCCAACTTCCAGAGAGGATTCTTCAGCGATGGCGAGTCGTCCGTATCATTTGTGCCCTGAGAGAAGTCAAAAGCACCAGGGCCATCTGTCGTACCGCCAGCAAAGCCGTATCCTAGTGCAGCCGAGCAGGTTTTTAATTGACGGGACTGATTGTATGGAGAAGTAAAGGTGAATGAGGAAAAGTTGGCGTAAGTGTGGAAGAATGAGACTGTGGAGGGCGGAATTCGTTCTAGATCTGCACTGTCTAGGATATACTTTGCAGCCGTCATTTGGAGACTTCCAATCTCGAAGCAAGACTTGGTTCCCTGATCTATGCTTCGAAACATTGGACCACGTCCATGACAAGGCTGAGTTTTGCCACCACATGTGCTGTCATTAAAAGAACATGAAAGGCCCGAATCCTCACAAAATGCCCCGAGAGTGTTCGGGGAGGTGTCGCCAACGTTGGCTTGCGAGAAACCTGCAACGAATGCCGGATTTGCCTCCTGCATATACGTTTCAAAGAGATATGCTGCCACTCCCTTGTTATCGCCAGTGATGAGCGTGTTGTTCTGGTAGAGCGATGTGCCATGGACTGGAAACCAGGACAAGAGCCCCATTGCTTGACCGTCCGATGCTCTCTCAAACTTCAAGAGAGTCATGTTCTTGTCAACATCGTCGGCATATCTTGTTCTTTCGTCCTTTGGATTCTGCAAGTAGGCATAGGGGCTCCGATTGACGTTGGCATGCTCTAGCCTTGTCTGGCCCAAACTCAAGTGACCTGGCACAAGACTCTTGTGAGCGCGCTGAATAGCCAATACCGAGCCCGTGACGATGGCGTTGTAACTGGTTTTATCGAATCCCTTGCTTGTTATTTGAGGCAGAAGGTAGTTCAGCCAGGCCCCGGGTCCGCTATGGCTGTGCGTACCTGTGACGGCCAAACTGTCCTTATTGTATACTTCATACTCGGGTCCCAACTTCTCGAGTTCTTTCAGTATGCCATGTCGAACAGCTGTATCTCCGGATTGTGTATCAAGGACAAGGTAGGCAATTCGAGAAGAGTTGTTCGTCAAGTTTCCGACGATGAAAGCCCTGGAATAAAGGCGCTGTCGGAGACCAGTTCCAGACTGATCTGTATCTGCATAGCCCATCATATTCACCTCGACAACCGGCCTAGGCATGTTAACACGGGTTTCAGGATAGCAGATTGGAATCTCTTACCCCGTGATGTCCGCCTTCCCAACGCCCACCAGGTAATCCCCTTTCGAAGCCACATACTGTTCTCCTTCCCCTCGACTCTTGGTCGGTATCAAGTGCGCAAGGACAGGAGTTTCGAGACAGGAATAAAGTAACAGGATGGTGGTGATCAGCAGCAGCCAGAAGTTATAAATCACCAGGCTGGTAGGGCTTCGACCCAACTTCGGCGTTGCTTGACTGGAAGCCATCGCAGTTTTGGACCGGGTTGTAGCGAGGTGAGGGTTCTCTTGTGTGGAGCGCACCTAGGGGAGTCCACTGAAGCCTCTCATGTTGCAGTCTCCTAGTCGGTAGAGGAGAGAGTAGTCGTCAGAATGACCGCACAAGAAACCATGGATATCGCAGGCATCGTGCCTTGTGACACGCGCTCGGGACCGTGTGCTGACCAGGCATTTGCACGTCGCAGGACGCGGGGAAGGAACGTCCGGGACCGGCCAAGACGCTAAGATAAGATACCAACACAATGACATCATGGGGTACGAAGGGTGCAGACGCGTCCAGAGCAACGGGTAAAGCACGAAGTATTGATTTCTGTTGGATACGAGCATAAGCAGTAGACGAAATGACTCTGTGTGAGATGCCCCTACCCACTTCTAAGTACTGTTAATACGACCTCATCCTCCCACTCGTGCGTCACTCGAGCGCCAAGGAGGGCTGATCGGGACTCATCCCGCCGCCTAAATTGAAAGTCGTGCAGCCCAGCGTGCGAAAGGAGTGGACCAGTGAGGCTGAGGGCATAAGTCGACTGATAGATGCCCAGGTGTCCCGGGAATGATTTCAACCCTGGTCGATGACCCGTTGGTGTTAAAGAGAGAAATGGATCTAGAGAGACTCAGTACTGGTTTACGTCGATGAACCATTAAGCTTGAACTTACCCATGGTCGGGCGAGAGTGAGAGGCCGACTCCTGTGGCAAAAGGAAAGCGGTCAGCATCTGCATACCCATTGCTGCTACTGCTGCAGATTCCAGAGACAACTGACCTGCTGCCTCCTGCAAGTCTAATGGTCGACATTCCCGGCAGACTCGAGTACCACAAATGCGCAGACACAGGCAGAGCACGTTGAGAGCGACGAAGACAGCTGAGGTGCAGCTGCCGGACGGTAGCCGAGGACGCGTGTTGCGCAATGACAACTGGGTCTGGATGGAATGCTCTGTCGCCGCCTTCAAGGAAGCGTGGGATGTCTGTACAACTCAGCAGATTGTCTACATCTCACCGGAGGTAATTACATTAGCCTCCCTCACTAGTTAGGGCATCCGGACTATGCCCGAATACATTAATTGCCAACACAACTTATACCTGATGCTGTGTCCCCGTGCTGGTTCTGCCCCTTTTGATCGTACAGTACATGCAAGGTAGGTCTAGACGCTACTCATTCACTCTCTCTGCTCCTCTTCAACCCTTTGTGGGAAGATATCTCAGTGCTTTTCGAACATTCCGTATCCCATGTTTATCGGCCAAATGTCTCACGAACGAACCTTTGTGCGCTGTACCGGTATGATTGGCGCAGATGAGACAGACCCAAGGCTTTTCGACAGCTGCGTCGCCGTCACCGTCACCATCGCGAGTGCGAACGTACTTGCCGTACATGATACAATCGTTGTCCTGGAGCGCATCAACGTCGACGCGGTTGTCGTTGTCTTTGTCATTCTCACATTCATGACGACGACGACGACGACGACTATGCCCATCATCGTTATCGGCATCGTTGGTATCGTCGCCTGCCTGATCGCGGGGAACGACTTGGGTTTTGTCCGTTTCTTTGCCCTTGCCTTTGCCCTTGCCTTTGCCTTTGCCATTGTCATACGTCTCCTCCCTCTCCTTCTCCTCCTCTTCCTCCTCCTCCTCGTCCTCCTCATAATCATCATCATCTTCTCGAAAAATAAAACAAACCCGTCTCCGCAAAACATCATTCTCAACATCAGCGTTCATTCCTACCATCTCTTGGATCCTGGCGTCCGTCACCTTCAACTTTTCCAGTTCGCGCACCCAAAGCATCGTAAATTGGTCAGTCAATCCCATAATGACCTCCTTTAGCAAGTGGCATCTATCTCGCTGCTCGTCACTAAATGCCCAGTGCATTGACGGGTTCACGGCCTCATCCAACCGCGCCGCTAGCTCGCCGTCAAAATCTGCTCGACGCACATCGAACAAACTCCCATCCTCGTCGCTCTCGTCGAGGAAGATGGACACTGCCGTCTCATAAGCCCTCGTCGCGCGGCGGCTCCGTAGCGCAAGGGAAGGGTAGGGAGTGAGAGCGATGTCCAGCTGTCCCCGAATGTATTCGCGCAGCGCAGCGCAGAGTACAGCGTCGCGGATGCGGCTTATGCGTGCCGTGGTTGAGGGTGACATCCTTGTCCCCTTTTCGAAATAATCAATGTCCCCTTTTCGAAATAATGAAGGTCGAGTTTGGAGTTGGTTACTCGGTTCAGTAGGTTCAGTATGTGAGGTACGGTATGTGAAGAAGTTGAAGGCCGGAAGAAAGCAGGTCTCCATTTGAAGAAAAGCTCATGCGCTGGGTTGAGTCAGGCTGGTAAACGCCGCGGGGAAACGACAGCTGTTCGGAAACATGTCGTGTGGTTGTTTGCGTACTGAGGGCACGACTCCGAGAGACCATCGCTGATGGTGAGGTGGACAAAATACCAAACGAGAGAAAGTACCGGTTTTAGACACGGTGAGGTATGATAAATGTCGAGCAATCGGTCGGCGTTGCAGCTCAAACACCTTCGAAGGAGTGCGTGCGGTGTAACGCTTGTTGATACACATCATAACGGAGCTTGCACATAGGGGGAAGTCGCAGATCTGGTATTGACCTGCTCCTGTAATGATCCGGACCGTGCAAAACACACGTACAGTGGTCGTTGTTCGAATCATCATCAAGATTTCTTCCAGCGAACCTTGCGAACCCACTGAGCCCATTTCTGGACGTCGTCCCTCTCACATATCCTGTCGACAGTGTACCACTCCTTGGCCAGCTCCTCATTGGTCGCCATCCGGTGGACGAAGCTATGACAAGCACGACAAAGCCACGCGACACTGTTCAGTTGGTGCTCCTCGTGCCAGTTTCTCTTGAGGGCTTTAGCGTGCACTTGCCTCGGGATGAGATGGTGATAGGTCATCGGCACCCAGTCCCTGTCGCAGATCTCGCACTCGTTCTTCCTCGTCTCGGCCCATTTTGGCGGTGGGGTCGTCGCACCACCGACATATGCGGATATGACGGGGGCTATGAATGTCTGGACGTCAGACACCGGCGGTTCAATGAGCCCATACGCCGTCAGGCTATCGGTGACGTCGCCTGGAATATGGCTCGAGACTTCCTCGTACACAGAAAGCGTCAGGGGAAGGGACCATTTCTCTGACAACCCCGGGCTGTCCTGAAGCGTATGATAGGACAGCCTCTGCAGGTCCTCTGGGAGGCTATTGAATATCTCACTGGCCAGGTAGTCTGAGAAGTCGGCGAGCTCCGATGGGTCGGCTTCTGCAGCGGGCGGTGCAGGAATGGAGGCGCCCGTCTGTCGCTTGCTTGTTTTGGTCTTGCGACCTCTTCTTCCCAACGATTTCTCCACGACCGCCGAGAAGAGACAGTCTCTGAACGTGTCGAAATTGTCGGCGTCGGTTTGCCCCATTGGACGGGTCATGGCAGCTATGGATGGACCAGAAGCTTGCCAACACACGAGGTACCACAGGAACGTGCAATATTGTCTAGCTAGTTAGACGCTTGACGAGTCCTTTTGCCGGATGGTTGTAGGTGGGCTTGAATGACGCCTAACCAGACCAGACCGCCCCATGTTGACCCTTACACTGACCTAAGGCAGTTTTGACATCAGTTGAGCGTCCCGTGTTCACGTCGTACTGATGTCCGAAAGCAACCTACCTAATAGTCGATACGGCCATTCTGACGTATTGTATGAAACGAAGCTCGAACAGTACGAGTACGAGAAGCCTGGTGAGCCGAGTGAGCCTGCGGTGTCCCGTCAAGACGGGGGGGCACAGAAATGTCCCGCCAAAATCGGCAGTCAATGCCGCCGCTTTTGGAGGGCTTTATGTCACCATATCAGGACTACATGTCGCCTGTCTAGGTCGGGATTACTTGTAGCTGTTCTTCTGCTAGACTATCCAGAGACAGAGGGCTGGGCACCGACTCTATCAATCACGGTGTCACCACGACATCTTCTTTAGGTGTTTTCCCTGCTCCCCTCGCTCGCTCTCTGCGCCGGTCTTGAACCTCAACGTGGCCGTGCGTGGACCAGCCATCAGAAACTCGACCTCCCTAACCCTACAGGAGACGGGAACATCGGCGGCAACCTTGACCCCGTCGAATCGAGGGTCTGTCTCTCTGTGGAATTCTCGTGCGAGCTCTTCTTCTAAATTCATAATCTCCCAGCTTACCCTCCCCGCCGCAAACGTGTCCCACAGCCCCTCTCGTCGCGGGTGTCGGAGGAGGAGAACCACGGCCTCTCGACGCAGTCTGGGGTCGCGACATTTCGACGCGACAGTGTAAAGCGGACCTGCCACCCCTTGACTGAAGGTAAAGACCGGTCGGGCCTGGTTGACACTTCCCCCCACGATCGAGGCGGCGTCAGGGATTTGTTCGACCTCCCTTTTAGCGCCGTGTTTTGTTGTTGTTGATGTTTTTGTTGCACCACTTTGCCGCGAACGTGTACTTTTTCCGGGCGTCCACAACATTGTGGAAAGATGATGCTGATCTTCGCCGTCGCAATCCAACAGTTGGCGACTAATGTCGACCACTGTCCTAAAACTCGTCTCGTAGAGGTCCCATACCAGGTCTCCATGGACCGAAGACAGTCGAAAGATCGACAGGTACATGTCCATGATGCAGTTGTGAAGTTGGATGACCAGTATTGTTTTTCGATCGCGATCGTCGTAACGTGTGCGCTGTTCATCCTGTAACGACTCAAAGGCGATTTTCCCATGTCCTGCCGTCGGACAAGAAGGTCAAATTGGTCCGTGGTGGATTGTCGCGGCCGCACACCTGCTCGAGTCCATTCGTCCCGACCGTCACATTCGACGAGGAAGCACTGAAGGTCGCTGAGTAACAAGTCAAAGTAGCACCGGGCATCGGCCAGAGTCTTGAAGCTCAACTTGCTATCCGAGCGCAACGGCCAAGGTGCCAATCTCGCATTCGACTGCGTGATGAACGCGGGTAGGTTCTCGTCGCACATCAGCGACCGAGCCTGGATCTCGAGCGTAGTCAAGGCCAAGACAAAAGCGTTGTACAGCTCGTCATAGTGCGTCTTCGAAGCGGTCGCTGTCTCCCTCGTCCGCTCTAGATTACAAAACAACTTCATGCCGTTCCGGAAGTGCATGATGCTCTGCGTTTGGTGGCCCTGCAGCGTGGCGTAGCACGTGAACAGGATGCATGTTATTAGAGTCGCCACCTTGTGCACCGGTTCCTGAGAGGTAGAAGTGTCCGAGAGCGCGTGGATGGCGCGGTTGCACTGTCGCAGCGCGAACTGGATCTGGGAATCCGTGCTGTCGTCTGGGATCGCCGTGTCGCGCCCGTTCGAAAACTTTTGGTGCAGCGCCCCGAGCCCGGTCACGGCGTAGCGCACCGCGGGCTGGGTCATCGACAGCTGAAGCACCGAGAGGTGCCAGAACTCCTCGTCGACCCGGAACAAGGCCGTCAGCTCCGGGACCGAGTACGACCGGAAAAAATCAAACGACTGTCCCTCGACCTTGCTGTCAAAGACCAGCAGGCGGGGATATGTCAGGTAATGGTGAACCTCTTTCGTAAGCGGTGCATGTTCCGCTGCTGTTGCCATCACCAATGGCGTCCACGAGTGCTGCCATGAGTGTCGCTCCCAGGACGTCCCGAGCTCTGGCAGCGTGTGGTTGTGCTGGTGGTAGCCGCCGCATTTCCGGCCTGACGACAAACACCGCGCACACGACGGCTTGCCTTCGTCGCACTTGATCCGGCGGGCCCTATAGCAGAGAGAATGGGTATGTGAGCGAGGGTTCCTCTTGAGTCAAATCGACAGCGCAGTGATTTGGGGTGATCTCGCACCTGCAAGTAATACAGCCGGTCTTGACCTTGGGCTTCCACACCTTCTGGCGGGGCTTACCCGAAGATACGCGACGACCCGTCTCCATCTTACCTCTCCGCCGCCATAGAGCACGAGGCGTTGAGAGTATGGTACAATGGGATGCCTGACAGACTGGGAAGACGACTGAATCGTTGAAATGGAGTTGAAGATGAATCAGTGTCGTGAAAGCTCCGTGATCTTCGCCGCAACAACTCGTAAATCATTTAGTATCGTGCCTTATGCAGGCGATTAGCCTCCTGTGGTCAGGACTCACTTGGCTCACTGTTTAGCCCGGTGCACAGGCTGGTTACCAGTCAGGCGTCGAAGAATCGACCGGTACAAAGTGGAAAGGGTGGCTCACTCTAGCCAGGGCAATCATTAGCCGGGAAAGCAAATCGGCCCCCAAAGACTTAAATCCAAGGAGGGACTGGCAGCCCAGGAAACCCAGGCTGGTGGGCCCTTTGGACAGTGTCCACCAGGTCTGGGGGGGATTCGAGTCCCATCCGCACCTATCAAAGCCTTATCACCGTCATTTGGAATCGCTCTTCCAGGGTGTCGCATAGCGGGCCTTATCGCTTCTCTTGCATCTCGATTCTGGCTCGATGTTTAACTACGATCGTTCGAGAACCAATCTAACTGCACCATCTGGACTTATCTCCAACACGACGATGGGTAGCACAAGGCCGTCGTCGAATGCTTAGATTCGCGGCTTGAGGTCATTATCATTTGGCGATGTCTTCTGATCTGTCCTGTTTCCAGAGAAAGTTCCAGGTAAAATGTCTGGCGACGGAGCAGAGCTCATTTGACCCAAACTTCAATTCGAGGCGGAATTTCGCATCGCCCGGAATTCGCATGCATCATGCCAGAAGCGGCAGCATCGACTTTCGTGCTCCGCGCTTGGCACCAGGAACGAGGCAACACTTTGGCGTACAGAGGGCCAGTCACCCGGACTAATGCTACAGCCTGTACTGCTCACCTGAGCCACGTACCAGGAATACAAGGGAGTATCGGAAGCCGCAGCGCCGCCCAGGATACCTGCCCATGCGAAGGCTTCGGGCTGTTGGTCCCAGTAGCCCAAGATTGAACTTTCATCAAGGGCAAGCATGAGTTTCTCGGCGAGCTTTCGATGAATGCCCACGTGTCGTGGTTTGGGGTAGACCGTTTCGACCAGAAATATCAGTATGGCATAGCGGCACACCAGGTAGCGGCAGTCACTTGAAACGGGCGGACAGAGGAGATTGTGCTGGATAGAGCGCCGTGCTGCAATTATATGCAACAGATCTGGGCCGTTTGTGTTGTCTCTGCGGAAACATTCGTAGGTGACGACGAGTTTGCGCATATTGTCGAGAATGTCGTGCATGACCTCTCTGCCCTCAACGCCGTCAAGAAGCGCCAGCTTTCTCTGGCTCATGACTTCATAGAGCTGTCTGCCTTGTCGATCCCACCTTGCTTCACAATGTGCGATAGAATACTGTGTGGAGTTGAGGAGGTCGATTTTAGGGGTTTCCAGTGTCAGAAGAGCGTCGTTGAGAGCGGTACTATCAGGTCGTCAGCTCTTGTTTCATGGCCATGAGATGGACTTACGATTCAAGGGCTTCCGCCAGACCCTGGGTCTTCAATGCCCCCAGACCTCCTAGTTGTTGGACCATCTTGTACACCATCTCCAGGTGCTTGGGTTGCCATCGCATACTGGAATAGAATTCATTGTCTCGATGTAGGTGCAGAGGTGGTTCCATTGGATTTTGTGGCGCTACGATCCGGTCGCCACTGTCATGCACTCCAAGCAGATTGATTGACAGCAAAAGGTCCTCGGATATTGGCCCCTGGTTCGCTGCAAGTTCTTTCCTCAAGCTAGCCAGGGCTTCGGCCTTGTACGACATGCGCAACATGATGCTCTTCCGGTTGGAGCCAGAGTTAGGGCCTGCGAGCCATGCTCGATGACAAGTCCCAGCAAAGACGATAGAGTAGAATGCGACGGGGCTTCTCATCGCAGCGCTCATGATGTCAGCTTGTGTGCGCTGGATCTCTTTTCGCGAAGGGCCGTAGAGAACCCATTGATGCCTTATGGCTATAGGGTACGTTAGCAACGTCAGACACATGACTTCAACACATATCTTGAAAGGCCCTACCGTGATCAAGCATCTCCTGGACATATTCGGGCACGTGAATGTCGCGGAGGGCGTCGAATGGGTCTAACCGCCATTTTCCAATGATACGTGGAGGTGAGAGCCCTCTAACATCAGTCTCGGAATCTTCTGACGCCGATGTTCCAGGAGAATAAACCAAGGACTGCGGTGTGGTGGCCGAATCATTCGTGTGAGGCGTACCCGCATTGCGGCTGACAGAAGGTCGCGACTGGCTTTTAGATAATTTTCGTTTTCTGTGATATTCCAGTGCAGTGTGTTGCTGGCGAGATTGGACACTGTCATGGCTGAAAGACTTCTTTTGGTCATAAGGCAGGAAGAGTAACGTGGTGGATGTCATGGTTGCCATCGTCGTGCCCCTTTCCCAGCATTTTCCAGCATGTGATCGGAATTCCTTGTAATCAAGATAACTAATGCTAGATCAACTGGTCACAGGTTCTCGGATTGTCTTGAGTAAAGAGAGGAAAGCGAACAACTCCTGATTGATCCAGCCAACACCGTCTAGAACGTTTGGAATCTGAAGACTTCGAGCCCGCTTCGGTATCGCGTCTTAAGTTAACGTAACCGCAGCTGATCTAACCTCAGGCAGGAGAGAATGCGGCAGGGATATGCATGCCTCGGATTTCGTATGGAGGCACAGCCGCGTCTGGTTGCCTCTTCAGAAGCGTGAGCGCGTCGCAGAGAAAAGGTCGTACTGACGGGCGATGCTGCCTCAGATATCCCCAGGACTCGGCTCGACGATTTCTGTCTAGAGAGACATGAGCTACTGCTTAGCGTTGGTGACGGTGCTCGTAAGGCTTACCCTCGTGCATACAGGGACCGTGCAGGCAGTATCCACTAAGCGCACTTCCTCACCAGTGAAACCGACGAGGACCAGACGCCGGGCAGCACAGGGCATGATCATGCTTCCTTGGGCACATAATCCTGGCGGCATGGTTGGCCCATTCCTGAACCCCCCTGGCTGAGGTTAAGCAAGACCGCTGTAGGGAGTCCGAGGCCAAGCCAGTAAGGGCGATGGGCGGCGCGTGGCAGTCCGAGTTGTGCTGACAAAACGATCCGAGGCGATCAATGGCCTCCCTCTGCCGAGTGTAACCAAAATATGATGATGATGATGAGCAGCGTGCGGCCAAGGTGAATTTCTCGAAGCCAACCAACCGACGGCACAATATTCGTAGGAGCTCACAGCACGTAAGCCGCGAGGACAGCTCCAGACCCTTTCGACGACTACCAGACCCACAATCAACTTGGTCGATTCTGGGGCGCCTTGTCCCCTTCCCCGAGTCGGAAGGTCGATAGCAAGGGAAGTGTGATGCTCCCAGCTTTCAGACATTCTGCCGTCTCGTTCCGTGTCAGAGGTGACAATGCGAAGGAGGGTTCTAATCCCGTACTTGAAGATGCCGGATATGCGCTTTCAAACAGGTGGCGCTCCTTTCATTCCCACAATGGGCCTGATTCGAGATTGCAGCTTCTGGGGATGCTGCTTCGGGCTTAAACTACGGTGCATGCATTATAATGCACCACCAACCATTGAGTCTCAGTTGGACAGCTGCAATCATCATTCTGAACGTCGGTGGTCTCCCAGGGCTTGGAATTGCCGGGAACATGGCAGAGTCTGTCTGGATCGCTGAAACAGATACGTACACGAGAGTGCTTTCCTTCGACAATTTCGTGAGGAGCGAGGCCAGGGTCAGGTAAAGGCTAAAAAAACGCAGCCATGGATGGCCATCGCGCATCTATTCGGGATGCCTTCCCAATGGAGAATAATCTTCCCTCTTTTAGGTAAGGAACACCTATAATGATAGGGCCTCGACACCTACAATTGGCCCCTAAAATTAGGCATCATCACCTGGGACTCCGCGGGCTTAGGGTGCATTATGGGCTTTACATCTCCTACTTCTTCCCTGGCAAATTTCACCGTCTCTCAACTCGTTAATCAGAGAGAATAGATTATTTCCATACAGTACTAGTGCTTATGAGGAGACATCTCTCATTCGTTTCATCGTTGAGCTTGTAGTGAAGCCCTAAATCTGTGTAAAGTCTGTGAGTACCAGGTACTTATTAATTACAGTGATTGTGATGCTATGGTTACCTCGACACTACAAGTAAAACCCTACCAACAATAGGTAGGATTAGGCGTGGATAGAAAATTAGGGGTGCCTGAGCCGTGCCAGAGCACGCGCTAACTATATCGGAATGGGTGCGTTTTAGCTTTTACCCCAGGGTCACTAACTAACTAATAGGCAATGCAATAACGCAGCAGCAGTCCGCAAGACGAGTTAGGAGTTGGAAACAACACTCAGGCAATCAAATATATTACTACAATTATTATCGAAAAGCATCCTCCCTCCGGTGACCATGGATGGCGCTGTAGTCGTTTTAAAAACCACTTCTGACTGTGACTGTTTTCGTGCAGCGTGCGAAGGCTGAGACACTAAGCACCGCGACTTCCAACAGATAGAGTGTTGAACTCCTGCCTTTCTTCGTCGGTTGCGGCGAGAAATCCTACCATCCAGTTCCAAAGATCGTCCTGCTTTTCTTCCTTGTAGCTGTCGACGCTGGACTTGATGGGCTTCCTAATCTCGTAGTACACACCACTGGTCCCCCTCTCAGCAGTTGCGACCCATGCTAGATTGGATCCTGACTCCTGAGGCCGATGGATGTTGTGGTGATAGACACGGCGCAGAATCGGAACTGCCCTCGGCAAGACGTAGGACCATGCGAAGCGAAGAAGTGGCCCCGCTTCTCTGGCCAGGCCTGTTCCGGGCATGAGCCCAGGATCGAAAGCCACGACGGTCCACTTCTTGTTGAGAGCCAGTATGCGTCGATGCAAGGCATATGTCCACAGGATGTTACACAACTTGGCTGTCGCATAGCGTTGTCGACCTTCATACTTGAGAGAGGCACCAGCGGGATGGGCAAGCCTTTCAGCAGTGTCATATCTCGCGTCAGGAAGACCACTTCGTTGTTCTGGGTCATGGGTGCCACTCGAAGTCACCACAATGCGGGCGTCGGCTGAAAGGTGAGGTTGTAGCAGATGGAACAACAATGCGTGGCCCACGACGGTGATCCCAAAGGTAGCCTCGACGCCATCCGCGGTATACTTGACGTCGTCTGGAAATTGGAGGGCTGCGTTCAATAGCAGGTGGGCGACAGGAGGGTATCTCTTCTCCTCCCAACTCTTGACGAAGGCGCGGATGTTCTTGAGATCGGCGAGATCAAGAGGCATGAATCGTACATTGTCCTGACCGAGTTTGGTATTTATGGCATCGGCACTCTTGTCGGCGTCCTTCCGTGCGGCGATCACAACCTGATAATTGGGATAGCGCCTGGCAATCTCTGTGGCTGCGTGGAAGCCGAGACCTGTTGTCCCACCAGTGATGAGAACCGATTTTGAGAATGGCGACATGTTGCTGTGCGATGTTCGAGGACTTGGAAAAGAAGATGATGATAGTATTCCATTGCCGGGCTGCGAACAAGAGCTTTATATCCCTGTTGGCAGCCCTCACTCACCCTGACGGGCAAGGGCTAAGTCCGCCGTCCCACGGTCTTCCTGGTGTGTTGGGTCAATGTACATGAGCAACATGCTCTCGATACTAAGTCGAAGATAAGATGCGACAGTGGCACCTCGATGAACGGCGCACTGCGATTGGGAACGGCACTTTACAGTCTAACCGCATCAAGGCAAGCGGGGGTCGTGGATTTAGTTACTCCTTAATGCCGGCTGCACCGATAGACAATTCAAGGCGTCGCTCAGGCACACACGAGGCTTTTTCCATTCCCCTGCCCTTTCATTGTCTCAACAAACTGATGGTCTATCGCCGTATTCACGCATGCCTTACAACCAGGAACGTCAAGACCACCGGTGACGATGATGGCTCGCAAGCAACCTGCCCGCGGCTCTCCGCCGGCCGAGCTGCTGTATCATTCTCGGCGGTATCGCGTCGTCATCTGTACAGTTTGCAATTATGCGGTGCCCCGACCGGGAATTGCATGGCACTTGAAGGAAATGCATTCCATGAGCCCGTCCGACCGCAAGCCATACCTTGACTTCGTGGCCGGGCTTGACATTTGCCCTCCCAACCAAGTTGTACCTCCGACCGTGGAGGAATTTCCAGTTCCACAACTGCCAGTATTGGACGGGCTTCAATGCACCAGCTCGGGCTGCAACTACCTCTGCACAAGCGAGAAACGTCTGAAGAACCATTTCACGAATACACACAAGTCTGAACAACAAGCCTTCCGTCGGGTCCCTGTACAGACGTTCTTTCGCGGGAACAAGCTCTCATACTTCACGGGATCGAGCACATCTTCTTTACTCAAAACCAGAGCTTCGCATTCGATCCTACCACTGCGGTCGGTGCAATCACACACCCTGTTTAGGCCAGTACCGACATCCACCAGCTGCCAATCACGGAGTCCAGTTCAAGATCCCCTCACACTTCTCCGACACTACCAGAGGTCTACTTTCAAGACGATAGCGGATGGAACTCCCGTTGATGAGAAGCTGTGGAGGGACGTCATCTTCCAGATTGCTCACGAACATGAATTCCTGCTTCATGGTCTCCTGGCATTCACCTGTCTCCATCTGGCATACCTGAACCCAGGTACGCGAAATGAGTACTTAATCAAGGCCGGTGAGTATCAGAGCAAAGCTATGCCGCAGTTTCGAGAAGCCATAGCGAGACCTACAGACGGTAACTGCCACGCAATCCTCGCCTTCTCAAGTCTTCTCATCCCTTACAGCTTTGCCTCGGAGCAACAGGACGAGTTGTTTCTTGCCTCTGATAATGATACTGATGCCGTCCCGACCTGGCTGTACTTTATTCGCAACGGCTGCATCACGCTTTGCGACCAATGGGACAAGGTAGAATCCGGGCCTTGTGGGACTCTGGCCAAAGCCTGGGATAAACCTTTTGAGACACGAACTCCCGAACAAGCGGTGTATCTGGAGGACATGCATGCAATCATGGATGCTTCTGTTGGTGAACATGCATGGCCACATGAGGTCCGTGAGGCATACCGAGAAGCGGCAGCGGAGCTAGCCATGGCCTTCGCATGCTCACAGTCCGACCCCGAGAATTACACGACGTGGGATGCACTGAGGGTATGGCCAATGCGCATATCGATGACATTCACCAGGCTGCTTCGTGACTCGCATCCAGCTGCGCTGATCTTGCTTGCACATTATGCGATACTTCTGAAGCCCATTGAGTCCAAATGGTATTTCAAGGGTCGCGCCACCAAGCTCTTGGAGACAATATCTAGGAAAGTGGACCCTCATTGGCACTTCGCTCTGCCTGGTCTGTGATGGCAACAAGCACAGGTGGCAACTATCCAGGCGCGCCTAGGAACCAAGAATCCGTGTCAACGTTGGGACCCAGAAGGAACTCCTCTAGGAAGCTGTCTCCCACCCCCGAAGAAGAGAAGAGTGTCAGGCCTGGAAAGTCCCACTCGAACACAAATTGTTCTGGAACGAATGAGTCGATCTCCTGTTGTGTATTATAGCTGCTTCCGCTCCAGAAGAAATTGAAGGGCGACGCACTGTCAGTCGTGGCCATTGATGATTGTTCTATGGGAAGAGTTTGCGCGTTCATTGGATCTTCCTGGACTGCTCGGGCGAACTTCTGGACACTCGTCTGGAGTACTTGCAGGTACATTCTGCTGGTTTGGCTTCTCCCACCACCGCTGGATGACCCGCCTCCAGCTTTGTTGAGCTGACTCAGCAGGGCGTAGCCATCGTTCAGGAGCTGAAGGTTGAAAGCAGCGTCGTCTTCTGGTAATAACCGCGCCAGTTTCAGCAGCAACAAGAAACAATATGCTGCCTTGGCCCATACAAAGTCCATCGCATAGCGAAAATGAGCTAGATAATTCTGCGGTTGATCGAGGATAACACGCAAATGTTTCTTGAGTGAAACCTTCGCGGTAGACAACAGATGTCTTTGACTGTCCGACATTTCGCTAATGTTTTCGATACCCAAGACCCGGATCGCTCGACATAGCACCACGACCTTCGCCCAATACTGCTGAATTTCCAAGTTGAGGAGAAGGACAGGAGTCTCTTTGACCGGCACGCGCTTCATGATGCTCTGCCAGTCATCAAACCATATATCGATGTCGATCTGGGCATCTCGAACTGTTGACATTACCTCGTCCGTGTCACCTTTGCTACACATCGACAAAGATTCATGGTACTTGGCACGGAGTGCATTCAATTCCACCTGGGAAAGGAGCCGGAGATCCAGAACGGTCGAAAAAGGCTGATTCAAGAGTATGCGACATCGTCGTGCTTTGCCTCGGAGCTGAAATGCCCGAATATTTCCCGCGTCGACGCGAAGAATCTGTTCTAGCACCATCAATTGGAACCAGGCTCTAGCTCGTCGCATGAGCGCTGCATCATCCAGGGTCGAATCATCCGAGATATCTGCCGTGTCTGTATTTACCAGTCTCCTGGTCAGCTCTTCGTATGCATCTGGCAAGCCTATGTCGACCGCCATCCTGGTCGCGAAGGCCAGGATTAACGAACGCTCTGCGGAATAGCAGGCTATTATCAAGAGGGCCTGGACTGTCTCCAAGCAGGCATGCTCTTGATTGATGATGACAAGGTTCACCATCTTCTTGAGTTGGAAATGGAGCACAGTGGACAATGACGGGTTTGTGTCATCCACCACGGAAGAGCCGACTGTTATTATAGCATCGAGCAGAAAGGAACTCCTAGCAGTAATTGACTGGAACGAGTCATGAAGAGGATCAAAGATAGTTACAAAGCGGTCGCAGCCTTGGAAGAAGGCTTCGAAGAAGAGTTCGGCTTGTTCTGTGCTGACAAGACCTTTGGCAACGAAGTTCGGGACGCAGCCGTCCTCGACCTCGAATTGACTTCGTGTGCGCTTGCGTGATAGAGAAGGTAGATTTTGTTGCAGAGTCGGACTCTGACCCGAAGCAGTTGTTCTGAAGTCAAGGGAGTTCGAAGGGGAACCATCACTGACGGGTGCAGCGGACGGCCTGGGGAGCGTGTGAGACTCGTTCTGCTGATTGTCGAACCTTTGTTTCAACAGCAGAACCTCGTGCTGAAGACTTTCGATCTTTCTTGATTCATCGTTAGCCCATCCAAGAACGCCTCAGTCACGAAATACAAGTAGTGCGAGGGCACGGTCTCACAGTTCATTGGGATCTCGAGGCCGCGTGGCAAAGACGCAGACCTTTTTCAATTGTTGACAGCTTCCAAACATCAGTCTTAGGGTGCCTTTGAGGAGGACGAGAGACTCTCACCGAGAGCAAGGATGCTGCCCACTGCATCGCACCTTTGAACTGCGACAGGAGCCACAGGCTTTCTATGAAAAATGTCAAACTAGATAATCCCATCGACAAAACTTGGGGTACTGAGCTTGCTCGCCACTTGTGGACCTACCGGGATTCTTTTCTTCCCTGTTTTGACGACATTGTTCGTTGAAGTCTCATCTGCCATCATCAGAGGCGATCCTGGCCGTCATAGTGAGGATGGTTGTTGATGCGAAGAAGCACGCCACAGATTTCAAAGCTTGGGATGAGAAAGTACGACACAAGGTATGGGGTGCTCGGGGTTTTGGCGCCGAGGGGCATCCGGGGAGCCCAGCCTAGTGAGCCCGCCTAGTAAACCCACTGGGGTTGTGGCCTGGGGATTTCTCCGGGGGCGTTCTAACTTAAGTTAACTAGTTAGTTAGGCATCTTAGGGTCTGCAACAGGGACAACACCACCTGTGTACGTACTTCGTCAGCTGCGGCCCTGACTAGATTCATTTATGGCTGCGCTGTGGCACTGACTTATCCCAGGTAAGTTACAGGTAAGTGTGTGTCCTCGTCGCGGTTTTAAACTGTAATTGATTCTTTGTGGCTCGGGTAGGTATACAAGGATTCAACTCATGTCACTTTTAACCCCCGCGTACGGCTACCGCGACGCATCCAGGCCTATCTCAGTACACGAAAATAAAGTCTTCGTTCTCCCAGTCGGTCTTGTCATCAAAGGCATGTTGCCCGTATCCCTCATCCTCGGCATCTTCACCCGAAGGCGCAGTTTCAGCCTTGATTCTCTTCATTGACTTGTCCACTATCCTTGCTTTCTTCCCTAGGCTTTCGCGTTTTTGGGCATGCTTCTTGTTCAGCATCATGAGGTACACGACCTGCACTGCGTACAAGCCGATCAAAACGACAAACAGGGCGAGACTACTCCATATCAGCAAAGCGTTTCCAGGGTGGGCAGGGAGAGGCGAGTCACGCACTTGGACAAAAGTCCTCGATGATAAAGAGGTGCTTCCCCGGTCGTATACAAATTTGGTCCTAGCACGTTTCCAGCACACTGGAAGACAAAGAGCAAGCCGGTAACTGTCTTCTTTTTCGTTTCTCCTGCGGTATTTCCGGCGCTCCAGGAGTATATAAGAGGTGCTGACTGCATTAGCTGAGAGCTCAGAACAAAGCCTGCTCCTCTGGTACTTACTAATGCCAGGATATACTGATATCTGCTCCTGTTAGCAAATCCCCAGGTCATCTACGCAAAGAACCCGACTCACCAGATAATATGCTACGAGGAGCGGTCCTTTTTCTGACGGACCTCGCGGCAAATGAAGCAACATGACGCATCCAGCAATAGGCGGCAGACTGAGGAAGGCTAAGACTGGAGACTTCCACTTGATCTTGGTTGCAACCCAGGCACCACCCATAGTAGCGATTAACTGAACTGCTCCGAATGGCATGTTGAGAAGGATGGTTTGGAACCTATTGAAGCCGAAGTTCTTGATGATCAGGGGGCCAAAGGTCGACACTCCGCCACTTGGAACGCTGGCCAATTTGAGCAATCATCCGAAGGTGACAGGTCTCGCGTACTTACGAGATTGAGAACATCATTGCTGCCCACAGCCAGGTCTTGAGGTCCATAGCGGCCTCTTTGACATGAGACCACTTCCATTCATTGCCCTCGACACCCTGGTTGTTCGCCCGCAATCTACACCAGTTAGCGGCATGAACACTGATCAAGTCCTCTCCCTACCTTTCAATCGCTACCAACCTATCCTCCCCGTGCAAGAACCGGGCCGAAACAGGCGAATCCGGAAGGAAGAACCAAACAACGGCCGAGTATGCTATCGTGATCAGCCCGAAGAACAAGAAAATGATCTGTGCGCTCGTTTAGCTACCGTCGTCCACAGGAAGAGGTTACGTACCTGGTACGGCTTGAGATGAGGCGAGTCAATATGACCGATGCCATAGGTCAAGAGCGATCCAAAGATGTTTGTGATGCCGTTCATGGCGTACCACGCACCCAACCTGACCGGTTGCTCACGTCGACGCCACCACATTTGGGTCAAAGCAATAAACGCAGGCGCTGCAATGAAATTAGCGAATACCCCGGAGGACTGTGGACGTACATAACTCACCGACACCAGCCTCGAATATCCCCAGAAACAGACGACATACTAACAACCCGCCAAAGTTGTGTGCTGCCGGCATGGCGGATAGTGCGATACCCCAGAGCAAAACGATGATAGCCAGAAACTTTCCCAACGGCAGCTTGACAAGCATATATGCGATAATGGGCTGTGCCACCAGTTGAGCGAGATAAACCACCGAGCCCAGCCACGAATACTGATGACCATGGAGGTGCGCGTCCTCCACCAGTCCAAAGACTGAGCCGTACGCGAGCGTAGCCTTGTCTAGCGCTTGAAGAAAGTATATTCCCAGGACGACTGGTAGGACAAACAGATCGATCCGCCTCAGAACTCGCGAATTGTTCTCGGGGGTCAGGGCGATACGCTGCCCCGAATCACCCAAGACCATGTTCGCCTTGTCCTGGCGACTGTTGACGGCTGCCGATTCGCTCTTTGATTCGACATGATCTGTAGGTGCTTTGACGGTCTGATCTTCCATGATGGAATTTTTATTTTAACCTCACGATGCTTCTGCCAGTTGTAGGAACTGAGCTTTTAATCGAGTGGTGACAGTTGAGCGGGATACGCTCCACGATAAATAAATACTTGGAATTGTAGGTCACAAGCGACCTGCCCAGCATCGGAACCCATGGCCGGGAACGGCATCGGCTTGTCGTCTCCCTTGATGGATGATCTCCTGAGGAGTTGCGGGTGATGGTTCCATGGGGAAGAGACTCTGGGGTCGTGCGGTGGTGGAGTGGAGGCCTTCATCGGCTTTCGGTTGACAACTGCGAGAGCTACGCGGCGTTTGAAGTCACTCATTGGCTTTGAGCGTCCAGGATCGCACTTGGAAGCCGAAATCCGACCACCATCGATACTCCATACTGCAAACGGACCGATACTCCTCGCTCTTTCATGCCGACGGTTGGTGACCATCGAGGCAACTGGGATCGGTAAGTCATGTTTGGGTACCACTCGGAGTCTGACTCTGATTCATCTGGACAGAAATATCCCGGCCATTCCTTTCACTTGGGCGTGTTTGCATGTCAGTATTTCATTTGCTCAAATCTCTTGAGAGCCTCTATCTAATCCAATATCTGGAGAGACTAAGTTTCAGCTTGGTATATCCCCTTGGAACATTTAAACACCAGTTGGCAGGTCCTTCTGACGAGCGTGCAAGGCTCATCCATCACCAGCTTGAACCTCTCATTTTGTCATAGTTGCTCCCCCAACCTTGGACACAATGCCACAGCTGGAAACTATTCCCAATGCCTACCGGGTAGTGACCCCAGACAAAGTGAAGAATCCAACGTCACTTCATCTTCAATCAGACAATGATGGTATGGCCATAGACTTTACTTTCGAGGCTGTCCGCCCAGATATCTTCCGCACCACGTTTACGTCGTCGACACATCCCCTTCCGCCATATCCAAGCATCACATTACCAGAAATCAAACTCGCTGATGCCAAAGTTACTGCCGTTCCCATATCAAGCCATTCTGCAGGATTTGTGATCAACAACATTCAAGCTACCTTGACATGGACACACGCCCCTGTCGTCTCGGTCCGATGGGTAGACTCCCAAACGCCGCTCCATGAGGATCTGGCCTTCCGGTCCTATGCATTCGATGGTCCTGGTATCGCCCACTATACTGCACACGATCGCACGGCCATGCATGTTGGATTGGGCGAAAAGTCCAGCCCAATGGATCTTACAGCTCGATACTTTCAAATCTCCGCAACAGACAGCTTTGGTTACGATGCATACCACACGGATCCACTATACAAACACATGCCACTTCTCATCAAAGCAACTTCCCACGGATGTGTCGCGCTAGTATCGACCTCTCACTCACGAGGCTCCTGGAGTGTAGGGTCCGAAATCGACGGTTTGTGGGGCCACTTCAAGGTCTATCGGCAAGACTATGGCGGCCTCGAACAATACATTCTGGTTGGCAGGACGCTCAAGGACGTCGTGCGGTCCTATGCCGAATTAATCGGGTACCCACTGCTTGCACCACGGTGGGCGTATGGCTATCTCTCCGGTGGATACAAATACACCATGGGTGATGAACCTCCGGCACACGAGCAACTGCTGGACTTTGCAAAGAAACTGGAAGAGCACGATATCCCTTGTTCCGCACATCAGATGAGCAGCGGATACTCCATCGCCGAGACAGAACCTAAAGTACGTAACGTATTCACATGGAACCGACATCGTTTTCCTGATCCGGAAGCCTGGATCAAAAAGTATCACGGTTTGGGGATCAGGCTACTGACCAACATTAAACCGTTCATCTTGACAAGCCATCCCGACTATGGATTGCTCTCTGAGAACAAAGGTCTGTTCACAGATCACAGAACGAAATCAACAGCTGAAATGCGCCTGTGGAGTGCAGGAGGTGGTGAAAGCGGGCTCGGCAGCCATGTCGACTTTACGTCTTCGGTGGCGTACGAGTGGTGGGCCCGTGGCGTACAGAAACTGAAAGAGCAAGGTATAGACGCCATGTGGAACGATAACAACGAATATACTCTACCTCACGACGATTGGCAACTGGCCCTCGAGAAGAACATTCTTCCGTCGTCAACGGCTGGAGTGGATAACAAAGTCGGTCTGTACGGGCGCGCTTTGCACACTGAACTCATGGCGAAAGCATCTTACGAAGGACTGTTACGTGCTGAGCCGGCCATTCGCCCTTTCGTTCTGACTCGAAGTGCCAGCATAGGCACTCTGAGATACGCTGCTAGTTCATGGAGTGGCGACAACATGACGAGCTGGGAGAGCATGCGCGCCGCAAACGCAATATCTCTGAATGCCGGGGTGAGTCTGATGCACTGCTACGGGCACGACATCGGGGGATTTGAAGGTCCGCAGCCTTCACCCGAGCTTCTCCTTCGCTGGGTTCAACTTGGATGTCACCAGATTCGCTTTGCAATCAATTGTTTCAAAACTTCGCCCCAGGACAATCAGGCAGGTGAGGTCATCGAACCCTGGATGTATCCCGAAATCACACCTCAAATTCGCCAGGCAATCAAGAGACGATATGAGATCATGCCGTACATCTACTCGCTCGGACTGGAGAGCCACTTGACTGCCAGCCCCCCGCAGAGATGGATCGGCTGGGGATACGAGGCAGACCCGGAAGTCTGGACCAAAAAGCTCAAAGCCGGGGAAGAACAGTATTGGTTCGGTGACACGTTACTGGTCGGTGGTGTATATGAGCCAGGAGTTGACAAGGCAAGAGTATACCTGCCCCGTAAAGCGAGCGACTTCGACCACGGGTTTGTCAATCTTAACGCCCCTTACGAGTACTTTGCTTCGGGTCAGTGGGTGAACATATCTTCACCGTGGAAGGAAAGTATACCTCTCCTTGCAAAGGTCGGAGGTGCGATCCCGGTTGGCAAAAGTGTACAGACCCGTATTCCTGGCGACAAGAGTCCAGAGTCGAAGGCACTACCTGAGGACGACTATCGCGGCATTGAGATTTTTCCGCCCAAGAAGAATTCACACGGAAGAGTCTTCTCGACGACGTGGTACGAAGATGACGGTCTATCGTTGAAACCGAACATCTCGGCGTTCACGATAGCATACAGCTCGACGGAGGAGAAGGTAGTTGTGGATGTTTTCGCAGGTGCTGACAACGTCTTTATTGCGCCTTGGAGAGACGTCGTGGTTATATTGCCTCGTGGAGATCAGAGGTATGTCGAATCCGCCAATGGGACTGCGACGAGTCGCCTTCCTGAGCAGGAGTGTGGAAGAATTCGATACAGGGTAACAGTAAGGGGGGTGGCAGATGGAAGCATGTCCAACGGATACCACTGAAACCACTGAATAGGGATAGACTCGTCCCCGTTTCATTAGACTTGGACTTGGAGAGGATCCCAGTTAATTAGGTACCATGTAGTCCGTACTCCATAAGAAGTCGATGAAAAAAGTACCCAGCTTGAACTTCTTCGCCGCCGTCTTGAGTATTGAGTACTTAATGACATCATCTGCTCTCAGCCTCGTTGCCTCAGCCTCGTCGACGCCGACTTCGACTCGTCACTCTCACTCATATCTACTCACACATACAACCCACCAAGATATCGATACCTACTGCCTGTCGCTCGCTCGGGCATCTATACCCTCGCCCACGCCTATCGCTCTCCATCGTTTTCGACTCTCACAATGTCCCTCGAAGCGTGCTGCACCTGTGCAACACTCCTCGCCGACGCCAAAGTTCCCTACGACCGCGACTCGGAGAAACCGCTATTGTACAATCGCCGCCTCTCGTGCTGCTCCCGCGAAATCTGCGCGCTGTGCCAGACCAAGAACCCTCGATTCCAAAACTACTGTCCGTTCTGCCAGATCTCGTCTGGGCCGTCGGCCCTACCGAAAGAGGGACTCCGGCTCCCGCCCTCGTACTCGAGGAAACCGACATCGACGAACGCACCCACACCTCGCGTATCAAGAGACTCGCCACCACCACCACCATCGCCGCCGCCGCCATCATACGACGAAGCCACGCTCCCCTCACACTCGCACCTCCGACAAGGCCGTGAAGCCTCCTCCTCCTCCTCCACCGCAACGACAACCACGAGTGCGAGTACGAGCACGACCAAGTCGCCACCCACCGGGGACGACGACACAGACGACACGATCCACCACGTCGGGGTCGACGACACTCTCCAGTCCCTCTCCCTGGCGTACAACGTCCCCGTGGCCGTCCTCCGGCGGCACAACAACCTGTACTCGGACCCGCTGCTCGCGGCGCGGAAATGGGTGCTGATCCCGCGCAGCCACTACGCCGGGCCGCCGCTCTCGACCCCGCCGGACGCCGAGGAGGAGGCCCGCAAGACGAAGCTGCGCAGGTGGATGGTCGCGACGAAGTGCGCCGACTACGCCGTCGCCACCCTCTACCTCAAGGGCGCCGACCACGATCTCGACCTGGCCGTGCAGGCGTTCCGCGCCGACGAGGAGTGGGAGAGGAATCACCCTCTGGAACCGCGAAGCCCTGGAGGACGGGGTAACGGCGCCAGTGACAAGGGGAAGAACAAAGTCAGCAAAAACAGCAACAACAACAACAACAACAATAACAACAACAACACTTCGTCACGAGGGACGAGGCGAGTTACGAGTACCTTGTCAGGGCAGTTGTCGTGATCTCCTCTCTCTCTCTCGTTCTCTACACGACACGACATGACACGACACGACACAGAACAGAAAGACAGAATGTCGCCACACTTAGGTCACAACTCGGCTGACAAAAGTGGGGGTGTGAATTGTTTTTATGTGTACACGTGCCACCAATGCTGATTACGATGACGATCATGATGAGATGATGCCGACGACGGTGAAACGAACGACGACGACGACGACGGTGACGGGATGACTCCCGTTCCGGGACCAGGCATGTCTACTGAGACGGAGTGGTATCAGTGAGAGCCACTTGATGAGCGTGGCTGCGGAATCTAAATGCTATACAGGTCTTTCAACGCTGTACAATAGGATGACCATGAGATGAAATCTCAATGTAGGAAGAAGGAATGCGAGACGGGCCGAGTCTTTAATCTAGATACAGACGATGTAGACAATTTTAGACTTGTTTTTGGCGCATCCCCAAGTACAGCCTGCTAAATTTGCAAAAGACCCGAAACTCGTTGAGAACTGGGAACAGGGTCCCTTTCTCCCACGTCCGCTTTCTCATGTCTATCAATATCATACACGAGGGCAAATCTTGCGCAGTCCTACACGGCCACCGTGCATGTCTAGATCTCTCCAGCAAGACCTGTGCTTTCAATTTGGCGGCTCTCTCATGACTGACTGCCAAAAATCGCAGCGCTTGGTGCGAATATTTCCCCGGTATCCAAGAAGCGTGGTGACGATCAAGTCATCCTGTTCCTGAGTTCGCCGTCTTCTGCCCCTGCATCACGAACCTGGATGGAACTTGACGAGCTTGATCCTTCAGGCCTGTCCACCTTCGCTTCTGTTTGTGCACCCAGGCCTGTCTCGGCCACAGCTTCACTAGTCTGGGCACTTTCAGTAGTTTCTTCTGCCCGATGCCCTGCTGCTGCTGATGCCTCCTCCTCCGTCCGTCTTCGCTCCTCTTCATCGCGCTGCGCCTGTCGCCTCGCTTCCTCTCTAGCCATGATATGTCGTTCTCCGACGCCGGGTATTAGACTCGCCAGGAAAAGTGCTATACTTTGTTCGACTCGGTGGAGGCTCTCCCGCCAGAATCCACGATTGCGCTCTGCCCTCTCACGCAGCAGTCGAGCGGCAGCTTCTTCCGGGGTCATCTGCACGGCTCCACGGATATTTGCTGGCCGTGAAGGGCCCTGGTTTGTAGGGTCTGCGGGACGTGCCTGCCTCGGTGCTGCAGCATCGGGTTGAGGTTGTGGAGCCTGGGGACCTATCAAGTTATCCAGGTGTTGACGTGCAGCTCGCATTGCACGAACAAAAGGTCCATTTCGCGGCTGGAGGCAGACAACAACGGCGATGAGCATCATGGCCCATCTTTTCCACGTTCCTGGCTCGGAAAACACGAACATGAAAAGATAGAGTCGCAGGAGCAACCAGCCACGTTGAATCAGAAAGGCAAAGAGGTCGTTATCCTCTGCATTCCGCACAGCTTGCGCAACCTGGGGTTGAGGAGCTCCTCCTTGAGCCGGTCCTTGAGCCGGTCCTTGAGCCGGTCTGATGATGGCGCCGTCGATGTCAGCATTAGCAGCACCCATCTCTCCAAGAGGCTGTTGCTGCATCACGCCCTCGGTTTGAGCAGTGCTTTCAGACTGTGTCGCTTGGGCATTCACGGCTGGCATTTCAGATGGGTCCCGATACGAACTGAAAAAGCCAAAGCCAGGGGCAAACAAGAACCCTCGGGGACCTGTCGACGTCATCAACAGCCAGGCTGTTCCATTTGGAGGCAGATTCCGACGTATGGAGCTTCTAGTCTGATTGAACGGCTGTGGAAGGTGGCCAATAAGGTTAGGTAGGTGAATCGAACCTGCTTGAAGCTGAGTTGCATTCGCTTCGGGAGGATTGGACGGTGCCGCCTGCTGTATTGTTGGAGGTTGTGTTGATCTCGCTGGACCAGATACTCCGGGTGGATCTCGAGACGCTTGCGTTGTCGTGGGGTTCCTTACCTCTGTGCGTTGTTGACCATTTGGCATCACAACTCTGCGAAAGGCTGGAAGAGTTTGCTGGGGTATGTTGTTGACATTCGCAGTGGTATTTGCGGTGACTGTCCATGCGTCGGGTCCGGTCTGATGCCCTCTAAATGCAGGCTGTCGGAACTGAGCAATCTGTGCCGGGATCGCACCTGGAAGAGGTGGAAGGATGCCTCCTGGGTTTATTACCGGTACATGGACAGGTCCATCAACATGTACGGCCATGGTATGGTGTTGCGTGGCAACGCTCGGCTGCACATTATGCAGGTCTGCTCTATTTGTCTCGAAATGTTGCTGAATGGCAGCCAAGTGTGCTTGTACCCTCTCTAGAGCGAGTTGACCACCGACCGGCATGGGACCCGTTCGCTGGGCGGTGCGCTGATTCAACGGTTCGGCTGGGTTGGACACAGCGACGGTGGGGACCGCATCTGTCTGAGGTTGGATGACAATATGTAGCGTGTGCGGGAGAGGGCCAGGAGTACTTCCAGCCTATGAATTCACCATTAGCATCAAGAACACCTGTAGAAAACCTCGTACTGACTTGAATTCTAAATATCTCACGCAAGGTAGCATCGCCGCGCAGGAGTGGCCTCCCTTGGTAGATGAGGCGTTGACGTTCAGGAGAGGGGTGTTCTGGTAGTTCGGATTGTATTTGCTCCCTCAGCGCTGATACGGTTGTGCTCACAGGTAAGACTCCCAGCGAATGCGGTGGTCGCGGATTGCCGGTGACCAAGTACACGACACGGAGATTCACATGATCGGGGGGTACAGTGACGGTTGGCGGTTCATCCGAGATGGGAGGAGAAGGTTGCTGGCTTGGTGGAGGAGGAGACTCTTCGCTCGCTGGAAGAGACGTTTCGATATGAGGGGAGTCTTCCTCTTCTGTCACGGTCGGCAGGCGAGGCTGTAGGGTGGACGGAAGGAGAATTGGTTGTTGGGAGGATTGCGGAGGAGACTGCTCATACAGAGAAGCAGGTGGGTGCTCGCTCACAGGAGAGCCGGAGTCGCTAGAATCATCCATGGTGAGGATGATGCGAGTTACCCTTGGGAAGGCTCATGGTAGACTCAGCCAAGGCAAAGAGGACCTGGGTAGGTACCTGTAGGTGGGATGTTGTCGCCAGCGTGGTGAGATCTGCTGGGTTGCAGATGGTGCTGGTGTTTGTCTCTCCGCAAAAGGCTGCGTGTTTAGGCTCCCGCTAAAGATTCCCGTTGAAGATGCGCCTATAATATAACAGTTATAGGCACAAAGCTACCGCCAATCATCGCCTAAGGACAAGTGCCTAAGTTGATTAAGGTAACGGCCTAGAGACTCTAGTGAAAGTGACTTCACAGCGTCGTCATTGTGCAGCTTTTTCTAAAACACCAACCACCACCTCTGCTGGTGCACACACCGAGTGCTCAATCACCACCTTTCATCGCAACACAACACGGGGCGACTTCTCGCTGCACCAGATCATCCTCCTCAACTCGCTTCCATCAGTCTGTCCATGGCGTCCTGACCAACAACGCCATGGCCACCGTTACCGCCAGCAATGTGGGCAGAGCCTGCCTCTACCGCCGGTCGCCCTCGGTCATCTCCTCAACTCTCGTGCGGCCCTTATCTGAGCCGCTGCCCTCGAGTCGTCCGTCTCCGTATCGTGTGCAATTGCGCGTTCAGCCACGACGTAGCTTCGGCCACACACCCCGTCGGTGCAGGGAAAACAGACAAAAGAGCGACGAGGAGTCCTTCTCCTCGCGGCTAGGCAAGGCATGGCGCTCAACCCGGACCGAGTGGAAGCCCATTCCTATAGGGCTAGGCATAGGCTTCCTCGGCCTCTTCCAACTCATACGCATCCGCAACCGTGAAGGCGGTGCGTCAGAGGGATCTGGCGAGACCGACGGCAAACGTCCCCCGAAGCGACAAAGGATCTACCCGACGGGGGGTGGCTGGCAAGTCTCCATCATGTCTACACTACCACTGAAGGCCATATCCCGAGTCTGGGGCCGCTTCAACGAGCTCACGATCCCCTACTACCTGCGCGTGCCGGGGTTCAAGCTCTACGGCAGGATTTTTGGGGTCAACTTCGACGAGATCGCCGAGCCCGATCTGCACGCCTACCCGAACCTGGCCTCCTTCTTCTACCGGGAACTCAAGCCAGGGGTGCGGCCCTTGGACCCAAACCCCAATGCCGTCCTCTCGCCAGCAGACGCCAAGGTGCTCCAGTTCGGGACCATCGAGAACGGCGAGGTCGAACAAGTCAAAGGGATGACGTACAGTGTCGACGCGCTCCTAGGCCAGATCGCACCCACGACACCCAACCCTCAACATCCCTCGGCCATCTTTGCGAACCCCTCCACCAAGGACCAGTCGACCCCCGAGGACGACCCGGACCTCGAATCCAAATCCATCCGCGCAGACGAAGAGTTTGCGAACGTCAACGGTATATCCTACACTCTCCCGTCTCTCCTCTCCGGCTCCTCGCGCTCTTCGCCCGACGGCGACGGGGCCAAGACGCAAGACGCGTCCACCAAATCCCTCCCGTCCTCCGAGGCAGCCGTGTCCGCGGACCTGGCCACGACTTCACCATGGTGGTCGCCGTTCTCGTCGCCCTCGACGAACAAGAAGCTGTACTACGTTGTTGTCTATCTCGCGCCCGGCGACTACCACCGCTTCCACAGCCCCGTGTCCTGGGTCTGCTCGGCGCGACGCCACTTCGCCGGAGAGCTGTACTCGGTCAGTCCCTACGTCCAGCGTATGCTGCCGGGACTCTTCACGCTCAACGAGCGCGTCGTCCTCCTGGGCCGCTGGAAGCACGGCTTCTTCAGCTACACGCCCGTGGGCGCCACCAACGTCGGCTCCATCGTCATCAACTTCGACAAGGAACTGCGTACAAACAGTCTGACCACCGACACTGAATCCGACAGGCAGGCGGCCGCTGCCGCCGCCCGGGGCGAACCCTACAGCGGCTTCAGTGAGGCCACGTACGAGAAGGCGAGCAAGATTCTCGGCGGTCACGCATTACGCCGTGGCGAAGAGATGGGAGGGTTCAAGCTCGGGTCCAGCATTGTGCTCGTTTTCGAGGCCCCTGCTGGACACCGCAAGTCGAGTCTCAATGAAGGGGGAGCGGTGGGAGGCGACCTGAAAGGCGGCTTTAGATGGGCCATTGAGCGAGACCAGAAAGTAAAGGTCGGCCAGGCTCTAGGGTACGTCGTGGATGGAGACTAAAAGACCCATGTTATCCGATGCTTGTTAGGATAGTTCCATACCATGTACACTAGGTAGGTACTGATGGCAAAGCCCCTACTTGAATATATAGTGCACAACCATCGTATGCCCCTTTATGCATAGTGATTCCTCATGATCACCATTATCCATATCCTTAAAGAAGCGCCTTCCTCACGACATTGAGCAATTGCCACAAGTGTCAGATAGAGTAGCTATCGCATGCCATCCAAACAAGACCGGACGCCAAATGTTTTCTAACCCCGTTGATCGGGCTAGGGGAACCTGTACCAGTCATGTGAAAGCCCAAACCAAAACACCCACACAACCAACCATCACGCAGAACACAACAAACAGACCTGCTTTCTCGATAGCTTGAGCCCATCGAACGTCTCTCGAGTGTATACGAGACACAACACCACCGGTCAGTACAGCCATGGTCGAACTAGACAAGCTGCCCTCTTTACCCATGTCGTGGGCCAGAACAAAACCTCCCACCATATATGTAACCACCAGAGTCAGCAAAAGAAACCGACCAGCGTCTCGTTGAGCCTCAACGGCGTCCAAAGACACGATGGGCGCCATCTTCTTGATAGCCAATGTATGACTAAATTCTGCGCGTCCGTGGACAAAGCACCAAGCCTTCTCTAGCCACACGCCGCGCTCGATGAGTTGTATTCGCTCGAATGGAATCCTGTTGACGCCGTTTAGCCTTGTTATTGACAGTTGAGCAGGCGTCAATGGAAAGGTCGGACAGTGCTCCATATCTATTAAGACATCTCGAAATGGGCCATGGGCCTTGAGTTCAGCGGACGACTCCGAGCTCGAAGGGATGATATCGGTAAATCGAGACGAAAAGGTATAGTTGGCGAGTGAGGATGAAGCGTAAGTGTTCTTGGTTGCGTTAGACAAGTTCGTGGATCGCAAGGTGTCTTCGGCGTTGGGTGGAGAGCCAAGGAAGGCATGACAATTTCTTTTATCGCTATGCAACGGTTGAAGAGTACCAGAAGAACAATCCGCAAGGCTACTGCCCGCTTTTCTGATCTCCGGGCGCTTGAGACCGGAGTTCGCGTTATTGCCTTTTGGAAAGTGGCTGCTGCGAAGTCGCTGGCTGTCTCTGATGAAATGGGAAGCATCCACATCATTCACACAGTCAATATCTCGAACAAACGAGTCGTGCGGGGGAGCATTGCCATCGAAGCTGGAGTGAACGTGTTGTTCAAGTGTTTCTATCTTAACATGACCAATCGGCCGACCCGAGCCCTCACTTGCCTCGTTTGTATCGATAGCATCCGCAATCAGATCAATTAGTCCGCTGATAGTCGGTCGATCTCGTTCTGAGACGATCAACCGCGAGGATTTTCGGCTGGTCGACCTGTGATTTAAACCGGCAGTACAAGAAATGGTGTCTGAGACAATTCTATCCCCATGTGGCACCGGTCCACCATTGGTAGAAATATTCATGCCGCTAGAAAGTGGTATAGTTGACCAAGAGTGCCCTTTTGAATGTTTCGGCAACAAAGAGCTGGACGGGAGAGCCCGGTCGATGGCTTTCGAGTATAGAAGAGCTGATCGAGGGGGAGAAAAATTCGGCGCACTGGGAAGAGGAGTGAAGTCTTCCGATGAAGCTTGTACGGTTACTTGTGAACTTGCAAGACTGTCGTTGGGAGTAGGCGCCAGATTCAAGACCTGGAGCGGTTGAAGTCTCCTCATGCTGCTCTCTGCAGGCTCAGGACGGCTCTTTCTCCGAACTTTTCGTATACCGGTGTGTCCAGCAGATGCACCCCGATTAGCACCACCTGACTGGTCTGAAAATATATGAGACTGATCAGTTCGGAAAAGCCTTTTACGGTTCAAACCAGGGTGACCTCTCAGTTGTCGATGCTTGTTTGGCAAAGGATCCCATGGTGTCGCAGGGCTCTTTCTGCTTATTGTACTCGTCCGAGCAGCATCTCCAGTATCCTTTTTCGCCAGGCGGAATCGTATTCCAGAAGGGTTCAAAAACCCACTCCTACTACTTTCAGGCAACGTCTCCCACTCATAGTCGTCCACTTCCTGCGCCTCCAGTCGTGCAGAAAGATTCAAGACGGATCCTGGGTTTTCTCCGTCAGGAGGGCCAGATACAGGATCGTCCACCAACTCACCCATGGTTGTGCGGGTTATTTCAACAGTCTTTGCATTTCCTTGCTCGGCCTGAGCTGGTCTCGAAAGACCTAGGGTAGTCGGGTAAAACTCGTTCGTGCCTGAGCCACAACGCTTCAAAAACCCTGTGGCAGGATCGACATAATGGGAAATAATGTCATCAACAGTATAGGAGAGGCGACCATGAAGCTTACGGGTGGTATTATCTGCCACAGTTTCGAGTATGGCGCTTGATTCCAGGTGGTCCTGATCACCCACATGAAGAACACCGAGCGCGGATTTGACGCGGTGACATGTCAGGTCACGTAAAGGTATGTTAGCATCAGGAAACGGCCACACTTTTGTGAAATCATCATCGTCATCTGAGGAGGAGTTTGATCGACTGAATGGGAAGCGAGGTTCGAGTGCACTCGATGTGGTCTGGCTTTGACTTGCTACCCTGTGTCCTTGAATCTGAGCATGTGCGGAACGCAGGTCTGGGTACAAGGTGCGCATTGTTTGAGAATGGCAGCTCGACGAAATTTCTGAATCTTCACATATGTACTTTTCCAGTAAGCAAGAGTCGGAGTGGTGCCTCGACTCACTAGATGGCCGGCGGAAACATGCTGGAAACGAGGTATATTCGCTGGAATCGACGCTTGAGGTCACAGTAGGGCCTTGCTCGTTCTCAGAGGGAGAGATGTCGAGGTGAAGACCGAAGCTTCGTGATGCAGAGATCTTGGAAATATCAAGACGGTGATTGTCGAATATGTACGACTGTAACTTGTAAATCAGCTCTTGTCCACTCGGAAACTGACGATGCTCACCTCCAAATTTTGGACCTGTGGCAGTAGAGTCTCGTGGTCATTGACGATGATGGATGAGGTGTCGGCCGAACCGCGTTGGTGTGACGAATTGAGTGAATGGTCAGCAGCACGCGTTTCTGGGTAAACATCACTGGAGTGTGAGGATGTTCTTCCTCCACCGTCACCCATGCCCGAAGTTGACCTGCTTTCAGCAGTTGGGCCTCTTGGTGGACAGGAATCACCCTGAAATTTATCGATCTGAGGAGGATATTCTTCGATTTTTGTTTGGCAAAGCGAATGCCTAGGAGCTTCTGGACTGGAGCCGGACCGAGGGTGGCAACTCTCGTCACACATCCTTTCTGCCGAAACGACGGTCGATAGAAGCAGCTGGGGAGGAGTCAGTAGCGGAGTTCTGGACGTGACAGGAGGATCTCGGCAAAGGCCTAGTGTTTCCGGATATGACTGTACCCTCTCGGTCGGCTCGGGCGACAATGATAGCGACAATTGACCATCACATGCTTTCTGAAGACCTTCGCCGCCCAGCTGGCTCCATGGGGTGGTATGCGAGCGTTGGCGTTCAGGTCTCTTTGATATAGCCTCGGCCGCCTGCGAGTCGAGAGATTCGAGCGATTTGCCATTGTGGCGCTCCCAACCAGATTCTTGCAAGCCGACATCATGACGCCATCGTAATTCAGCGAGCTTCCAAGACATGATGGTAGGCCGAAGTTGATAGTCAGTGTGACATTGATCGCAATCTGCAGGGCTTGTTCCCCGGCGTCAACGGGCGGGATCTCCTGGGCAAATGGTGCTACATCGGCGGAGGCCAGGAAACACAGTCAGTAGAGAAATGATTGGGTTCCGGGAGCCTAGACTTGTGAGTCCAAAGAAGTCCAACGAAGTCCAACACTGACCATTGGTAGCTGAATATGGCTGTGTGATCAGAACAAGCGGGGGGGATGGATGTGCCAGCATAAAAAGCAGTCTTTCGTGACACGCTCCTTCCACGAGTCGGTACGGAAAGTCCGGCCACAGGTTGACATGTTCGATGTCAAAGCAACGACAAACCACTTTCAACTGCGATGTGTGGAGGTAAGAAGTGGCTGTGGATTCCTAGTTGGTAACAGCAAAGGAAGCATGACCTCCTCGTGGTGGAGGAATATACCAAGGCACACCCTCGATGCAGGCGAGGTAGAACCCAGGATACCATACCTGCCGCGAGCATAGCTTCGTTGGTGGAAGCTGCAATAGCAGTCTTTCGCAAAATGCCATCCATGGAAACCAAACCAGGAGATCGTTGTGAGTCCTTACGACATATAAGAAGCAATTCTGGCTCTGTTGTCACCCAACGTCAGAGAAACACTCGGCGGTTGTCGGAGGATACCCTCCCTGGATTGACAGTGAGAGTTCGCGACGATGAGTTGACCTCTGTTGAGAGCCCATGACGATTGAGAGACGAAAGCCCTGGAGCCAGATTGTCGCATAAAGAGATAAAAGGACTGGAAGAAAGATTGCGAGCTTCCAGAATTGAGGTTGATGCCGAAAGGGGCGTCTTCGGGGAAACTGATTTTCCGGCGACCGAAGTCCATGTGGGCTTCTAGAGGGGAGAGGAGATAGGATGATGCTTTGTATTCGCCCACTCCGAACTCCCAAGCTAGATGGCAATTTACGCCTGTCCTTTACGCCTTGAAAGTACTCGCCAAGCATGTTATGATGCCCATAGGAACGCGGGCTACGTGATAAGGTTGGCCCATATCCGCGCCCTCGGATTAATGCTAGCTATTTCATACGCCTTAGCCTTCGTGAGATCCTCCCCCTCCTTTCATATATGGCAAGGGTGCCAACGCTTCCAGGTCCCTAAGCAGACTTTAGGAATCCTCGAGCGGTGACCAGGATACGCACCATGGCCGGCAAGAAGCATGACACCGTAGTAGTAGTCGGCGCTGGTATCATCGGACTTGCATCCGCTCTTCTCCTGGCCGAGGAAGGTCTGAATGTTTCTATCGTTGCCAGAGACATCCCTGGAGATGGCGGTCTGGGTTGGGCTAGTCCTTACGCCGGTGCGACTTTGATCCCTCCTCCAGAACTGGGCAACAAGGAAATGGCAATGGAGTCTTTCAGGTGGTATCAACGGCTGGCCAAATCAGATCCCAGCAGCAGCGTTCGGGTGAGTTGTTGCAGAGCCTTTCGCGCAAATCAATCGCTGATCGAGGCACATATCAGACTGTCAAAGCTACCGAGTACTTCACTGACAGAGAAAACGACGACACAATATGGTACAAGGAGTTTGTTCCTGAATACAAGTTGCTTCCAAAGCATTCTCTGCCACCCGGTTGCAAAGTCGGATATTCTTTCGAGACTTGCCTGGCTAACCCGGAGGTTTTCCTTCCCTGGCTCAAAAAGAAGCTCGAAGGGTTGGGTGTCAAATTCATACGCTCCGAGGTGAAATCACTGCTCGAAGCCAAACAAATGACCGGGGCGTCGGTCATTGTCAATGCCTCTGGGCTGGGAGCGAAAGAGCTTGCTGGAGACTCCGCTGTTGCTGGATACCGGGGCCAGACGATGTTTGTCAAGAGCGATTACGACGAAGTCAGGTTGATCAATGGCGACGAGTATACGTATGTCATTCCGCGCAAGTTCTCTGGAGGTGTGATTCTCGGAGGCATCAGTCAAGAGAACAACTTTGACGGCGCGGTTGACACCAATCTACGCAAGGACATATTGCGGAGGGTCAACAGAATGACTGGCGGCGCTTTCGAACATGTCAACATTGACACAGACGTCAAGGATCTCGTCGGTGTCAGGCCTGGCCGAAAAGGTGGCCTAAGAGTTGAACTTGACGGTAGCATCGTGCATGCCTACGGCTTCAAAGGCGCAGGCTATGTCTTCTCCTTCGGTGCAGCCGCCAAGGTCAAGCGGCTCGTCCTGCAGGCACTTGAGACAGCGCGCCCGAAGCTCTAGCGACAATGGCGACATTGGAGTGATAAATTTCATCAGCATTCCCAGTTCCATATACGGAGGCATCGTGGACGTATCCCGCATGTTCGGCCACGCCACCTCTCGATAGGATATCTAAGGTTATCATTCAGTGCTAAACATAAGCCAGTGCACGCACGTTTCTGCTTTCTCTGGCTGAATTCAAGAGGCCTAACACGTATTCGCGTCCTTATTCTCGTGGGATTTTCTTTCCGCGAAAGGGACCCAGGCTTTCTGGAAAATCAGCATGTCGTTGTCCCGTGCGGTGGTCAACAAAACAGCCAACGTCGCTCTTCTCCGGCCTCACTGATAACGAGCGGCTCCGGTTGTTGGCAGCTCTCGGCGTGGGTTTCCTCTTCGCTGAAACGCGTCTTCGGCTCTACCCTCGCTGCATGATTCGGCGCAGGGCGCAGGGCGCAGAGACACTGGCAACCGGCAGCCTTATCGCACGGGTGGAGGGTTTTTGGGTTTTTATGGACCCGTCCAGATGGAGTGTACTCCGAATCCCTGATCAGCCAGCAGGACGAGTATCGATCGTTGCGAGCACGGAGGAGGCTGATCATGTATTTACATCTCAAACGTCGAATTTATTGTTTGTGGTCGTAGAGACTGGCGGTGAACATTCAAGTCTGCGAGAAAAGTCCCTCTGATCAACACGTCCAAGCCCAGAGACACGATGATTACTCAACCCTCCAAGGCCAATGTCTTGCTTGTCGGCAGCGGTGGTGTGGGCACCATGGGAGCCTATGCCTTGGAGACGGGAGGCAAGGCAGAGGTCACTGCTGTGTTGAGGTCGAACTACGCGGTCGTGAGCAAGGAAGGCTTCTCCATCGACTCGATTGAGCACGGCAATGGCATCGTGGGCTGGAAGCCAACCAAATGTAGGTTTCCACTCCGGTGCACAGTGCTCAGCAAAGCAGACGGACAGCAACCACGATGCTGACCTGTTCTCTCCAGTGGTCAACAAAGTGCCCAACGTGGCCGAGGAGGGATTGAAGCCGTTCGACTTCATCGTGGTCACGACAAAGAACATCGCCGATATCAAGCCGACCGTGGATGAGGTGATTGAGACCGCCGTGACGCCCGGCCACAGCGTGATCGTCCTCGTCCAAAACGGTCTGAACATCGAGAAGCCACTCGTGGCAAAGTACCCCGGCAACCCGTTGCTCTCGGGTGTTTCGTTGATCGGAGCAACCGAAACATCATGGGGCAAGATCCGCCACGACGACTCGGACTTTCTCAAGGTCGGACCCTACAAGTCGCCCGGCGTGAGCGACGAGGACGGCGTGGCCGCCGCCAAGAAGTTCGTCGACATCTACAACGCGTGCGGCAAGGTCGAGGCCGTTTACGACGATGACGTGCCCTTCACGCGATGGAGGAAGCTGATCTACAACTCCTCGTACAACTCGGTCGCGACCATTCTGCGAATGGACACGACGAGGATGAGAATCTCCGAACACGTCATCGACAACTTGATCCGGCCTGCCATGCTTGAGATCAAGACAACCGCCAAAGCGGCTGGCGTCGAGCTGCCGGACGACATTGCCGAGTTTATGATCAGAGCCGATCCCAAAGACATCTATTTCAAACCCAGCATGTGTCAAGACATCGAAAAGGTATGATTCTGGTGGAGCGCACAGCTATATCGTTTCGATTACTTCCCGATATGCTAATGGACTTTCTCCTTCCAGGGCAATTATATCGAATATGAGAACATCGTTGGAGAACCACTGCGTGAGGCCGAGAGACTTGGTGTCTCAACTCCGGTGTTGAAGATCATTTATGGCTTTCTCAAAGGTTTGCAATGGAAGACAATGGAGGCTAAAGGCCTGATCGTGCCGAAATGGACCGAGGACAGTGTTTACGGCTAGATATGACGTCTAGATTCATCACATTCCAAACTTTCCTCCGGAAAATATGAGACCTCTTAAGCAACGTCTGCGTTCGATCGTAGCGAAGGTCACGGGGCGGAGCGAGGGGTGAAAAGAATTTCTGTTGGATCTTTCTGGGTCTTAGGGGAGTGATAACCGTGTAGTGCTAGGTACAGGTGGTGGCTGGACATCTTCGGTGGTTGGGATGCACCAGTTGGTCTTGACTCCTGATAGGCCGTCACATTCTATCATGTATATTCTCTATGCGCTAGCTTCACAATTTCAAACTTGACTATAACTTGGAAAGAATTCCGTTTGCCTCCAAGATCGACAAGTGGCCGCGATTGATCTCAGATACACTCTTGCATCTACAATGAAGAGGAGGTGTCAGTTTGCACAATTGGCCGCACAAAGTCCGAGAGGCATTTTGAATACTTACCCGGCAAGTCCCATGGCCAATTTGAACTCGTCGTAGAGGAGATTGATTGCGAGTTCGACGCCCTTTGAACCGTTGTACTGAAAACCGAAATGTCAGTGTGATCAGCTGGCCCATCGAAGAAAAGGATGCTAGGTTGGGTTACTCACGGCCAATCCCCAGATGGGTATTCTTCCGGCAAAGCAGAAATCGGCTCCAAGAGCAATTGCCTTGAAGATATCGGTGCCTCTTCGGACGCCCCCGTCAATGGCGATGGAGATCTTGCCCTTTGCCACTGGTGCACATTCACGGAGAGCGTCCAGCGTGGCTGGAACGCTGTCGAGTTGGCGACCTCCGTGGTTGGAGATGACGACGCCGTCCAGTCCGTATGAGATTGCCGTGGCGACATCTTCGGCCGTGTACACTAACCCCCATGCGTCATGCGAATCAGACATTATTCGATATCCCCTGAAGTCGCTTGAGGTCAATCAAAGACAGAGATAGACAACTTACGTCCTTTGACCCAGATGGGAAGGTTGGTAATGCTCTTGATGTAAGAGATCGCTTCGTCCCAGTCCACTCCGTTTTCTGCCAGGTTCAGGTAAGCATGATGTTGACTCTCAGGGGGGAGTGACATGGGTAGTACCATATGCAAGTGCGTTGTCTCCTTCTTCAAGGTTGCTAGCGTCCATTCCCGGAGCGATGTTTGGATATTTCATCTCCTCGGGCATGCCGAAGCTGTTGCGGTACTCGTTGAGACGACGACCGAGCATTGGTGCGTCTACCGTGAGTAAAAGGGCTTTGTAGCCGGCTTCTACGTACAGATGGAAGACATTGTGTCAGTTTCGAATAGAGAGCCAGTACCCGAGAGCAGATACATAGTCGAAATGTCTGGTACGCAGAGGCGCCACAGGAGCAGCGGAAGAGTCTTGCGGCACTTACTTTCAGCTCTCTGCAGAAGCTGACGAGTCAGGCTCCTGTCCTTCATGATACTGATTTGCATAGCGTAGGGGTTCGTCTTCCCTGAGCCCTGCGCGATAACGTCCTCGAGAGAGTCGGTCGCATACGCCGAAAGACCCATGGCCACGTTCAAGGCGGCACAGGCTTTGGAGGTTCCCACTTCGCCATCAGGGTGAGCTAGTCGATGCATTGCGGCCGGAGAGAAGCCAAACGGGAACAGGACCTTGCTGCCCCAGATGGTCGTTGACGTGTCGACGTAGGACACATTCTTTAATATCCGAGGACGTAGTCGATAGCGGTCAAATGCCGCCTCGTTGTCGCGGAGACTGTAATCACCCTCCGGCGTGAGAAGGAGCTGCGATCTGGGTCACTCGCTGCCCTCGAGGTACTTACGTTATCATGTCCATGGCTCCCTCATTGAAGTACTCTGACGTGTTCAGTAGGTGCCATATGGTTCACAACTGGAGAACCTACCTCTGTACATCTTAGGCAGCTTCTTGGACGCCTGTTCCTTTAGGTCTTTGATGCAGAAGACCTCGGAGTCTAGAGTCCGTCCTCTGTTCGCCATCGTGACAGCTTCTGGTGCACTGAGATTCGACTAACGCGTGACTGTTGTTGCTCCCGATTATGATGGCTCAGATTCCTCGTTCGACGTCTCTTCCGGCTACTTGAGGTTTTGCTCATATACAGCTGAGACGAGTCAAGACAGCACTACCCCTGCGCCCTTTACTCGATCAGTGCGGAGCCATATCAGGTCCGCTGGACAGCGCTTTGTCGGCCTTAATTGACTAGTGGCAGGCCATTTCGGAGTGGAAAGTATGGACAAGTAGTCTCTGTTCCATTGCTGTGCTAGGAAGGGACAAGTCCGCGAGCTATCATGATAGGTAGAAAGCCACCGGAGAATCTCACGCCTTTCGCCTAAGCTGCGAAGTGCTGGACGCTTGTATTCGGGGCCGCTTATCGTAGCATAACTACTAACTAGTATGTACTCTCTGTAATCAGTGATATGCGCCCGCCTCAAGCCTTGTTTATGGCTTAAGAGTCGCTAGAAGCTGCGCCATGTCCCGAGGGTATCCGCAGGCTGGTGATTCCGCGGCCGAACCTCATCCCTCCTACAGACAGCGAGGCTTGTCTCCACAATAATATTAAGTCAGTTGTTGCTGCAGCCTCCTCTGTCTGAGGGCATGGCATGGTAGATCGCTATCCGAGTGTGTGCTAGATCCCAGACTACCAAGGTCGGACAAGATTGAGTTGCGTGTCCTGCCAGAAGCTTACCCGTGGCCACTTTGGTTAGATACGCAGAGTCTCTCGGTATCGTTCGAAACGCTGTGTCATTAACCACTCACTGCCTCCTTCAATCGCGTCTTCACATGTTACTTGGAGCATGCGAGTCTCTCCCCGTGAGACAGATCTACAGGGCCCAGAACCACAATGGCGGCTGTTTCGAGTTGACGGCACGGAGTCAGCGGACAAGTCCTGATAACGAGGCAGGGAAATCTGGGGAAGCTTTGAGTGGCGTCGTTGCGGGAAGAGGAAGGCCGCAGCGAAGCCAATGAAGCTCTGCTTATATTCACAGCAGAGACAAACAACACGAGTTCGCTACCACTCAGAAGGTTGTTGGGCGGCGATGTCGAAATCGCGCCCACCAAGGGGCCCCACTCTTGCAACGCTTCCTCCCGGTCGATACCCATCCCCCTCTGGCGTTCTGCCCTTGCCCTTCTCCCGTCCGTCTCAACTGTTGTTATCTCTTGCTGGACTCGTAGCCCATTGATGTGATCCATCTTCTGTCAGATGTGGCTGCTATCCCACCGTCTCACCCAGAACACCACGAGCACCTCACTGTGGATATTATTTCTAGCAGCTGGGTGGCCGGTGATTGAGCAGGCCGCGGTTGATAAATCGACCCCCACTGTCCACTAACTTCGCAATGGGTTCCCCCAACGTCTTGAAAACCGACCCTCGACCTCGACCGCCAGTAGCGATTCCTTTCCTGTCTGGAGGGAGGCATCGCCAGTGCATTCCTGGCATCCTTGCCAACCCCTCCACTGACCCAATGACGTCCCCCGTCCCAGCTGCACCGTGTCCTCGCAAACGAACCAAGACATTTACAGGGTGCTGGACGTGCCGTGCAAGGAAGCTGAAGTGCTCAGAGGAGAAACCGACGTGCCGACAATGTACGACCAAGGGTCTCGAGTGCGAGGGCTACGGTGCTAGGCTACAATGGCTGGCCCCAGAGACGGGTGTGCCCGACGCTCACACAGTCCCAGCGCCTGTTAGGACCACGGGGTCTTCACGGCGTCAGATACTGACAGGCAAGAAGCACTCATCTTCCTAACCGTCTGCCTGAGTGCTCACGTATGATGTGCAGCACAACCGACATGCATCATCGAGTCCGCGCAGATCGATGAGATCTTGACCCAAATCGACACGGAACAGCCTCTCACAGACGAGGCTGAAACAACCATAGTTCACGGCCCTTTTTCAGTGTTTGCCGCACGCCCGCCGGCAACGAATTCGCAGAATCTGTCAGCAGAGGAGCTACCACTGTTCCCTGCTATCCCTGACGTGGACCTCGAGCGTTCTTGTGACATCGCTCCTTCGCTTCTTGAACGTGATCACTCGCCCAGTCTGGACTTCGACCATCTAGGTTATGCTCATCCTCTGCATCATGAAACTTCGCCCGTAGCAACCCCAAGCCTAGTTGGCTCCCTGGGTGATTTCGGAACCGCACTCAAGAGCCCTACCTTGGAGTCGGGGTTTCGTGCTTACTACAGCAGCCCCTACTCGGCCAATACGTCGTTTCAGCAAAACTTCAATTGGTCACCAACTAAAGAATCACCGTTCGACGAGGATGAAGAAGACCCATCGTCGTCTGCGTTGCTCAGGTCAAAGCCGCGCTCGGTCTTTTTATCCCCTGACGAATGCTTCCTTATGCAGCACTACGTGCAGAAGGTGGTGAAGATATTTTGTGTCGTCGACAACCCCAAGAGCCCCTGGAGAGCCTTGCACCTCCCACGGGCATTGCAGAGTTGCGGAGAACTTGGAACTCTCGGGGCCACTTCTAATACTCGAAAGTGTCTGCTCCATGCTCTCCTCTCGATAAGTGCGTATAGTCTTGCCAACAACCTCAGGCTCGAAGGACAAAATAAAGACGTCGACAAGTGGTTGAGAAAGGCTCTGCAGCTTCGCTACAAGGCGATAGCGTTTCTGAGGGACTCAGTGGAGTGTGATCTCCATTCCAAGTCGCGGCCGAAGTACAAAGAGCTCCTAGCCGCCATGCTGTCTATGATCTCGATTGATGTAAGCCTCGTCACTGATGACTTTCTGGCTGAACTGACGAAGCTTTCAAGGTTGTCTCAGGGGATACGGGGACATGTGGCGTTCACCTGAAAGGCTGCGAGCAGCTCATCCGCAGCGCCCGGAAGAGCAAGACAAAGTATTCGGGCAAAGCTCGAGCGCTACATCGTATTTTCTTCTATCTCAGAACTATCCATGCAAGCACGACCATTAACACGGAAGACGCTGTTCATTCGCCGTCGGAGCAACACTTTAATAGCGACAGTAGCGTGGGGAGCGACCATGAAGGTGTCGGCGAGATGGAAATTGAGGATGACTCGTGGCTTGACATGCAAGAAGACGAACCCAAGGACATGTCATCTTGTGACTATATCTACGGGGTGCCCCAGAGTCTCTTTGTCCTGATGAGAAAAGCCGTCCGAGTTGTCCAACACGTTTCACGCTACCGCCGGAAGAATCCTGGACGGTTGTATTCTGCCTGTTTGGCCAGAAAGTGCGACGAAGTCGACGAAGAGATTCTGGACTGGCCGATCGAACAAGAGCTCAGTCGCAGCCCCATCATGGATCGTGAAGATGACACGAGCAAGATTGTTCAGCATCAAACCAGGGCCTTCCACGGCGCACTCGTTCTCTACTTCTCCCAGAATGTCAGATTAATGCACCATCGCCACCTGAGGCCGTACGTTGAGAGCGTCCTATACCACCTGGAAGCATTCGACACCATCAGGAACGGCTCGGGCTCTGGGTGTGGGGGGATTCTTTTCTGGCCAGCTTTCATCGCGGCGTCCGAGGCCTTCGATCCTGCTTTGCAAGCACGGTTCATGGCTTGGTTCGACAGAGCCAAGTCGTACGGACTGCATTCTCTATGGGGCGGCAATGCCATAGCTCTCGAGGTCTGGAACAAGGACAGTACAAACAAGACTCGCATCACGAGCCAGTGGCGGACGATTGCCGAGGAGAGACAGGTCGAGCTGATGCTTACCTGATGCGTCCATATGCGTCCATATGCCGAATCTTAACGCTAGACTCTGACTGAGCATAGCTTGCCACAGAGCAAGATCGCTCGTGCCGGGAGTCTGTCTGTACAAACGTAGATTGCACACGGCGGCTGACCTTGGGCATCTCTCGGAAACCTTTTTCGAACGAGATGGATCAGCGGGAGTCGTAGCTTGGGCCGGCATGAGCGACCGACGTTCCAGACCATAGCATCGCAAACTGTCTTCCAGAGTCTGGTGAAGCGACAGAACTCTATGCAGTTTGTATTCATGTCTGCAACGCAGTGGCGTTCGGACTCTTATCTAGGCTTCCTCGCGTAACTTCACGCTAACAAGCATCGAGCCTTGCATTCACGGGGTACTAGAAACGGAAAAACTCCCTTGGATCCCGTTATCTTTCGGACCCTACTAATTGGATAGCACACTGAGGAAGCTGACAGCGGACCAGTCGCAGGGCCTTCCTTGAGGGCAATCACTTTCCCAATGCCGGTATTGTTGTGGAGTGCTCGATGGTTTCCTTGCCCTTATCATGCACGACGGCAACAGGGATCGCCACGAGGATGGGGGAGAGTTGCATGATGCCCGCCAGTATCTATCTACGAGCTCGTATCTACCAGGCTGGTACCGATTATTTGCTTCAAAGGTGCTGAGAGGTCCTTCTGGAGCGGAAACGTGCGTTAATCCCAGCCCTTTGCAAGATCCTGGTGGCGGGCATATAAAACCTGCCCGGTCGTCCTGCCTCTTGGCCACGGTCTTTGCTGCCGCTGCAAGGTTCCAGCCCATTCTTCTTTCTCTGTCCATATCGGAATTGTCACCTGAACACACACCTTCACAATGGAGGAGAAGACCACGTTCAAGGCGTCTGCCGCCTCTGACAAGGAGGTATCCAGCGATGATGTCCTCGCGGGACAAGTCATCGACTACTCCGGAGAGCCAGTCAGCTCTCATCCTGGAGGGCTACACCGAACGTTCAAGGCCCGCCATATTCAAATGATCACGCTCGGTGGTTGCATCGGCAGTGGTCTGTTCATCAGTACCGGCAAGGGCCTGCACCTGGGTGGTGCCGCAGCCATGTTAATCGGCTACACCCTGATCTGTGTCATGGCGCTGGCGGTCATGAACCTGCTGTCCGAGTCGACCTCCGTCTGGCCTACCTCTGGTGGCTTCATCGAGCATGCCAACAGATTCGTCGACCCTGCCATGGCATTTGCCTGTGGCTTCACTGAATGGCTGGCTTGGGTCACCGTCGTGGCGGCCGAGGCTGCAGTCGTGCGAGTCATCTTGACGTGAGTTTGAGCCCGTTGCCCCAAAGGTGTATACACCTGTGTTCGACGGCACTGACATGGTCTCTCTCGTTCTCTCATGCAGCTTTTGGACCGACTCTATTCCAACCGCTGCAGCAATGACAGTTTACCTCGTCTTGGTCTTTGGCATCCACGCGTTGCCCAATCGCTGGTTTGCCGAGTTCGAGTTTGGCACCGCGGCCCTCAAAGTCATGTGCATGATCATCATCCTGATCACCTGTATTGCCTTGATCGCGGGTGCAGGAAAGGCCGGTGAGGTCCCACATGCTTACAACTACACCACGGCACCTGCGTTCCCCAACGGCTTCAAAGGCGTAGCCACGACGTTTTTGCTTGCTTCCTGGGCCACCGGTGGACAGGAGATCATGTCGTTGTCGGCGGCAGAAGCGCATCGACCGCGCTGGGACATGCCGCGAGCGTGCAAGAACCTCTTCTTCCGGATCGTGGCCTTTTATGAGCTCTCAATCATCTTCCTGACCATCCTCGTCCCTTATAACGATGAGCGACTCCTCGGCACTGGCACCGTGGCCAGTTCTCCCTTTGTGATTGCCATGGTCAACGCTGGCGTCAAGGGTCTGCCCGACCTCATGAATGCCGTCATCCTTTTGGGTCTGGTCGCAATCGGGGCCGAGTCTCTGTATGTCTCGTCCCGTACCATGGTTGCCATGGCCGAGATGGGCATGTTTCCCAAGATCCTTGGCCGTATCGACAAGAAGGGCCGCCCTCGTTGGGCACTCTTCACCTCATGCATCTTCTGCACCATCTTCACCTACATCAACTGCTCCAGCACCGGCGGTATCATTTTCACGTGGTTCTCGTCTGTCTCATCCACCGTCTTCTTCCTGTCCTGGCTCTCCATCGCAATCACCAACATCCAGATCCACCGAGCCATCAAGGTACAGAATGATCCCGTGTGGACGCTCCCGTACGCCTGGAAGATACGCGCCTTTCCCGCCACCGCCGTCTTCCTGGCCGTCACCACCATCTTCGTCCTCTTCTCAGTGGGATACGTGAGCTTGTTCCCCATCGGTGGTGCACCTCCGAGCGCCGAAACATTCTTCGAGACCTTCCTCGCCGTCCCGCTCTGGATCGTCTGTTTCTTGGGATACAAGCTGGTCTACCGTACCAAGTTTGTCAATCCGGCCGAGGCTGATTTGCAATACGGCCGAAAACCATTAAACGAGGAGGATATTGCTTTCTTCGATCGCTACTTTGCCCAGCCCATGTGGAAGAGACTTTTGTCGTATGTGCGCTTCTAGAATCTATCAGTTAGAGAGAGAAAGAGGCCCGGAGCTGAATCGTGGGATATGTACATATGTACTAGTCGTCGTCGGTGGCAGCGCTTGTTTCTTTTCGGTTGCGACAGGGTATGGAAAGGGAAATGGAAATGACGATAACTCTAGTTGGATCGCGCTGGAACTTGGGAGGTCAGCTGCGCCATGGGCGAGAGATGCACAAAGTCTGAATAAATATACCTAACTAGTTATACTGCGTCTTGATGAAATGCTTAGTACTTGAAACCGCTCAGAATCAAGGCTCTGCAGATAAACTCAGACCGAGGCTTTCCAGATAATCAGGACGAGGCTTTGCCAGATACCTGAAATAAGAACGGGCTTTCTAGAACAAGTCATTACCTTCGCCGTGCCTCATCGAGGGTGGATGGGGTTCTGGGATCGCTCTGCCTCGAAGGCGTACAGTATGTCATTCGTTCTGCCCCACCAAGAGCGTATATACATATATATAAGGTATATGTGTCCGTCGTTCGAAGTAGTTCAGTCTAGCTTGACAAACTCGGCTCTCTCGCTCAAGAACTCGTCGACGGCGTCAATGAAGGTCTGTAGTTCCTCCTTGGACGTGATGGTCATCAGACTGACCATGCCGCGACGTGCGAGGAAAAAGCCCTTCTTGAGCATGTCGAAGAAGAAGAGCTCCTTGAGATCGGCGGCCTGAACGCCAGTGCGCGGTTGCTCCTTGAAGTGGATCGTCATCAGGCTCCCCGTGCCCGTGACGTACATGGTCGAGTTGTGCTTGGCATCGGCAAGCCGGTTCAGCTCTTCACGCAGCCAGACGCCCTTGTCGAACAGGTCGCGCGCCTGGTCCTCGCGGGTCCAGATCTCCTCGAGCACGGCCGTGGCCGTCGCCATGGTCGCGACGTTGTTGTTGAACGTGCCGCTGTGGTACACGCCGCCCGGGTACCCCGGCTCGAGCATGTCCATGATCTCGGCCTTGCCGCCGAACGCGCCAAAGTTCTGCCCGCCGCCGCCAAAGTACTTGCCGAAACTCGTCATGTCAGGGTACACGCCCAGCATGTCCTGGTAGCCGTGGATGCTCATGCGGCTGGTCATGACCTCGTCGAAGAAGAGCACCGCGCCGGCCTCGGTCGCGAGCGCCCGGCACGCCTTGACGAAGTCGACGTCCGCCGGGGTGCAGCCGGACGACCCTTGCATGAGTTCGAGGAATATGCACGCCAGATCGGCCTTGTGCTCGGAAACCGCGGCTTCGAGCGCGGCGATGTCGTTGTACGGTACCACCACCCAGTCGTGCGGTGCGTTCATGGTCTTTTTTCCGCTAGACTTCATGTTCATGGAGCTTTGCGAGGTGAATGTCGCCAGACCGCCGTGGTATCCGCCTCTGATGATTGTTGTGAAAATGGTTCAGCTTTCTTGGACGCAGCAGGCCAAGCAACGAACGGGTGTGGTTAAAGCGTCATGAAGTCAAGAGATGGAGAGAGAAGACAAAGAGCAAAAGGAGAACATCGCTAGGATAGGGCTTAAGAGCACGTTGGATGCACACTCACTCAAACACAATGATCTTGCTACGTCCAGTGTATGCCTTGACGAGGGCGAGAGCAGTCATGTTCGTCTCGGTGCCCGAGTTTGAGAAGCGGACCTTGTCCATGGTTTTGAAGCGCTCGCATAACAGGTTGGCAAGTCTGCCCTCGTACTGGTTGACGCCGCCGAGGGCGAACCCTTGCTCGACGGCGTCGTGCATGGCCCTCTTGATCACCGGATGCGAGTGACCAAACATACAAGCGCTGTACTCGGCGCAGAGGTCAAGATACTTGTGTCCGTCAACGTCCGTAAGGTATGAGCCCTCCCCGCGCGCCTGGACGACGGGGAAAGGCTTCATATGGATAACATTACGCGTTGTGCCTATGATACAGCTCAGTTCCGAAGTACAGGAGCGCAAAAAGGTCGGGGGTAGTGTCTCAGTGCATCTTACCTCCAGGCAAGGAACCAGAAGCCGCATCACAGATCGCTTTGCTCTTCGGGTTCGATGCAGCATAGTCGTTGACGGCCTCACCGAGGACCGTGGAGAAGGCAGGGATCGCAATAGGCATAGTTTAAGAGTTGCTAATGATCCAACTGTGTGAACGCTCTGTCGCATAGGCACTTAATCCTCTCTGGTCGAACCTGGCCATACATGTACTTTTGCCCTGCTTGTTGAAACTAGAGGCGCGATGCACTGTCGTATGGAGGAGCCAATCATTATCTACCCATGCTTATCGCGGTCTCTGTTGCCTCTTTGGTACGGCAGCGGCCGCCGTGGATTGCCCCAGGAAGACTCTCTTCATGGTGCGAACGAAGTGGAGAGGGATGTCAGGATAAGCTCAATTCCCGGACCTGTTGTGTCGTTGATGGCTTCGCCTCTAAAGTCTTGGTTTTCTTGAATGTTTCGAGTTTCGTTGTCCCTTAACGGGGTCCATTCTGTGATAAGCGTACATTTCGAAGACGACAAGGCGTAGCCCTCAGGCTAGCCACCTGTCTCGACTATGCCTTTCCAAGACAGCGCAAGAAATGATAACGAATTCTTTCAGTCAAGGCAGCAACTTGTGACAAAACAATTTCTTGTGGTCGTACTTGTAAATTCGGCTTCTGTGCACCAATCATGAGTGCTGAACCTCTCGGCACGAAGCCTCGTGCAAAGACCGCAAGGCTGTTATTCAACTTCCCTTCCACAGCTTCCGTCGCAAAGATAGAAGCGGCAACCAATCAGAAAGGCGAGAGATCTGTCCCGGACAAAACATCCGACAAGCGATAGTGATGTGTCAGCCGTGAGATCACTTTTTGGTGCATGTTGAAAGATGTCATATTTCTGGAGACAATGACATCAAGGATCATCGCAGGATCACTGTTTACATAAACTTGACCAGAGACTCAAATTAAATTCTTTTCCCAGAGAACGCTCAATCAATCTTACCGCGACTTCGACGATATACAGACATACACCTTTTGAAAGATAGCACGCAAAATGTCAACAAAAACACCTGGTGGTTCTGGACCTAGCGAGAAGTTCATGAAAAAGGATGCTGCTGGTATGTTCCCAATCTCGACAGACGTTGTGAGTCTACAAATGGATCTGGTGCTGACGTATTTAAACCCTCAATAGCGAAAGGTCTCGGTGCAGATAACGCCCCAGCACACAAGGAAGGCCATGTGCCTGGAGAAGCACCTGTAGCAAGCGACTCTTATACAGCAAGGCAACCTGGAACAACGGTTGGCGAGAAAGGAAATGTCGGTCACATCGTTGGCGAGAAGCCAAGCGATACCATCAACCAGGGAAACATGCGCTGAGTAGTCACGTTGGCGAAAACAATATCGAGTCGCCGAGACGTGAAGACTATCTTCATGAAGCCAGCTGCTCATCTGTGGGAGGATGCTCGTGGATGTTAGATGCCCTGCCGCGCAAGGTATAGCTCCGCAAGACGGTCACTGAATTTCACCACGGACAAATTTTTGAATCCCGGCGCCGCTGTGCGGCGAAGCCATATTGATTTGGAAGTACCAACGGCACAGACAATCCAGGTTCAGTGTTTGGCAAGAAGAATATTCGTCATAACTAGCTGAGCTAGCCGCATATGTAGCTAGAACGATTGTATTCTGCAAACCATGGCCCATTATACATTATCATTAATCAACAATGAAAATGTGCTGACCGAAGGGTTGGGTGCGCTCCAGTAGGGTAGAGCTTGACATGTCTCACCCAGAGGTGTTGTTCTTGAAGCTAAACAGGTTCTCAAATATGAAACGGTTGCAGAATCCAGCTTGAGGGGGCAATAGTTCGGCAAGAAGTCGCGGGTGAGTATCATCAGGGGAAACAGCGCCGTCCATCTCTGCTCCCACCAAGGCGAGGATTTCCCTCATATCGATAGCTTCTGGATGTCGCGCCCAAGTAGAGGTGACCCTGTTCCTCTCTGTCAGTAGAGCCGCTAGCAAATTCGCCCCTCGAACGGCAATAACACCGCCGCCGAACTTGCGTAAGTATTCGATGCATTCTGAGACTAGTTCTTTGTGCGTGTCAAAGACAGGATCGGATGCAGGACGATGGAAGAGATCCAGACAGAGAACAATCGCCGCGACGATGCAGAAAGCTTTATCTACCCAAATGATGGGCCCATCAAGGTCCTTCGTCTGTTTTGCTTCATTCAGGATCGTCTTAGCCGCAGCTAAGCACGTGAGACGCGTCATAGAATAAGTCGGATTGATGAAGCTCTGCTTAATATATGCTCTGTGGATCATGATCATCTTGTGTGCAAAGCATATAGTCAGACTTCTCCTGGCTGCTGGAATCCATTCTGGCCAGGCTGGATCAATCGGCTGCACCACATGGAAGTAGGTTGGCATTCCTTTCGTGGCGAGGGTCCGCATTCTCGAATCGTATTCTAGAACGTGTTCGTAGGTTGTGAATTGGGTAGTTGCATGAGAAATATCCTCGTGGTGTTTTACCATGAGTTTAGCTATTTCAAACAAATAATTCCCGTAGCTGATATAAGTAGGAAACTCTATTGGAATTGGGTCCATATTCAGGTAGTTTCGGTTGGAAGGCTTAGTTGTTGTGAAATGCCCCGGTTGAATGTGATAGCTCTCGTTGAATGGTAAAGACATCCAGTCCTGGACACAAAGCTGGGACCATAATCTGCGGCCGATCTCCCTTTTGATCAGTCTGTGACGTTGCTCTTCCGTTGATGTAGTTGTGATCTCGTCCAGCGATGCGTCGTAGTCTAGTCTGTCGAGCCCCAAGCTTTGTGCAATCTTCAGAGCGCCACCGAGAAGAACAGATAGCTCTGCGGACTGTCCCAGTGAATGAGCAGACATAGTCAGTGTGGCGATTGTATGGACGGCATATATGCTATGATTGGAAGTGTAATTCGCCTGGTTTAGGCACGAGATGCTGGCCTTGTACCACTGCATCGGCAATTTCGATCTCTCAGCTTTCTGGAATCCCCACTGAGACAGTCTCCGTTCCGGAGCACATGTTAAGCTGCCGGCTATGATGGAAAAGAGAAGCCCAAGCCACTGAAGGTCGAGGCCGTCAACAATCAGTGTTTCCTTTTGATCCTGGTCAGCGAGCACGCTTTCCAGTTCCCATCGGAAGAGTGGGCCAAAGTAGCAGCCATGATACCACAAGAGGCACAGTTCATGATAGTTGACTAAGTCCCAGATGTGGCCGACATTGGGCAGTAACATCTGCAGGAATTTCGAGTGGGCGTGTTCCGTGGAGTTGAAGCCTATCCCGTTCAAGTCGATCCAGGACTTGTCAGGGAGGGTGTTTGGATCTCGGGTCCGGAGCCTCGAGATGAGAGCGTCAGTCGGAGTAAAGTTATACTGTAAGCGTGGCTCATCTGCCCATCTCGTGTCATATGCTGCAAAGTCACTCAATCCTTGTGGCAAACGAGACCCTGCAGTGGGAGCAGTATTGGCTTGATGAGCGGGACTAGAAGGCGCGCTGCCCCCTGATCCTTCACTCGCGACTGGACGCGATCTTTTGTAGACCCGATGGATCGAGGGATCGTACTGAGTCGGCCACTGGCGCGTACACTTGTCGGCGATGCCTCTTTTGACGCACCTCGAGCACGGAATCTGGCGGTCGCATTTCTGCCGCCGCATGGAACATTCGGTGCATGTTTCTCGAGGTCGCTGGACCGGCATCTCAGCGGGCCAGACCAATATGCATCGCGCCTTATGGCTCGACGGGTTCAGATCTCGTGTTGGTGGCCGAGGTTTGGCGGCGAAGGTTGATGTGGTACGAAAGTCGGGAATCTTGAAAAAGCTAGTACGACGACGAGATCATCTGAGCCATCACGTGATATTGATCGCTTGCAGGCTTCTCACTCCACCGTGCCTTCTACGGCAGTGCTCGGCGACCTCCGAAGTGCAGAATCAATCCGAATGAACTCGAGATAACGAAAGCCCGTGACGGATCGCAGATTCCTGGGACTCTTCAAACCCTGCGAGTCTCCAGACGATGATACCTCCTCCCACACTATCTGGAATTCCTCTCCCCAAGCCTTCTCAGCATGGCGATCGCTTACGAAGCCAGCCCTACTAACTTTACGATTCCTACCGTGGATATCTCTCCCTACCTGGCTGACCAGCATTCCGTAGAGGCAGAACAAGTGATCGAGCAAATTCGCGCTGCGTGTGCCACAAGTGGTTTCTTCCAAATAACCGGTCATGGCATCCCGCAAGCCTTGCAGGATGAGATCTTCGCCGCAGCAAAGGCATTCTTCGCGCTACCAGAGGAGGAGAAACGTAAACTTGCCGGTGTGCCGGGACGAGGGTATGAGATAATTGGTTCTCAAGTCCTCGAACCCGGTAAGAAGCCTGATCTGAAGGAGGTGAGCTCTCGTTGTCATGGGATCAGGTTTGGCAGAGCTGAGAAAGCCCCAGGGATTCATGATAGGCCGAGAGATTCCTGGCAACAAACCCCCGTTTCGACCATTCCAGCACGCAAATATATGGCCTGAAGCGAGTCAGATCCCTGACGCTAAATTCAAGACGCCTCTTCTCGAATATCAGCAAGCACTCTCAGACTTATCCGTCCAGTTGATGCACATATTGGCCAGGGGTCTGCGAGGGTTTGACACAGCGGTCTTCGAGGAGTACTGCAAAGACCCCATTGCGAACGTAAGACTGTTGCACTATCCACCGCATCCGCAAATGGAGGATCCAAGTTTAGTGGGCGCTGGAGCACACACGGATTTCGGTGCCATTACGCTTCTGCTTCAGGATGGGCATTCTGGTCTCCAAGTGCTGAACCAGCACACCAATCAGTTCGTCGACGTACCACCGCAAGAGCATGCGTACGTTGTGAATATTGGTGACATGCTGGAAACGTGGACAAGTGGGCAGTACAAATCCAATATACACCGAGTAGTAGGTGCCCTTTGCCGGAGGCTCAGACGTTGACATCGCCTCCATTGTGGTGAGCCTTCAGACGCTAATTCGCTGTTCAGATAAATACAAGCGGCACGGACAGGTATAGTGTGCCCTTTTTCTATGATGGAGCCCCAGATTGTGTGATCAAGCCGCTGGATGGATCGAAAGGGAAGGAATTCACAGTCGTGGAGCACATGCTCGCAAGATACAAGGCAACTTACGGGTGAAAGCTCCGTCCGTAACAGCACAAGGAGAGTTGTCCAGTGCTACGGGCAGGATAGAGTAGTGAGTACAGTATTGTACTGTACCTCACGCAGATGGATGGGCCCGCAGTGCGGTGTTTCATCTCGCATCATGGAGATTATTATGTGAACAGCGAAATCGTTAGTTGACTCCTGCCCCTTTCAAGGCCACAATAAGGATGGAGAGGCAAGGATAGACATCGTAGATCTGGTGTTGCAATCGTTGTTTTCGGTCGATATCGTCTTGATGATCTCCAAAGTATAGTCTCTAGCCTGATCAAAGCGTCGGGAGCGGGCCTTTCCATGGTTTTCCTCAAGGGGAACAATGGTGCGATAAACCTCACTTCCATGGAACAGTCCTTGTCGTATATACCGAACAGCATGGCTTTGAGGGAACGACAATTGATTGGCATTGATGGAACCGTTATGGGATTTGCCGGGGTCATTATGTAAAATCGCCTTTGCTGAGGGAGGAGAAATTCCATGTCGAGTAAATGCGCCGACCAGCGCCATCAATGATTATATGTGGGTAGCTTTGGTTCTCATTCCGGATCTTCCTCTAACTTGAGTTACCAGCGTCGCTAGAGAACGAGTGCGGGTATCGAAAATCCTCGTAGACGGCATCAACCCTGTCGCGACACCAGAGGATTCTCGTATGCCCTAGTCTTTCCCTCCTCGATTTGATGGCCAACTCGACGTTCTCTTGCGCATTTTACGGAAAGGAGGATCCATCTCGCGGGCAGAGCCTTGTTCCTGAGTAGCAGTGAAGGTGGAGACGGCAGCGAACGTCAGTGGAGCTGCAAGGCTTTTTCCCGGGTTTCAGACAAGATCAGAAGAATTTTTCGACTGCGTAAACTTTCCCTGTCAGCCGTCGTAGCGCTGGCAAAGACACATCAGCTGCGCAGTCCACGGCGTTATCCGAAGTTCGAATATTTCCTCGTCAGCTCGTCGCTTTGAAACCAGCAGAGTCCGAGGAGAAAATTGCCCTCTCACATCCTCCTCCCAGGCCCACCCGATTCGAAGGTCAAGATGCCCCGGTTTATCTGAATTGCTCGGCCTAAAAGGTCGCCTTAGGAACCGTCCATTTCGATAAGCGTGCGGTTCCTCCAGAACGGTACCCTGGTTCGGCAGATGGGCTGACGCATGACATTTGACAAACTCGCACCAGGCGCAGTGCCAGTAACTGACGGGGGCGTTTGCTCAAAAGGTTCTGGATCCGATGCAGGGGGCGGATGCGCCAAGTATGATCGACAGGCTTGTCTTCTTCTAAACTACCTAGTGGACTACGGAGTTTCTGCTGCGACTCTGTAAAAACGAGTCGATCAGCAAAAGCTGGTAACGAGCACGGAGACTCTCGTGGACTTATGGCACGATGGCACGTCGAAAAGTCCGTGGAGAGGGTTCCCTGCCACTCGTACTCCGTACTTGCTATACATACAGAACACGGATTCGGGGAGTACTGTACACTTACCATATGAAATGCCTTCCTAGCCGTGCCTCTGCCAACTCATCACCGAGGTGCCTCGGCTTCCTGAATGACATTCAGTACAAGCAAGCAGCAAATCAATCAACGTTGTCCTCAGCTGGATTACAGATTCTCTGTACATGTGAATATTCTGGCATTCCATTCGGCTCAAACGAGTTCGACGGAGTGAATCCAATCCTACAGCACGCCCCGCGTAGCTGACTGACTGGTCCACCACGGCCCCATAAACCGTTGAGTCGAAGCCTACTCGTTGTACAGCACGGAGTATCCGCATGCTAGGATGAAGCTTCGATTGATCCCGGTCGTGCTTGGGCTGGAACATCCACTTCTCCACGGCGAAAACCAGGTACGAGGGCGACGGGTGGGACATGGTACTGGAGGGCATGCTATCCTTGATCGGCTCTCTACTTCCTGACAACAGCTGAAGAACATCAACTACTTCTACAGGTCTGCTCGCCCACAACAATTGACAGATGACAGACGCGGGAGAGGAACTTGCTCCAAGCCTTGCCTGTTGTTGGAACTGATACTTTTCGTACTCTCCCGTACAGACCTCACTCATCATCGAGCTACACCTCCGTTGACACTCCTTCAATTTTAATCTTCCATTTATTTCCACCATGGCTGCCGGACAGTCAGCAATGCAGCAACTTCTGGCTGCGCTGCCCAAATGTGCGGTACGCAATGCAAACTGGACCATGCTGGGATCCACCAACTGATACGAGCATTCCCAGGCCGCCTGCGCCCAGTCCATACTCCCATCCTCGACATGTTCGTTGACCGATATCGCGTGTCTTTGCGCCGATGCGCCTATCCTCGGTCGGATCGAACAATGCAGCACGGCCAACTGCACAGTTATCGAGGCCCTGAGTAAGTTCGCAACCAAGCCAGGACGGATATGAGAAGGCTCCCTCAGAATCGAGTTTCTGACAATGATCGTTTCCAGGTGCCTTCAATGCGACACAGACCGCATGTGGCGTCACTCCGAGGGATATGTCACATACATATATCGTCGTCGTGTCGATATTTCTTGCCCTGGCAGTTCTATTCTATCTGATCCGTCTATCCGTCCGTCCGCCGTTGACGCCGGGTTTCCGGGTTGACGATGGCATTATGCTGGTTGCGACGGTATGTGGAACGACATGCTCAGCATGGTCACGGTCCGTTCCACCGAAGTTGATCAGGCTAACATGTGAGCTTAGCTGACGGTTGTTGTCTTCACGGCGCTCAATTTGCAAGGTACGAAGAAGAGCCTTTTGTTCTCTAACGCCAACACAAGCACTCGCCGCTGACTATGGTGTCTAGCTGCGCGTCTAGGCCTCGGAAAGGACATATGGAATGTCGTGCCCGACGATATTGATATCGTTTTGAAGGTAGGATGGCTTGAGAAGCGCTCGACAAAGTACAGTTGACTAAAGGGTTGACACCAGAACTTCTTCATCGGCGAATTTCTGTACATCTTCATCAGCGTCGTCACCAAGTTGGCCGTCTTGGCTTTCTACCTCAAGGTCTTCACGCAACCGTACTTCCAAAAGACCGCATACGTCGTCATGGGCCTATGTTTCTCCTACTTTGTCTCGTACATGTTCGTCCTCGGCTTCGAATGCACGCCGGTGTCGTTCTTCTGGGAGCAGTGGCGGGACCCCTCTGCAGGAAAATGCATCGACATCAACGCCGGAGGGTGGGCAGCTGCTGGAATCAATATCATTCTCGACGTAGCCATCCTCGCGATGCCGGTGCCCGTCATCCTCAGGCTTGACATCTCTCGACAGCAGAAACTTCAAGTGCTGAGCATGTTTGGAGTTGGATCATTGTGAGTAACTGGATTAATTTCCTCTCGACATCTCATTTGTCATGATCATGATCATGTCCTTCCGTCAGATCCTACTATGTCCTGACCCATGCGTCGATGACCTTGCCACTAATGTGATGTGCCTCTCTGTCAATTTTCTAGGATAACCGTTGTCAGCATCATCAGACTGCAATCGCTCATCAAGTTTGCCAAAGACTCCAACGTCACATGTGGGTGTTTTTTTTTTGTTCTCCGCCTGCCTCTTCCCTCTTCCCTCTTCCCTCTTCCCTCTTCCCTCTTCCCTCTTCCCTC